TATTGCCCTGTGGCCTGACTGCGGCGTCCGGCGTCCGGCGTCCGGGGGCCAGCAAGTTGGGTCGTTCGTAGTCGTGTGTGCCGCACAGGAATGCTGCATTGCTTTTTGCGGTTTTGTGACAACACCTCCACTCCCCATGCCCCATGCCCCATGCCCCACGCCCCACACCCTCAACCACCCCCAGCTAGAGCGATTGCCTTTGTTTTGCTTGCTTGTTTGTTTGTTTTCACGCTTTCACTTCCACTTTCTCCCCTTTTTGCATATTGTAGCTATTGCTCCATAGAGAGCAGCAACGTGCTAGCACTTCTTTTGTTCTTCGTGAAATAATTTAGTTAATTTATTATTTATTAAACTTTGGCATCCATTAGAATGCGCCTCAGTGCCGAAGTTGCGCCTCACCGCGTATTGAACCAAAAAACTTTCAGCTTATAAATTGTCTAAGAATTTGTTGTTGCTCTTGTGGCAAAAATATTATATTGTATATACATTTTTCATAAGAAATAGCAGCGAGGGACCTACAATACATTTCGTGACAAGGCTTGAACTGAAACTTTGGCAACGCTCTTTAATGGCAAACTGACAATTGCCAGAAGACTCAACTTAAATACTTACAATACAATGCACACCAGAAATTTATGATAAGTACAGGCCGAGAAGGCCTTGGGCGGCACGAGGTCGCTGCGACGCGACAATGGCCGTACTATGGTGGAAATATAAAGTCTTAGTAAATATACTATTCTTTATTGCTGTCTAATGCAACGATGTACCTTAATCGCAAAGTTCCTCCAGTCGTCGAAATGTGTTCTCTGATTATTTCCAAGAAGTGTATTGTTCTTCATCAGCAAACAATACGTTGTTCAATTTAAAATTGAATACAAACTTATTCTTATAGCGCAACTATTTAAAGCATTAAAGTCGCTTAATGAGGAATTGGCACTAATTTTATAAAAGATTCTTTTAATGTGATTTCAAAAATAATAAATAAGTTTAGGCCTACAACGTATAGTTTCTTGTGGACAGGCGCAAGTGGGTGTGGGGACTCAACGCTCCTGACTCACATATACCCACTATATCTAATTACTAGAAAATTATTGAGCTGTTTTGAAACGTCAGAAGGGAAGCCAATTATTGAGAGATCGGTTTGATGAAAAGAAGTAGGCAATGTAAACCGAACAGAGATAAGCTATACATGTATATATAACTGAGTTTAATAACGATCCCTGAACATCCTCTGCTTCTTTAGATGGCCTCACAACCCATTTCAGAGGCTTACATATTGTACTCTATTGAATTAATTGAAAAACCCAATTATCGCCTACCTACTTGTATTTATTCTATTTATATTGATTTCCTTTCCACTGTACGGCGAGCTCAGTTGACTTGACTTCGTCTCCAGCCACTTTTTCACTTGCAATAAGAATTATGGGGCAAGCTGTGAAAGTTGGCGCAGCTTAAATGGCGTGCTGGGGTTAAGCTGAGCATAACAACAACAGTAAGTAGAACCGCAGTGGCAGTGGCAACAACTACAACTACAACAAGTGGCATGAGCATGAAAACAATGATAACAGCCACAAAAGCTGCTCAACATCGCCACGTCCAGTGTCCAAGGCATGACAGCAACAAATTCTAATATAGCAGTGTTGGTTTTTGTTGCTGTTTTTCATTCCTTCATCCTTTTCATAGCCTAGCTACAGGCGCACGCACAACCAAAGCTACAAAAAACCACACTCACACAGACACACACACACACACACACAGTTATGCTCTGCAGACGACATAGTAGGCAGTTGAGACTTCAAATTGAGTTGTGCCCGACAAAAGTATAAAGTTTGTATCAACCATACGAGAAGTGTGCTGTGCAGTCGCTTGGGGCCAAGACCAATGCGACAAAAGTCAAATGGTGCCGAGGGAGAAGACCACCGAGCTGCGTGCACACACACACACACACACGCACACGAGCACATCAGTTTGAAGATATTTATGGCTTTGGCCGTTGCAATGGGCAATGGTCAAGCTTTACTCGCTTTGAGGGCTGCTGGTGCTCTAAGCCGTTTAGGGTTCAACGCTTACTGGTGCATGGGAATGTTGATGCGTGCGTGTGTGTGTATGTGTGTGTGTGTGTGTCGGCCAATTGTTGCAGTCAACAGGCCGCATGAGTGATTTATGGCAGCAACCAGCTTCAAATTGTGTTGACAATGCGTCGCGGCCGTTTTTTGTTGTAGAATCTAAGACCACTCTCTCTCTCTCTCTCTCTCTCTCTCTCTCTCTCTTATGGGCTTTAAAGAAAACATAATGCTAGAGTCAAAAAATGTATAAAAACATCGAATATATTCTCAGCGGGATGTTACCTTCGCTTTTCAGATTTTGTAACCAACTTTAGTTGATTGGCAAGCTTGTTAAATGGTCAATGGTTTTTTAAAATTAAGATACCCTAACAAATAAAAAAATAATACACTTTACAAACATGACTAATTTACTAGTTAGAATGGAATGCAGTTTAAAACTTAAGTTCCTTTTCTACAACAAATAATAATAGCAATCATTATCATGTTATACAAATAAGCAGCAATATATGAACAAACTATAGCGGACCCGGCAGACGTTGTCCTGCATTATATTTCAAGCGCTTAGAATATTAAACGAAGTATGAAATAGAAGACAAATAATATAAGAATTTCATTATTTATTTTACATTATATTCAGTAATGTTTATTTAAGTTTATCTTATGTTATTTATCTTATTATATATATAAGATATGTATATTAAAGCCTGCATAGTCGAAACGCTATAGAACTGGTATTGCTTTCATGCAAATAAACAAATGCGGACTCAACAAAACATTGCTGACAAACCTAAATAATATGTTCGCTATTCGTTCTACTGATGTTAACTTGAGTAGAAAGCAGCATGTTGCCGATACAAATAAATATAAATCAAATCAAATTAAATCGCTCTCTCCATCTGTTGTTCTTTGAACAACAGAACAGGCTTCAGCTACTTCCCCATCCCTTTTCTCACTCTGCTCGCAGATAAGTCCACTTCAAAGCCTCGACAGCAGCCCTGCAAATCAAAATCCACTCGATGCCAATACAATGAACGACGCGAACAGCAACAGTCAACAGCGCACCATTTCAAGTCTTAACCAACCTTCAACACACACACCCACACACTCTCTGTTCTCTGTACCTCCCTGCAGGTTGTTTACAGCACTTTCCAATGAAAATAAACGTATTTCAAGCTAATTACAAAATAAAAGCTAAAGCGCAACGCCAAAGCAAATGCAATAAAACTATTTTTTTTTTTAATCCGACCACACGGGCCTTAAAATACCCTAAAATCATTTTAGAAACTGATATGAAACACGTAAAAGCCAAATGTGAAGACTAATTTGAGCAAGTTAAGAGGAAACGTGCTTATATAGTCAGAAGAGGTGTTGTTTATAAAATAATGCTCTGCAAAAAAGTTGTCGAAGGAACACAAAAGCAAGATGAACCACAAAAAAAGAAAATCTAAAAAGATTACAAATAAGAAGAGCAACAATTTTATTGCCGATCAAAACAAGTGAACTCTGCTTCAGCAGTTATTTATTTACTAAAAAAAAGACGATGTTTCTTATTCAACTGTGTCTAAACTAACTCTGTTAACCATATATTGTTCGGTGGTTAAGCAGTGGATTTTGGTACCTTACACTTATTTATATTATTTATTTAACTACTTATCGGGTATTTTGTAATTCATTGCTTTATTGCCAGCAACGCTAGTATCTACGCTCTTTACAATGCTAAGCTTGTTATTAAACTTATCTTGAATTATGATTTTTATGTTATTAGAAGAACTTTGCACTCTTGTATGTACTTACACTCATAATCTGCTTTTGATATTAAGTTGCATTTGCGAAAAAAAAAAACGTTAAGCAGACAAACGATTTTTGTCACAAATTTGAGTTAAACATGTAAATTAATATATTTTAGACCTGAGATGCCAATACAGCTCCATAAATGCTTGAGTAAAGGGTATATAAGCACAACAAAAAAAAACGAGATGTAGAACTAAATTGAAGGCGCGTCTAAATGAAATTCAACAAATGAAAGCACGCTGTGTTACATTCGGAGGAGAAATAGAGAAAGGAATAGGGAGAGAGAGAGAGTGGAAGAAAATGTAGAGAACAATGGCGCGCTCGCGACGCCATCTGACAGCTGACAAACGAGGGGAACGTGCGGACGAGTGGCAAGCGGCAACACTTCGTTTGCTCTGAGCGCGCACAAAAGTAGGCAACAACATTGGCGGTGAGGCGGGCAGCGGTGTCGGTAACGGTAACAGTGGCTACGTCAGTGAGTGTACAATGACGCTGCAATTTAATTTATATTTTCGTTGTTGTTGCCATTGCTGCTGCTGCTGCTGTTGTTGTTGTTGTCGACACAATTGCAGCAACGCGAGGCGGAGCAAGCTGTGGCGCGGTGACGATGATGATGTGAACGATGATGATGAAATCCACTTAAGCGCAGGCAGTCAGCGAACAGCACACACACACACACACACACATACATACAGAGACTGACACACACACACACGGCGCTTAATTGAACAGCGCAATGGATAAAATGAAAGACAATGCTAACTAGCAACATGCAGGCAGCGGCAATGCAGCGCGTTGGTGTTTCTGTGCGTGTGTGTGTGCGCTCGTGATTGTCACTGTATGATTGTGTGTGTGGGGAATGGTTGTGTGCATGTCTGTACACATGTTTGTCGTAAAATATTTAAGCACACTCCAACACACACACACAGAGAGACAGATGTGGCGCAATCGCATGCCATTGCTACAAAGACAACACAATTAAAGTGACAAATGCTAATCGAAACCTTGCTCCAGATTTTCTCATGTTTTTCTGCTTCTTTTCGCCACTTTTGTGCTCGCTGCTAATTAAATTATCCTGCCGCCTCGTTAGCAAGCACCTCTGATTGCCCCAAACAGCAGCAGCAAAAGGTAAGCAAATCCCAATTTCACTTTGCCAATTTTATTTTATTGTATCTCTATAGTATATAATTAATTCAGTTGGCTCCTTGGCCTTGACGCTTGAAACTTCATTCGAAATGCAAATAATAATTCCTGAAATACGTATATATGTATGTATATATATGGCGCAGAGTGTAAGTAACGCATCCTGGTTGCCCTAATCGCGACACAAGCGCTTCGATGGCGGCTCCTCGTCAGTGGGCGCAATGGATTGCAGAAGCGCGCAGTTTGTGTGATTGCCAAAAAGTGTGAGCAGCAAGGCTACGCCATAGCCCGTGGCTCGTTCACCCTGTGGTGATGAGAAGGAGGCAGGGAAGAAAAGGATGTAACTATTAAGCATAATTGAGGAAATGCAGCTGACAACTTGACACTTACGTTGTGAACGGGCGTGGCCATGTCGACATGCATCCAAACACCGTGATAGTCAAATCCCAAATGGGCCGCCACAAACAGTCCGGCGCACGAGGATTGAGCATTTTGGCGATCCTGGAAGGAGAGATAAAGCCCATAATACTTTGTGCTTTCAGATTCAAACAACAACAATGCAAGCCAGCAAAAATGTTTGCCAGTTTATTAAAATACCACATGTGGCGCACAAGCAAAGAAATGCAGCAAATGCCACACACAGCGGCATATTGACGTCCACCCGTAAGTACAGCACACATACACGTACACGTACACACACACAATAAGTTAAGAAGGAGCGAGTGGGGCGCTATTTTAAAGCAATTGATGTTTAAACAAATCCTAAACATACGCAATTGCATTAATATGAAGTCCAGTTAACGCCAGACTCAATAGACCCTTGGCATCTCCAACAAATTCTCAGCACATTCGGTTGAAAATGACTTCCAAAATTTGTCGAATTGGACAGCAAAGTTGGTGAAAAGTTTCTAAGCATTTTCCAATAATTTTGAAGGCCAATCTTAAGTGAAGATCCCATTTTGCATGTTCCAGTTAGCGCAAAGGCAGCAGCGTTAATTTGAATCATTATAGATTGTAGATCCTGCAAGATCCAATTCTCTGCTTCTCTTATAAATTGATATTATCCAACAACGCTAAATTTTCAGCATCTTCGGAGGATTCAAGTTATCAGTAAGGAACCCCGTAGACGCACCTTTATAGGACGTTAAACAGTTCCCTGAATAAATTGGTTTGACGTAGAACCAGACCCGTTTTATGTTCCCAAATGCCCAAACAGAACTTCATCGTCAATATTCTCCATTGTCCATTCGAGACCCTTTTCGGCGTGAATTTGTTTTTTAATGGCTTCGCAAATTTATATTATTTACACTTAACTATTTTCGCATAGTCACGTGAGATACATCAAGTCCCTTTTGCTACATTACATTTGTCCTTGCAGCAAGTATAAGGAAGGATTTTTTGAGAATGAGTTCACATTATCGTTACGTCTTTTTGCACACCTTTTTTCGTTTTCTCACGGTCTGGAAGATCATCGATTATCTCCGACTATTTTATATACTTTGCAGCCTTTCGGGTGAAAACAAAGAAACACATTCTCGAAACGCTTAGCAAACGCGGCACTCATTACAAAACACGTATTAATATGTCAAAAGCTCAGCATGGCATTACGTTTTTGTATGAAAGACAGAATTGGGAAATATATGTATATTTCTCCGAATTATAGCCATCAAGATGGCAAGGGCAGTCGCACCGTTCCGCCATGGCTAAAATTGAGCGCCTAGAATGCAAAGGAACAGTTCAAAAGTGCGATATAAATCGGTCTAAAACCATCAAAAGTCGGCCTTAACATGCGTGATTTCCATGGTAGGCGCAAGTTCAATTTGTCAATGACTACAAGATTCTACGCATTATAAAGTCGGTGGATCTCAATGCCAACACCCCGGAGGATCTGCACCACATGATTAAGAAGACTTATAAGGACGCAGGTTCCCTCTGATTTTGGCCGAATTTGGAGAATTTAAAACAAAAGGTGCGCGTTCGCAAGTGGATATAAGAATGCGTATCATCTACTTATAATGACAATGCAATTTTTGTAAAATAAATGCTATCGATAGCGATTGTTCATTCCTATTTTTTTGGGAATCTTTTGCATCACCTCTGGAACTCAGTTTTAAAAAGAGGCAATCAATATCTTTAGACTAGTGCGCACCATTCAAAACATTCCTTTGTAAAGCGACACTACATTTTTCAATTGGTGGACCTTCAAATCGTCAACCGCCTATATATACTATACAGACAGATAACCATAATAAAACTACTTTCTGAGAAAATATAAAGTACTGGAAAATAAATCGAATTTCATTTCTTTAGACATTCTAACACCCCCATATCTGTTATATCTGACTGATTTGCAATTGTTCTATCGCTGACATTATTTTTAGTCGCAAGTGTACGATAAAAGTTGCCCAACCGACCCAACATTTGAACCTTCAACTGGTGCTTAATTAGGTGCTTTAAATACCATCGATTTCTAAAAAGCTAAGGATGCTGCTCTATGCCCTGCATAGGGCTGGTTCTGTTTATGCCTAAATTATACTTATGTTGCAATGGCAAAAGCGAGCGCAAAAACAACACACATCTCCTGAAATGGATGGCGTCGCTCTACTAACTTCGGAGGAAATTGCTGCGCTTAAATGACAAACATAAAGTACATTTTACACTGCAGCAAATAAAGGCAAAGTTGCTGCACACACACGCACACACACGCGCGCTCACAAACGTACAAAACACACGAATTTTCAGAGACTTTTCAGGCTTTTGGCCCGCCTGCTGACGGTCTTGTCCAAAAAACCTCGGCCAAAAATGCCAGACTTCAACAGCAGAAACAGCCGAGCTCAGAACAGACAACGGCTCATGGCACAGAGTAGGAGGACCTGGCAGGAGCAGCCACAACGCGCGTTGTTTGCAACTCAAGTTGGAAACCCACACACACACACACACACACACAATACACATTCCCGTAGAGTGCTTGCCACATCATGCATCGTACGGCGGAAGTTAAAATTCAACTGCGGCGGCAGCAGCAACTTCCATGCAAAGTCATTGTCATTGTTGTTGATGTTGTGAATGGAGTTGTAGTTGTTGTTATTGTTGTTGTTGTGCTGATGCTGCTGCTGGCATTTTCGACTGCTAATAACAAGCACAGCTTTTGTTCAGAAAAGTGCGGCTATAAACTTTTTTTTTTGCACTCATAATCCGCAAATTATGAAACTCAAAATGGGCGGGGCGATTAATTTCTTTTGGACAGATTGGTAGATCCTATCTTCATAAATCGACGTCTCGCCCAATTCGTCCATTAAATAGGATTTGGAACAGAATCTTCTTAATTTTTTAACTTAGGGTATTATCAATAAATATAGATTAATAATAAAGTGTTCTACGAATAAATGGCGAAAATACCAAACTATTAAGCGAAAGAAATAGTCATTAGTTTTTGCGTTAATGAAGAGCGCAGATTAAGGACGATTTAAAGGCGTTGCCGTGTTTTTGTTTTCAATTGTTTTTTTATTCGTTATGTATCGTCGATGCATCGAAAGTTTTTTAAATCTTTCACGATAAATAAATTCATTAAGAAAGACAATAAACAGAGCACGACTAATTATTCGTGAAGTAAATTAGTTATAATTCGTAAGTGCTTGTTTTTCTGGCACTAATCTTCTAAAAAATAAATATATATACAAAATAAAATAAATCCTACCAACATAACAGAATAGATGGAAAAACTTTACTTACAAATTCTACTGAACCCTCAACAGCAGACATACAGAAATATTTGTCGAATTTTAAATTTAAATCAAATTTCTTGAATGCATTTCCTCATTTGCAAAATTGTAGGAATCAGATCTGTGGTTTTAAATAATGAGTGTGTTGCTTAACAGCGATTCAAAGTAAGGAGCATAGATAGAGCGCAGGTAAGTGCATGCCATAAAATATAGTATACGAGTATGTATTTGGCAGACAGTGGCACAAATCCACAAACACCCCCGGCAGCACGCTTTCATCAATACTGGCAAACATTTGTCAACATAATGTCATTAACGTTGATTGCATTGGCCAAACACATTGATTGTGTCTGTCTATTGCAAATAGGCGAGCATTCGCACTTAGATGCAGTTGGCAATCTAACACACACACGCACACGCACACAGACACAGGCACAGAGGCACACACACGCACACACGCGCACACAAGTCAATAACGGGTTCTGGTACCATCTAACTAATTGCGGTCAGCAATTGCGCTCTTGTCCAATAAATTTCAAACCCAAAACACACCCGCACACACATATGAACACTCGAGTGTGCGAGTGTGCGAGTGTGTGAGTGTGTGCGTGTGTTTTGTACTTTTGTTGATGCCATCAACAGCAACCGACAGTCGACAGGCGATATTCAGATTTCAATTTCAGCGGCGGTGCACGTAAATTTTATTTATCAGTATCAGTCGGTGGAAGCTGGCGGATTAAGGCTGTCATAAATGACGGCGCAGTGGTTTTGCTATTTAATGTAAGCCCTCATTTATGGCACGTTTAGTTACATTTGTGTGCGTGTCTCACAATTCAAAATTTAACATACACATGCAACATTTTTTTAGCCACACTTTAAAGCAGCTTAACTGGCTGGCCAGAGGAAACGGAAAATAAAAAGTTAACAGCTAAAACATTATACTTGCAAAAGATTACATCAATGGCTTCCCCGCCCGACCCGCTCTACTCGCATCTAGCAAACTCTTCGCTGCCTGCGGCATGTGGCACAACAACATTTACAGAGCGTAGCATCAATATTGAATGCCTTTGACTGGTTTCAGTATCAATTACACATTCATTCAATAAACTTGCGACACCATCGCTAGGATTTCCACAGACTGTCTTCGCCTGCCTCGTCGTTTCTTCCTTCTGCTGCTTCTGATGTTGCTGTTGCTTTTGCTGCAACACGCTAAAAGCGACAACAATTTTTATTCAATTTTCTTGGCGCGCGCGTCGCTTTAAAAAAGTTTTGCTCGAGGGCGAGGAGCGAAGTGAAAAGGCACGGTACAGCGACAGAAATGGCGCACGGCACATGGGGCAAAAAAAAAATAGAAGTGAAGAATAAATATTAGAAATATTCAATGCGAGCAGCAGCTTCAAGCATTCTCATGCTCCCACCCCCCCACTCTTTCGCCCACTTTTTCCTTCTCGTGCGCTTTCTCGCTCTACCCCTGAAAGTGAAGCGGAAACCTATATAACAAGCGGAAAGATTTGTGTTAACAAAGTCGCTTGCGTTGCCGCCCCTGTAAGTAGGCAACGGAAATCGCAGCCATTGCGCAAATTACGTGACTTATGCGGCCTGGCATTGAACATGAAACTGTTGAGCGAGCGAGCGCGACTAGTAAGTCATGGCATTATTTATAAATGGCTGGCCACTGCTTAATCAAAAATGTAAACAACAAACAACGAAACAAAACAATTGCCTTTGGGGCGCATACCCAACAACGAGGCGAACGCCAACGCCAGCGAACACAAAGGACATAAAAAAACTTTGCCGCATAAAAAGTTCAATTTAATTCATTACAGCGAAGGAAAAAGTTGCATTTAACTGCACACAATTGAATTTAAAATTGTTCGAGCTTAATAAAAAAAGAGAGAAAAAACAATTACGCATACGCCGCATAAGCCGCGGAGCCAATGGTGTGGCAGGGAATTTGCTTGCAACACGCTTGAAGCCGCGACAGTCAGGCGCGTGAGCGCTTTGGCATTTATCTAAAATTCATGTCAATCTCAAGGACTGCCAGCATTTTACGATTTAACATAAAAATCAATTACCAACAATGCTAAAAAATTTCACAGTCGTTAAATTTTAGTAACTTGCTCTCATAGCGATGTGGATGTGCATGTGGGGTGGCGTGGGATGGGGTGGTAGCTTGGGAAGCAGAGCCACTGAAGCAAGCAGCGTCAAAATTGAGAAACAATTTAGAAATGTTTAAACAATTTTATTGTTCTGTTATTCGCTCAAAGTCATTCTTCTAGTTGTTGCTGTTATCGTTGTTGTTTCTGTTATGTTTTACTTATGTGGCATTGTCAGGAGCGGGAGCTGTTAGATGCTAAGCAGACGTTCCGCCATTGTCGAAGAGAGACTTCCAGTTACCCCACCATCCCCCCGGACTCAGTCGTGCTTGTAAGTATTCGCTCCGTCGACTTGTAATGAACTTGACACGCTGGTCATAAAATCGGCAAGCATTTTCGTATTATAAATTTTTGTTTTGGCTGTGTTCTTGCGTTTTTTATTACAGCTGCTCAGTCGCTTGTGAATTGCTCAAACAAACTCAAATCTTCAGGTAATAAATATGCCCACATTCCTAATTTAACCTCCATTTTGACCGATAAGCGATTACAATTTTTCACTTAAAGTTTCCCAGAAATAAATTACCGAAATTTATAAGAAAACTAAATGACAAATTATTAGTCTCATTTATAAGATGTTGGGTAATAAAATCAAAGAAAATGAAGAAACTGCCATGCATTTGTAACCATGACTCAAAATCGCAGATTATTCAGCATAAGTATAAGCAAAGAAATCATGAAATGGCCATAGCCTATAATATAATATATTTCTATATAATGGAACCCTCAAGGCAAAAGAAATCGACGGCGACTCTAAATAAGCTTTCGGCCAATTAATTACTATTATTAGTTATAAATAATAATCAACAACAATCCTTACAATCCTGCCTCACAAATAACGAATGAAAGGTCATAAATTTATTCAGCTGAACTACGCCAATATCTATACTTCGCTGTCTGAAGTAAAGGAAATACCATAAATACCAATCCTTTGATCTTCAGAATACATCTGGCTCTGATAGCATCTTCTTCAGTACAAGTGCCCCACAACTGACTACATTACTCCTACGAGTATGTACACTGTGTGTTTATTATATCCAAGAGATGAGAAGCTACCGCTCAGGACGACCGCGAAGCACAAATCAAAAAGTGCGCCAAAGCAAATTGCAGTCAGTTATTTAAAAGCCAGACACGGTCGTACCGCACAAAAATGTGCCAGAATGACCCAAAAACAACAATAAAAGCAGCAATAAAAGGACACACGCACACCCACATAGTGAGGGCGCAGACCAACCGCTAACAACGCTCATAATCCGCCCATTTAGTGGTAAACTAACAGGGGGGGGGGGGGGGGGGAAATGGCAACAAAAAATAAGGAAGCAAAAAAAAAGAAGGAAATCCACACCCAACTAAAATGTAATTTAAAAACAACGCGTGGGAATTTTCGCTTCAGAACCCAAACGAGCGCCTCTTCTTCATGTTTTTACACCTTTTTGACATTTAACGTGGAATGCATTTTGAATTTAAAACACTTTATCACGACGGGTCACGTTGACAAAGTGCGCGGCATTAAATGCAGCACCGAGCCACGTAAGAGAGTGTCGAGGAGGGAAAGGGGGGAGAGTGATATTTTGACTTGTATTTGTCACACACACACACACACATACACGCACGCACACATAGAGCGATGGTGCACAGCCCAATCAAAAGGCAAACATGCCACACCAGACCGCGCCACTTGAACTCTCGCAGCTCGCAGCACGCACCACACCCACACACAACGCACAATGTTGGCCCTTAGCCATGGGCAGAATAGAGCATGGCAGTGCAGCGAGGAGCGTGACAATGATGAATGACCATTGATCCGAAACGTTTTAGATGTACAATAAGGTAACTCGATTTTGTTGCTGTTGTGGTAGCCTGCGTGGCTTGAGGCCAGCACTGCCCGTCTGTCCATCTGTGTGTCTGTCTCCCTCATCCACTGGCTGACTGGCTGACTGACTGACTGACCAGCGATGGCTGCAGAAGTAGCTGGCGTAGATTAAACGCCCATTTTTCCAACTTTTTTCCTCGAATACTCTCTCAAAAGGGTGTGTGTGTTGTCGGCATAAATCACAGCATGTGTAATACTAATCAATCTTTAAACAGAACATGACGTTCATCATTTTTCCCTACGAACCCATAACAAAGAACAAAAACCACACACACACACGCAAACGAACAAAAATTGAACCACGATAAAGTTAATTAAAAAATGGCAAGTCAAATATTTTGAGGATGTTGCTGGAAACGGAAAGGTAGAATAGCGTTCGGCATGGGGTTTAGATTGTTGCAAAACAATAACAAACACAATATCCGATTCGCACAATAGAAGCATGTGGAGAGGAGAATAGATTTGCCCCTTGGCTTTTTTTCATAACATATGTCACAGATACTCGTATGACAACAAGTAAGTCAAATTTTATTATTCTACATTGATTTAGTTTCCCAATTTCGATACTATCCTGGATACATCGCTTTCAAACTGAACGAAACTCTGTACTAGGCATGGGCGCATGAAACAGTGTGGACTATCTAAGCGCCGAAAAAACCATGCATATCTACTAGATTCCCAGTGATAAACGCATTCAAGTCAATGAGATGGCGGACCATCTGGCAAAAGAAGAGCAGAGCTAACCCAAGCAAGCATCTACTTTTTCAGTTCGGATCAAACGCCTAAACACAAGACCGAACAATGTGATCGGTACTAGACCACAAAATTCCCCCTGAATCACCAAAAAGAAAACGAAAACGGGCCTATTAACAGAATACTGCTTGATTGATATCATACAACTAAATGGTCTAATTGTTAGCTTACCTATAAAAAAAAAAATCTACTTCGGTGTCTCAAACAAATATATTTTTAAAACAGTCCTCCTCTGCGCTTCTCATGCACCTAAGCGAGGCCCCGATCTCGAAAGAAGGAAAAACAAATAGATGGAATTTAAAATACATCAGTGAAAATATCTAGCTGTATACAAATGTATTTGTGTGTTTTTCCTACGTACAAGGCACTTTCTTTTATAATTTAAAAAAACTGTAGGCACACTTTAAAGCTTAGATAAAATTTTTTCGTTAGATTGTCGAATCAAAAGTCTATATATGCGAATAAACATAAACGTGTATTTAAGCCGCCTACTGATGCTAATTGTGGATCATCACAGACACCCTCATCATAAATGAAATAATTAATCGTCAAGTTTATTTAACCAATTTAATGATTGTACACGATTGACACTTTTAAATAAAAGCACTCTGCTAATACATAATACATAATTCAGACAGACGGACGGACGTACATATATCTTGTAACACTTCCTTCAGACTGTTACTTACTTTCGATAAACCTTTCTAACCTTTCTTTATCTGTAGCTTAACTAAAAATTCCCTAAAATTGCCGCGTTGATACGCGTAGGCAAGTTGGTATCCCACATGCCAGCAGCCTAGCAGCCTAGCTTTTAATAACACTTCACACTGCATACATAGTTACGGTTGAGGCATTGAGTGGATGTGTGGATCTCTATTGCCGTCAAAGTTCGTCAAAAGCGAACATTGTGGTATGGCAACAAAGCGGCCTCTGGCCTAGCGGCTGCACGCCTCCCTCTCGTTGTCTGCCGGTCCAGTCCACCGTCAAAAGTGTAATTAACTGTTGCGTTTTTTCGTTGCCATGCCCCAAACGCCTGCCAAATCGAGTTTTGCACTCTGAACTTTGACTGCAGTGCCCCGCCACTTCGATTACACGCACAAACTTGACGATTTCAGTCAACAAACTCAATACCTGTCAGCGATAATGTACGTGTGTGCGTTTTTGTGTGTTTTCGTGCTGCACATGACTTTTAAAGTAGCCTCTTGGCTCTTTTTTGGGTACTTACCGAGACGGAGTTTTTCATATCTGCGATTGCCGATGCAAATTCCGAGAAATGCAATTCGGGGCAGTAAATTATGGGCGCCAATAAATCTCCGGATTTGCGTCCGGCCTGCAATGACTTGGCCTCCCATTCCTCCGAGTTAGTCAGTATGGCGCCATGATATTTGCCCGTTGCAACGCCCTGCGAATGAAATAAAAAGCAAAGGTGGAGAAGTGTGAGGAGCGCATTGAGTAAATGAAATATTTAATAGTTAGATGTAGATGCTGACCATTTAAACGATAATTGCCGACCCAAAAAGCGCGCTAAAATGTACAACAAGGGAAAACTGAATTGAAGGGAGAAAAGCGCTAGCAGCAGTCACGATGCTGATAGAAAACATGCAACGCTTTAACAATCAACACAACAGCGACTGTAACAACAACAACAACAGCAGCAACTACTACTAAATAGAGTATAAAAAAGCAACAGCAATGGCATTCGCAACGGCACCCAGCATAGCAATAAAAATGAACAGCAACTAACAATGTTAAAGTGCCAATGGGTTGGGCAATGGGATGGCGGGGGGAGGGGGACTTAGATTGGTTTGTATTAAATCGAGTGCGAGTATGTGGCAGGATTCTTGTTGTTGCTGCTATTGCTGTGCGGCCCCAACATACCACCCCACTGAAGGAGAAGAGAGGCGAAGGCAGTGTGCCGCAATTGCCAGCGCAAAATTGCAAGCTTCCGACACTGACGTAGCTCGCGCGTCCAGCAATAAAAAGGTGCAAGGTTATTTGGAGCAGCCAACACGAGAGCATGGCCAGCGAGCAGTGGGGAAGATAGTGGCAGAGGGAGATGGGGGGACGTGTGCTGCTCTAGTACTTGTTAAACGGCAGCTGGACAAATGAAGGCAACACACACACACACACACCCAAACAACACTCGTACACAACTAACTAAAAACAGCAACAACAACAGCAACAACAACAAAAGGTGTAACAAGCAGCAACATAAAATGTAAAAGTGCAAAGTTGTTGCCTTCCCTCTGCTGCTGTTGTTGTTGCTGGCGGCTGGCTGTCTGCTGCTGTTGTTGCAGCAGCAGTTGCCCCAATGTTGGCAATTAATATTATTGCATGTTGCATAGTCATTCCATTGTGTGTGTGTATGTATGTGCGTGTGTGTGTGTGTGTAATGAAATTATGTAAAAACAAGCGACAAAACAAATTCTAAACCAAATTGAAATAGAGCGCGAGCGTTTAGAATTTTTGCGCGCGCGTAAAGTGTTGCGTACTTGTGGGCTGTGTGCAAAATTCAAAAATATACAAATATGTATAAAATATGCAGAAAAATGTAGAGAAATAAATTGGCATAATTATGGCATACACAGAGAATTTCAAATATAAATTGTGAAAGAAAGCCCAAAACAAATATTTAAATGAATCGAAATAGGTGCCTGAATATGAATTTAAAGGTTGCAAATTGGGGAAACTGTTTGAGTTTAAGCATATTAATATTAATTATCTATGAATAATGCAAAAAAATAGCTAAGAGTGTCATGTTTAATATTTCGAACGAACTCCTCTACTGAATGGCTGTGTTCAATTGCTATGGCAAAATGGGGTGCATATTCAGTTCCTATACAAATATCTGGAACCGAACTGCCTAAAAAATTACAAAATTCAGGTTTCAAATATTCTTGTGGCTGTTGATGAAATGTGATGTTTTTCAATTCCGAAACTAAGCATCAAAGTGCCGAATGGAACCATGGAAGCGAAATCTAAAGTGAAAACAATGATGATTTATTACCACCATTCGAAGGGAATCCGTACCACTTTGACCAATTTTTATACCCTGTACCCGTAGGGTAAAAAGGGTGTATTAGGTTTGTGCAAAGTATGTAACATGCAGAAGGAAGCATCTCCGACCCCATAAAGTATATATATTCTGAATCAGCATGACGAGAGAAATCAATCTAGACATGTCCGTCCGTCCGTCCGTCTGTCCGTCCGTCTGTTCGTCCGTCTGTCCATCCGTCTGGATGAACGCAAGGATCTCAGAAACTATAAAAGCTAGAATAACCAAAATTGGCATCCATATTCTCCTAGGTCCGAGAAAGGACGAGTTTATTTTATTTTTTGGAAATTTAACCATCAAGCTTCGCTGTTTCAGCCAAGCTGATTCAGCTCTGGTTATATAAATTCCATTTGTTCATAAAGAAGGAGAACGCCATTAAAAACCTTATACCACACCATTCCAAAGGTCATGTTATTGATTATGCAAAACTGTGTATAGAGTCGGAAAGTGATTATTTTGACTAAAATATGATCAAACTATGTATCAATTCTGTGTTCTTTATTTCTTTATTTCAAACCCCTGTATACTTCGGGCCCTAACTTTTTAATTCCAAATAACTTATAAAAAATGTGAGGCCAAAGTGGAAATGAACAAAATAGAATACTGAGCTTTCTTAAATAAGTTTGCAACATTCTGCCAAGCTCTTTTGCTTTAGTCGACTTTCCTTTACTGCCTTGACTGTCCGTCGTTTCTAGCAACGACCGACCCCCACACCATTTTTATTTATGTCCCATCGAACCACAAATAACGTAAATTGGCGTCATATTTTAAGCAAATTGCAGCCAAGATTTATGGTAATTGTGCGCCATAGCAACGCTGCAGCAGCCCCCACTCCCCACCGCCAACTACTGTTCGTGTTGTTGTATTTCCGATGCTGCTGTGGACGCCGTTTGATGTGCGCACGATGCTGCTGCTACTGCAGAAAAAATGGCCAAATTTGCAATTTATTTTTTCCAATTAACCTCCTGACTTTGTAAAGCGCACGGCATAAATTTTGTATTAAAAGGCAAAAAGCAAAAATGAGAAATGCGGTTAACAAAGCAAGCAACGAGAGTAAGTGCAGCAACTTCCATCGTTCTATTATTTTCTCTTCCTTGTGCCTAATGAGCAGTATGTGGATTTTTGGACTTACCTGTGCGCCTGTTAGCGTGGCCATGTCGAGTATAATATTGGCCTTCAGATCCTTGTTGGCGTAGCAAACACCATCGGCCAGCACGAGTCGACCCTCTGCATCCGTGTTGTTGATCTCAACAGTGCGACCAGAGTAGAGTGTGTGTATGTCGTCGGGACTGGGTTGGAGAGGAACAGGAAGAGGTAACATGAAATAGAAAATGTAAACACAGGCATCATAAAAATATATCAAGACTATATATTTATTTTAATATCGGTTCGAAATTAGTTTTCTATTTTTGAAAGCCCTCAGACGGAATAGTAAGGTGGATTATACCTATGGGAAACCTTATATAGCTATAATTCCTGACAAAAAGGGAGACAAAGAAAATAATTTCTCAGGAACATTATAAATTGCTTCCTTTCTTTCTGACTCGACTGAAGTGACTCGATACGGCTTTATTAAATAGGTGATTCGAATGAAACACAATTCAGCTAAGCTCTGAAGGCAGAAGAAGAGAAATTAAAATAATATTTGTCTTCTTAAAAATGCAATGTGCCTGATTTAAATTAGCGTATAGGTTTTAATTTTAATGAGAAAATTTGTCCAATTCTAATGTGGAAATAAATAAGTAGTTCAGCTTAGCCTTACCGGGTAGCATTGGGTCCCACCGAATTCTCGGCGAGGCAAAATACTGCGTGCAGATTGTCCTTAAAGCCACATTTGACAGCTGCATAGAATGCGCCCAGAATGGCGGCGGCTCCGCCACAATCCCGCTTCATGCCCGGCATAGCAGTCTTACCCTTGATGCTCAGGCCGCCAGTGTCATAGACAATGCCTTTGCCCACAAGCGCAATGGTCTCCTGAGCGCCCTTGGGCTCGTGCGATAAAACCACAAGTGCAGGCGGCACAGCCGCCGCCTTGCCCACACCATAAATGCCGCCAAAACCGCGCTCACGCAACTCCTCGCCACGTATCACCTGCGGTACTATGCATAGCTCTTTGCTCAGCTCCTGCACCGTCTGCACAAAGTGGTCGACGTTCATCTCGTTACACGGAGTGTCCACAATGCGAGCCGTCAGGCGTATGGCACGCGTTGTCACCTGCAAGCAGTTGATCTCCTCTTCATTGAGCGTGGCGCACTCCACGCCGCCATCCTTATCAATGATGACAAACTCAATATTGATCAAGCACTTTCTGTGGGAGCCAGCATCGCCGCCATCGTTGGTTGGACTTGTTGAGAATCCGTTGCCCGTTTTGCGGGAGTACAGTGGAAAGGCACGTGCCACCGCACACGCGCTGGCAAAGATATTCTCACGCTCGCATACGAGCACCACATGCTCCTCATTTACGTTCAACACGTGATTCTTGATCAGACGTGTTATGGCATGGGCACGCGATGCGGTGTTGTGGCGCGAGGCTTTCAGAGGCAAAGCCGCCACTGACGCCACATCCAAGTAAAGGGAACATTTATCCGTGGGTGCGGGATGAAGACATGAAATAGCGTTCTTGAATGTCTCCTCCGAGACACGTGGCTCCAATTTACAGGCGAGCTGCTCGAACTTGAGCAGATTCAGGTGGCGCAGTTGGCCAATGATGAGCACCGGCTTCTGCTGGGGATCGCTCCGCGTCAACGTTGGACTAAACTTGATGTCCGTACCAGCCATCTAGAAGACAGATGAAGAATTACTGAGTTGAAAAAGTTGGTGCCAACTATTGTAAATGCTTGCATTTTTTATCAAACTTAATCTGAGATTAAAAAGCATTGCTGTAGGTTGCCTAGATTCTTATCTCTAGACTTTGCACCATAAAACTTTATGTGGCACAAATCTCGCAGTTGAAAGGCGTACGCAGAGATTATGCTATCAATCCAAGCGTCCATTAGTCACCCGCGAAGAGCAAACTGTATGGACTGCTATTTATAGCTATTCTTCAATTATGTACAAATATGAGATTTTAAATAATTTGGTCAAACCCAGCTTCGCACACACAAACTCTTCATTATAATGCTTGCCGCTGATAAGCGATGCCTGCCGACGTCATCGCCACACAGCACAATGACATCGCACGCCTTGTGACCTTGAGCGGCAAACGAAACAATTCAACAAGTAGGTTGAACAAAAATGCCGGCTGTTACCCCACCTGCAACCTGCGACTGCAGGTGTCTTCTACCGAAACTTTCTCTTGTGCTCCATTTTGAAAACGACACGCTGAGGTGTTGTTGTTGTTGGTCTTGTGTTCGTTTGGGGGCTTGTAGATATCAATGTATTTATATGTATGCATGTAGATATGCATAGGAATAAGATAGAATTGCGCACTGTTTATGCAAATGTGTAGTTTATTTTTAGTCTTCTTTGTTCTTAAAAATATGCCACAGTTCCCCCCTCCAGCTGCCGGACCCAAACCCACACTCACCTTCGACGACACCCTGTTCGCGCTGGAAGCGTACCGTTTACTGCAGCTAAATAAAAGACGATACGCTTTAGCGCCGTCTAAAACACGCATCTATTTATGCGCGCGCAACAAATTTAGAAAGTTTATACACCTTGCAAATAATTTTGTTATGTACTAGCCATGTAACGGAATCTAACAATTTTTTACTGTGCCAATTTGACTTGCAATTTCTTGTGTTGCCGGCTGCACTCTGCTTCTTCTTACAGGACTGTCCATCTGCGCGCTAAGCAGGGCGTTGCCAGCTGGCAGCTTAATAATCTGTATTCCTAAAAGTACGAAGGTGGCAGCACCAATCAGCTGCTAGAGATGCCAGAGAATGACGCTTGCCAAATGAATGACGCGCTTTTGTTTAAAATTAACAGCACAGAACATGAATAATTCGTATGAAATTTGCGCGCGCCTAAAACGCCTAACAAACAAGGAACACGAAGTCAAGAGGGCAGAAATACAGCTGGCCAAAAAAACCGAACAATTTCGCAGCGATTTAAGTGAGTTTTAGATCGACCACACAAATTGGATATACATACACATGTATTTGTTTACATACACATTGCTTACATCCGCAGCTGCCGCCAAAATTGAATTGCGGCTACAACAGAGAGAATGTGACGAATTGCGATCTTTGTCAACGCGGCGCAACGGTGTTCTACAAAAGGAGCGCGAAAAACTGGTCGCAGTGCTGCAGCGCAGTGCCGAAATACAGGCAATGGTGACAGAACGCACAACACAGCTTGTGATGTCGGAACGCAAAGAGAGAAACAGGTACGTATATATATGATGTATTACATTAATATGTACATGCAAATGCTCTATGCTTGTATTACCTTCACTTTGTCCGGTTTTGCTTTCTCAGAATGCATGAATTAAAGGAGGCCACCAACATATACATCAATCACAAAGCGTTGCCCGAACGCCTCCAGGGCGTCATTGTGCTGCCCAAAGGTAGCGACACGAGTTCGAGCTGCGGCAGTATTGGTCAGTGGGTACCCTTCAGCATGGACGGAAACAGCATACATGGACTAGACGCACTGTTAACGCAATTGCCAATTCGTTATAGAAATGCCGAGCAATGGCAAGAACTGATAGACGTGACTAATCGAGTGGCTATATTGCAAAAAGCGGCGCCTGCAATTGACCTTACGTCAACTAAGTCCGTATAGCTTCGGCTGGTGGCTAGTGATAATAAAATATTGTAAATGCACACGTAAACAGGTGTCAATCAATCGGAAGGGGAGGCACGTTTGCCCACAGACTCGCTTCCTGCACTCTTTCGGCTACAAGGTTCCCTGCTAATCTCGCACTTGCCATCTCAAACGCAAATCAAACGTGCTATAGTCATATACATAAGTGGCTCTCTCTGGCCTCAGTATGCGGCCATAGCCTGGCCATCTCCATAATATTTTGCTGCGTATTTAATTGTAAATGAATGTGTATTAATTATATTTTGCAGCAGATGTAGCGTCGCCCTCGTCTATAATTCGCGTTGTTATTGTTCTCATTGCTATATCTATAAATGTATGTATGTGTTAATGTATAAGTATGCCATTATCAAGAGGCAGCGACGTTAACGCTGCTCTGCTGGCTACAAAAAGCACAGGTCGGCGCAGTTTTCGCGCTCAGTCGCATCACCATCGTCCAACGCGATCATGTTGACCGAAATCCTGTTGCTGATCAGTGCGCTGGTCTTTCTTTATTTGTCATATCAATATGCAGTCGGTCGTCCTGTCGGCTTTCCGCCGGGTTAGTGGCCTCGTCCCAAAGGACTCCAGGACATCACTAATGCATTAGTTGGTTTCTTTAGGTCCGCCGCGCATTCCCGTCTTTGGCAGCTACCTATTTCTGATGCTGGTGAATCACAAATATTTGCACAAGGCTGCGCTGGCCATCAGCAAATGGTATAAATCTGATATAATTGGCTTCCATGTGGGTAAGTATCCTGTAGTTGTGGTCCACAACGGAGCAGGTGTGCGCGAAGTTCTGAATAATCAGGTGTACGATGGACGACCGGCATTGTATATTGCGGCCATGCGCGACCCCGGGGATGATGTGCGCGGTAAGTATAATTGACAATGCACGAGTGTGATCTTTGATCTGCAGACAACAGTAATTTGCAGTGATGATAAGTGGGTCGGCCAAGTGCCAGCGGAACGTTCGATTAAACTCTAAAGCACTACTGATAAGTGCTTTAGACTCACACATTCTTCTATACACATACATACGTCTGTCAACCCGAGCAGGCAATATAATCTATTTCGGACATAAAAAGATCTGCCATAAGAACCCAGAGAGGTGTTAGGGCCGGTAGTGGCTACAAGTGGGTCCAAAGGATATACTAGGTTGAACAAATTCTGATTTTCAAGCCAACACCATATAAATGACATATGCCTATACATACATACTTCAATGGCCCTTAATATTAAGTATAGATATGATCAAGATCTTTTGAGCTGAATGATTTTTTAGTTCGCCATTGAAATCGGGGGTTTCCTTAGCTTATCACACTATCGACAATATGGAGTAGAAATATTAGAAATAAGCAAATTTAAGGTTGAAAGCTACCGTGTGTAGTTAATATTTTTAAGCATTTATGGTTTTTAGTTATCTTTATATAATATGAATAGATTTTAATTGTAGAGTAGTAATTGGATGTTCTTCACCATCGATGATAATCTCAATACTGAAGAAATACAGGCTATTATAAGGAAAATGCTTGGAAATGGCAATCTTGCTCAAATATACTCGCATATAAGAAGAATATCTATGAAGATCATTATTGAACAAATTCAAATTGTAATGGCCCCGACAAAAGTCAGTTATTCATATTCTATTTTATTTTTTTTTCGAGATTTTCTAAATAATACGCCAAAATAATTATAATATTACGATCCCATTTATATTATCTTGCGATTTTTATATTGGGTCACTGACGTTGACAGGTTATCGCCATTTTCAGCGCACCCACTGTTTCCCAAATTTTCCATTTCACATTATATTTTATTGGATTTGCCAGAACCTTAGTCTTTCACTGGACTATGGGCCCCAACGATAACGAACTTTAATAAATATTCAATACTAATAAAGGATTACTTCCATAAATATTGATAGTACAAACAGTGAAACAGAATTATGTTCTCAAACGTTTTTATGAAGAAGTTTTATCATCAAGAAATGCATTAAATAAACAGAACTTAAGACGTCTTCACAATGCACTGTCCTTTCATCGTCCTTACGGCGGAGCCTGTCTACCCAGAAAATATTTCATAAGCACTTTTCCTCGTTTTTATTCTTTACCTCTATCCTTATCGATGACTACCAAACCCCTTAGAAGTGTTCTGGTCTCTTCCCGAATCAACCCATGCCAGCTTGTCAGCCCCTTCGTTTCCCAACAAATTGCCCCAGCTTTGATCATAGTCCTCAGAAAGAAACGGCCCTTATGGTTGGTTGAATGTAGTAGGACTTGCTCTCCTAACAAGCAAACGTCTATAAACCTCAGAAGGGAAGACGTTGAGCCATATGCTTAAATATTTACAATTTTAAAACAACACTAGCTTAGAGCCAGAAATCGACGCGTCTTAGATGCGTTTGAGAGTTTGCTTTGATTTTCTCTTTTAATACTTGGTTGGGTTTGTTCAGGCATTTTCTTCCAGGAGGGCTTACTGTGGAAGGAGCAACGTCGCTTCATACTTCGGTATCTGCGCGACTTTGGCTTCGGTCGACGCTTTGACGAACTGGAACTTGTGATACAAGAGGAGATCACCGACATGTTGGACATCATACGGAATGGACCGCGTTATGAACACGAGCATCAGCTTGTCAAACCTGGCGGGTATCGTGTCCAACTGCCATTGCTCTTTAACCCCTTCTCGGCCAACAGCCACTTCCACATAGTGTACAATGAACGCCACTCGCGAGCCGATATGGCGCGTCTGATCAAATTGGTGCAGCTGGGAACACAGTTCCAGCGTACGGCCGATGATTACGGAAAGCTGCTGAGCATTATACCTTGGATCCGGCACATTTTTCCCAACTGGAGCGGCTATAATAAGCTAAACGAATCCAATCAGTATGTTCACGAGTTCTTTTCCAGTTTCGTGGATCGTTATATTGAGACATATGACGAGTGTAGCGAGCGCAACTTTCTAGATCTGTACATAGCCGAAATGAGGAAGAATGTGGGAGCCAACACCAGTTTCAATCGAGCACAGTTCATAATGGGCCTCGTGGACTTCTCCTTTCCTGCCTTTACGGCTGTGGGCGTACAACTGTCGCTGCTGGTGCAGTATCTAATACTCTACCCGGAGGTGATGAAGCGCATACAGAATGAAATTGATGAGGTGGTGGGGAGTGGGCGTCTGCCCACGCTGGAGGATCGCCAAAGCATGCCCTACACAGAGGCCACCATTCGCGAATGTCTACGCATTGAGACCCTCGTGCCGTCTGATGTGCCGCACAAGGCGCTGGCAGATACCGAGCTGCTGGGCTACCGCATACCTAAGGACACCATCGTAATACCCAGCCTATATGCGTATCACTCGGATGAACGCATCTGGTCGGATCCCCAGCAGTTCCGACCCGAGCGTTTCCTGGACGAAGAAGGCCAACTGTGCCTAAAATTGGACGTTTCGTTTCCTTTTGGGGCCGGCAAGCGACTCTGTGCCGGCGAAACCTTTGCCCGCAACATGCTCTTCCTCATTACATCGGCCATGTGCCAGAACTTCAACTATGTGCTGGCGCCCGGTGACAAATTGCCCGATCTCACTAAAAACTTATCCGGCCTGATCATATCACCACCAGATTTTTGGGTGCAGCTGGAGGAGCGTAAGCTGTAGGAGCGATTGAAACTATTTAGCAGTGTTGTACTAGATTTTAAGGCATAAATCGAATGATCGGTTAAATAAAGAACATAATAGTTATAGAAAACTCTAAACTTTATAATGAATCTCAACTCTATACATATATAAAATTCCCATTAACAGTTTTTATAGCCTGTACCCAAAGGGTGAAAGGCTATACTAGTTTTGTGCGCATGTATGTAACACACAGAAGGAGGCGTGGCAGACCCCACAAAGTATATATATTCTTGATCAGGATGAGAAGCCGAGTCGATATAGCCTTGTCCGTCCGTCCGTCTGTCCGTATGAACGCAAGGATCTCAGAAAGTATAAGAGCTAGAATAACCAAACTTGGTTTCCATATTCTCCTAAGACCGAGAAAGTACGAGTTTGAGTTTTTTTTCGATGCACCCCCCCACTCCCCCGCAATTCGTGTTTTTTCTTATAACTTCCGTAATTCTCGGAATTTTGAAATCCATTTTGGTAGGTACATCCAGTTAGTACTAATGTGTCCGTATGCCAAATTTCATCATGATAGGTCAATTCTGAAGAAAGTTATAGCCATAAGTAAAATCGCTGCTCATGCGCTGCCTGCATGCATTTTTTTTTAAATTTTTCTTTTTTGTGGAGAGTACAGGCTATTTATTTACTATTTACTGTCGGTCTTGCTCGATTGTACCGTTCTATCTTGTTTTTTTTTTAAATCCTAGAGCAACCAAACACGGCTGTTCGCTCTTCTGAGTTCTCTTGTCTTAAGTTTTTGTATGGAGAGTGTGCCAATAAGGGTATTTAAGATCCAGTAAGAGCTTTCTAAGAACAGTGAAAATAAGTTATATTATTGTTTCAATGCACGCTTTCGAATACTTCAATCAAGCCCAAACATTTTTTTATTTAAACAGTTGAGCGCTCTTTATTTTATTGAGCCTGGCTTGCAAGATTTCAGTTCTGAACAGACCGGAAACATCGAAATATGCTGTCAGAATCGGACCACTACATCATCTTTATACTATCTACGAAAAATTGTATTTTAGGTTTTTACCTGAGAATGCTTGATAACTCAAGAGTTTATTTTAAAGTGATAAACTATTTAAACAGTTGAGCGTTCTTTATTTTATTGAGCCTGGCTTGCAAGATTTCAGTTCTGAACAGACCGGAAACATCGAAATATGCTGTCAGAATCGGACTACTACATCATCTTTATACTATTTATAAAAACTTGGACTCTAGTTTTCTAGAATGTTCGATAACTTGAAATTTTTTTTTAAAGTTTCTGAGTGAAAACTCTAGACTAAAGACACTAAGGAACCAAATCTATTTAGTGAAAAGGCATTGTTGAACGGTAAATGCAAATTTTATTTAGACTGCACACAGGTGCTGTTTTATACGAACGACCTGAGTGGGCCTTACACTACTAACAAATTTCGTCTCTCATTCTCACTAAAAGGCCTAACCAGAGAAGGCAATCTGATTAGGTGTGCTCATGGATTGTGTGTGTCTTGGGAAAACGTGAACGATATATAAGTAGAAAAATATATAACAAGCTGTGGACAATGTCTTTGTTTAGGTGTTATCGGTTTCACTGTCCGTTCGCTCCGTTTCAACGTCACTGTCTGTTTCAGGGATTTCGGAATCGCTGGAAAGTGGAGAGCTGGAGCGGGAACTGGCAGTTGATGAGCCACGAGTTAGGGAGCGTGAGGATGCTATCGATGAGCTGCTGTCGGACTCAGACTCATCCTCATTATAGCTGTCAAGATCAGTTTCAACGTCGCTTTCGCTATTGTTTTCTTCCCCCTCATCCTGCTGCTCCTCTGGAGGCATTTGATGTTGCAGCGCCGTCTCGGAATAGGATTCGTCGGTCTCCGAGTGGTCGGACGTGTAAGTTGACGTGCTCTGCTGTACTTGTAATTAGGACCTGATTAGTATTTAGTCCGCATTTATAGCAGCATCGTTGCTACCTACCAGCATCTTGGTGCTACGGTATATCAATGTTTTTGCCTCTTGCAACTGCTGAAGCAATGCATTGCGTTCCACCAAGTGGTATTCACGCTGCAGACGACACTCGGTGTCCAGTTCCTGGTTCTTCTGTCGCAGCTCAAACATCTCACCGAGAATGTGGTGCTGTTTGTCTACCACTGTGGCGACTAGTTGCTCCAAATTTTCGATCGTGATCTCGTAGTCGTGCAACTTCTTTTTCAGCAGCCAATTCTCGGCCCGACAACTGGCCAGTTCCGAGGCACAGACGGCAATCTTCGTATCATCGGACTCGGACGCATTCGTGCTTTGAGAGAAAGGATGTCGTTCGATGGCTTCGTTTTGCAGGACAGTTAAGCACTCGCACTACTTACATGTCCACAACGTTTTCCTCGGTTTCTTCATCTGCAGTTGGTAAGATTTGGCTGCGGCTATTCAAAGCCGGAGCGTAGTATTGACATATGCAAGACATTTTTCGATATTGAATTTTCAGATACTTTCTATTGGAGCTCACTTGCTTGCCAAAAGACTCGGTTGACAAGAATCACAATGAACACAGAATATAACTTATTTGAACAATAAATAAAGATTTCGATAGAGCCACTATTTGCGTTGTCTCTTGCATCTCTGGCACTATATAGAAGATGTTCAGGGTGAAAAGTAAGGGTGCTCAATTGAAATGTAACTTATTGTCTACGATTTTTCCAGATGGGTGTTATAAACTCGTACACTAACAGGAGTTAAGTTTTAATATAAAAGTAAGTCTATGGCAGATTTGGTTTTGGTGAAAAAACTACAAAAATCAAAAATTATGGGAACGCGGTTATTCCACAATATCTCTTACAAATTGGGTCTACTTGTAATTCGATCTGTTTGAGACTGATCTATAAATTAGGCGATGGGTTTAAAAACAAAGACTGAATATGTGTATCTTTTCTGATAATTTCTCGCCCAGAAAGCATGCAGTTTGTGTTTTTTCTTTTTCATCTAAAACATATCACGCATTCCGAACAATTCGTACCTCACTTAGTTGCAGAAAGGACTTTTCTGTGCTACTTACCACAAACATTGTACGCTGCCTACGCGTCAAGTTGGGCCACGCCTGCTTGGCCTTGGCCAATATCTGGTCACTCGTCAGATTCCTGTACTTATGGCGACATAAACGCAAATAGGTCTCAAAGGCCTTATTGCACTTAATAACTTTTGTGGGCTGTACTTGTGGGGGAAGCGGGTGGCTTGGTCCGTTTTCTGGAGGCTGGAATTTTGGTTGAAAAGGGTAGCGCTTGCATTGTGGCTTTTTGGGCTGCAAATATTTTGGCTTTGGCTTGACCATTGGTGGTCGAGGTTTCTTCAGAGGGGCTCGACGTGGGCGATTCTGGCGTGTCCGTCCGGTTTGATTTTTACGCCGAGGCCGACGTTGACGTTGAATCCTTCGCTTCGGCTTTAGTGCGCGTAGATTTGCCTTTCGCCTCGGCTTCGGCTTGAGTTTGGATCTGAGCTTGGTTTTAGGCTTTTGTACCGATTAATCACAGCTTCTGCTGAAAAATCAACTGCGTCTTACCCTTCTGCGATATTTGCTCTTAGCCTGGTTGCTCAGACGCACCCAACACTGAGCTCCCTGACGCAATGCCTCATTGTTGGGCAGAAACGGATGCTCCCTTTGGAAGCTGTGCAGAAAGTTTAGGTATCCATTGATTATGGACATTATTGATACTTTTCAGATTAATGTGTGCTGTGTGGTCGTGTTTTGTAAAAAAAAAGAACATGTGTCGATTATACGTAAAACTCAATGCTTCTGTTTGCTCAAATTTTAATGTAACTTCTCTTAAAGTTAATTTATTAGACTTATTGCATTCGTTTTATAACAAGAATTTAAACTTAGCTGCTATTATATATTTAGCTACGTACGAGTAGAGAAGAGAGCTTCTCAGGCGACTGGGCGCCAAGCTCGCTGGCATGTCCCTCAATTTATTGCTTCGAATCTAAAATATCAGTTACAGTTTTTTTTAAATGGTACATAAAATGTCCAATCCTACGCTCCGCTCCCTCCAACTGCTCGTATCGAGTTTATTTCTCGATGTGATATGTAATTATGTTCAAAAGTATCGCTCAGCGTAATGTACAGTTATTACATTAAGTCGTCCACGTACTACAATTTACAGTTTTATAACGAAAGTTATTCAGTTTGGTTTGTCGAACGACGAGTTGTTCGAATCGTTCATTCATCAGTTGCTTATTTTTATGGGGTTTCCTAGGTTCATTAGCATGTTATCTTAGTAGTAGGCCTGCTTAATAGCTGCGCTTGTGATTAGAAATGCCGAACCTATCAATATGAAGGTAATGATTTTGAGAGCACTGGGCCTACCGGAAGAATCTGAAAGAGATGAAAAAATGGCAGATTAAGGAGAGATTAGTGAGGCGACGTGGAAAGGCTTATAAACTAGCTTTAAACGTGCCTAGCAGAGAGATTTTAGAGAGACATTTTCGAAACATAAACATTTTCGTTGAATAATATCCTTGTCTTCTTAAATTCTATTTAATTATGAGAATGATAAAAGAACGTGTAATATGGCTCAACATTTTTGGCTTTTTCTATTTTCTATTCTATTTTCTCTCTGCAATGCTAGATTAGTGTTATCTTCAGCTATCTTTGTCCGGCTTCTCACATATTTTACATGAAGCTTACTTTTCTTATTGGGCATAACGCGTATGCATTGACGTTTCTCCGTCTCCGCTTGATAGCCAAATTTGCACTGACACACCGAGTTGCGACACTCAACCGTCTCGGGATCCTTTTCCACAAAACATTCCGTAGCTTTGGTGCAGGCTTCGCCCAGGTCTGTCAATTAGAAAGAGCAGCAATGGATGAGTTAGATCTTGAGACTAAGTCGGCAGTATTCAGAGCTTACTGCGCTTCGTTTCACAGCGTCCATTCTTCGCATGTTGCTCATCCGTACAGCTACATTTTCGCTCGGCACTGCAACTGGCCAGCAGCGGCTTGCATTGCTCATCCTCTACGCAGTCTTCCTCCAGTTCCTCGGCTGTTTAGGACGAGGAGAAGCAACAGAATTATCATTGTGTGCTTTACGCAATGTGTTTGGGAAAATTACCTTCCTTCAAACATTCATCTTTAAAGTGCACATAACCTTTGCGGCATTGACAGGAGCGCTCCTGATCCTCCGACTCTTTGGCTGAATTACTCGTACTCTGCTCCTGGCAAATGGTATTCTCCAATGCACAATCGTCATTCTCTGCGCAGTCCGCTCCAACGCCTACCAGAATGAAATTGAAAATTAGTCGGGGAACAATTAAAACGGACTCTCCTTTAAACGCACCTGCCACGCATGCGCCTTCCTTTTCAAAGAAGCTCTCCTTGCAAACGCACAAGCGGTTTGAGCAAACGGAGTTTGCCACAGGACACCCATCGTTGGACTCGCATTCGGCACCCAGACCCTGTTTGTACTCACAGAGTTGCGTGAGTGTATCGTACTGGGCGTACTCCTCACAAGTACAGCGCCTGGGTATATCCGGATGACAAAAGGCGGCTCCAAAGGGACTGCATTGGCTGTTCGAGGTGCACGATAGATGATATTGTATTGCTGTAATGGGGGGAAATATATGTGGAACATTACAAATCCATTCTATATTGGCTCCAATATGCTTACGTTTTCTGCAGTTTCGCAAGTCCCGCTCGTAAAAGTAATTCTTTTGGCATATGCACTTCTTCGAAAGTTCTTCAAACTCATATTCGCACTCGTCCGTACTCTCCGCTATCTCACCAAGCTCTGCAAGTGGGAAGTGGAAGTTCAGATTTCTCTGCTTTCCTCCAATTGGTGTTATCTAGTACTTACCCGCGAAACATTTGCCATTCCGAGCGTAATATCCCTGCTGGCACAGACAAATCTTGTTCGCGCATATTGAGTGCGGCAGTCCGGAACAGCTTTTCCCATTTTCCGTACAGCTGCTGCCATCTGTCGAGGAAAAATAAAACCATCTAAAGTTCGTATCTTATTTGCACAATACAATATTCCTCCTAGCTCTGACTTTGTATTCTCTGTACTCTTTCCATGCAGTTTTTGTTTTCCTTTGCAAGGATCTGAAAGTAGTTCCCATAATCAATTTCTAATGTTGTTGGTACGTTTGTTGATCTGTCAAACTTTTGAAGCATCACAGCTAGGGACATCAAATAGACTTGTCTTCTCCCAACGAAGAACAAATTTATTTCAACTCTCTGAAAACTTTTTAGAAATTGAATATCATTAACAAAACCCACTAAAATGCACATTAAAATCTTTTGCACTTATCAACAAGCTAAAGGAAATTTTGATCTAAAATCCAAACACCAACTTTTGAAGCAACACAGCTAGGGACATCAAATAGACTTGTCTTCTCCCAACGAAGAACAAGTTTATTTCAACTCTCTGAAAACTTTTTAGAAATTGAATATCATTAACAAAACCCACTAAAATGCACATTAAAATCTTTTGCACTTATCAACAAGCTAAAGGAAATCATCTTTTGAAGCATCACAGCTAGGGACATCAAATAGACTTGTCTTCTCCCAACGAAGAACAAATTTATTTGAACTCTTTCGAAACTTTCCTAGAAATTGAATATCATTAACAAAACTCAGTAAAATGCACATTAAAATCTTTTGCATTCATCAAAATACTAAAGGAAATTTTGATCTAAAACCTAAAGACCCCCAAGGAATTCAGCCACTTTAAAGTTATTTTCCGGATTACGCTTTCGACTCTGACACTCCAAGTGTTCTTACCCAAGATAATGAGTTAGGATTATTCATTTGCCGGAGAAAGTTTGCACAAACCCTTCCCCAATTTTGACTAGTTTGGGGAACTAAAACATTGTTCGACAAATGTTTCCACTCACATTGCTTGTTATCCCCATCGTCGTCATCCCGACTGGAGCCCAGTGTCGAATAGGTTTTGTTATCCTCATCGTCAAATCGAAAGATTGATGGCAGGCGTCGTCGTCGATAGTTCTTCGATGTGCGCCGGCTACTGGTGCTAGTCGACGCGGTAGCCGTGCCCACATTTCTCACAGTTCTTCCGAAATCGCGCAGCTCGTAGCCCTCGATGCTTGTCTGGACGGCGATTTCGCGTAATCTGCGTGGCGCGGCTAATGGTGGCGTGGCCACCGTATGCTCGCTGCCTCCGCCATTGGTAAGAGGCGGGTTGGCCTGGATGGCCGCATCGTTTTGATATTTGGGAGGCGCATGCACAAAAACTCTGGCTATTTGTCTCTTGAGCGCTGAAGTTGTCGCTGCCTCCTCAGTTGTTGTCTCTGTATTTGTTGCAGCGGTTGTTTCGTTATCCTCTGGTGTGTTATCCTCTGGTGTGTTATCCTCTGGTGTGGTATCCTCAGTGGTGTGCTCGGCGCCAGGTGTTGTCACCTCATCGACGTAATTGCACTTTAGACTAACGCATTTGGCACCTGCGCTCAATTCTTCACAGTCTGCATCAACGACGCAGGCATCGTCCCATTCTAAAAATTCGATGTCGCATTAAATAAAAATTAAATTTTTCCAAAATCATTTCTGACTTACCCATTGATTTGCGACGGCATATGTTGCCATATCTATTATAATAGCCATTTGCACAGGCACAGACACGATCCTGACAGCTCACCGATGCTCGATCGTAGCCAAAGTAGCAGTCTAAATCCTGTAATGGCAGACCAGTTAGCAATCATCAAGGCGGGCTTTCTATATTCGTCACACAATCAGACAAATAGTTAGCATCAAGCGATAACAATAAGCACTTCTTGCTCTTACTTTCAAAATATTCTCCAACTGAATTACCATTTTCGTTGGACTTTAAAAAACCAACAAATAATTTAGTAAACACTTGTAAACTCTTCAAAGAAAATGAAACACATTAAAATTCTTTCGTTTATACTATAGTTGTAAATAAGCAATTCTATGGCTTATAGACAAATAAAACTTTCCAAGAAATTTACTAATCACAACTTTCCATTCATCACTTACCGTTTCACAGGGCTCTCTCAGTCCATTCAATGGCCTACACTTGCCACGCACATAATTATGGCCATCGGCGCAATCGCAGACCCCTGCTTTACAATTGGCTCCCGTTGGCATAAGATTGCATTGAACGGTATCTTCGCATGTGTCCCCAAACTGTGACGTCTTCAAGCATTGTGTGAAATCCTCGGAGAAGACCGTTTCGAAGTCTGCGCACTCGCAAAGGCCCAAGGTAACGTCGCAAGCGGAGCCGTCAGCTGTGCAGTCTTCGTCGGCTTCACACGGCCAGAACACGGCCTCGACGCCGCCGCGGCCTAAAACACAAAGGATCTAGCTTTAAATATATGTTCATGCATATGTATATAGGGAATGATTGTTCTAATTGAATATCAAAAGAATAAGGCACTAAAACCCAACTAAATAATAGTTATCTGAGAGGTCGAGAAACAAACAAAAGATATTTCTATATTTTAAAGACAAAGATTTCAGATTTGAAGAACGTTTATCGCAATAAAAACAAACATGCAATAATTTTAAAAACTAATTTATATTATTTATAAAACTTTATTAAACTTTTCGTCCGTTCCAAAAACGAAAAATATTAAAACTCCATAGGTTGTAAGTCAGCCACTTTATTCTGTAAAAACACACTTTATATCTAATTCAGTAGAAAAGATTTTATAACCTGAACTCTTTATTTCCAACTGATTATAGAAACACCGCATTTTATAAAAATTCTGTAATATCTGAAACTGGTTTCTTCATATAAATGCTTATACTATAGATATCCCTTATATTGCAATTAAATGAAGGCAATCGGCACAAATTCCTGAATAATTCCAATCAACTTTTTGCTGTTAAACGAATATTTAGAGTTAAGCTCTGATCAGACAGGCAAAGAGTTAGCACACAAATTTGAAAAGTATTGTAAAATAAGCTTTGAAAATTAAATCTAAACAAAGTTGTTTGTAAAAGAAAACCAAATCATATTCATGGAGCTTGACAAAAATTGTGTGCAAATATTTGCATGTCTTTAAAGTTTCGTAAATGATTTCTTCAATTATTTTCAACAGCTTCTCAATGGATAAAAAATGGTTGGAAAGTCATTTTTCTGCCTGAACAGAAACACTTTTTTATTCTTTTAGTTATTTGCATTTAATTTCTGTTTTTCTGCAAAAATAGCTTCGACTGACTTTGCAAAATTAATTTGTTGTTTGTTGTACAATTTAAAGCAAAGCGTTTGTAAACTTTTTGATTTGGGAGCGACAGTAGCGTGCGCTTTAACATACATGAATATTTGATTTGCCAAACGGATACGAAGAAGCTTTAATTTGCTCGATACACTTTCGTCTTCCTCGTAAATATATGTACGAGTATAGCGACCTAGTTACGTTACTTTCACTCGCTTTGTTGTTCCATTTTGTGTCGCCTTGCCAGTTGCCAGTTATTAGCAGCAGTACGGCGACTACATGTATATCTTCTGAATTATTCATTAAATGGTTACTTTAAAATATTCAACTATTTTTGTAATCGATTAGGCATCGATTCCCTGATTTATTTAGCGTTTCCCATCCTTGTGGTAGTCCGCCAGCTGCGCCAAAAATGCTTCCTTGGCCACATTTTCAGAGCAGGACCAGAGAATGAAACTTTGTAATTAACTTATTAAAAATCACATTTGGAGAACTGACGCAATTCATTTATCGTAGTGGCAGGCATTTTGGCGCAGTTTGTAGCTGCCACTTGCGAAAAAATATGTGTTTACACACACACACACACACACACTGACGCATGAATGTGCATTTCGCACGCAACGGCTTACAGCCGGCATGTTAGCAAAATTTATTACGTATACGGCAACGACTTCCGGCTAGCCATGGCTCAGCGAAAAATTTCCATGCGAAACAATTTCAGCTTGTGCGGCAAAAAAACATAGGGAAACAGCAACAGCAACAACAACGCGACTCGTTGGTTACTTTAATTTCCATTTCCAAGCCATGATAGCTGCGAAACAATTTCTTAAATTTGTCGCAGCACGAAAAGGCAAAGAACGTCGGCCGTGGACTGGTGTTGGGGTCAACTGTTTGGCTGGCCGTTTGGTTCAATGGGCCAAGGCACTTGACCTTGATAGTGTTTGCATTAATTACTGTTATTGTTATTATTATTATTATTGTTGTGTACTCGGAGTACTATGTGTGACTATTTGTACAACCATTTCGTTTCTTGTCGCACAATGCGAATTCATTTTTCATTTATCTGCCGGTCGCGACTTTAATCCAATTAACGGCCATCAACAATTTTAATGGTTTGCCTTAATATTACGATTAATGTGTGTGGCGGGCGACCTTGAATGTAAATATGCCCGTTTACCTGACAGCAGCAGCGACAGGACACTGAGCGCCACCAGCAAATGGAACTTGTGCATTTCGAATAGAACTAGTCGCGACGCGATCAAGCAGGCAACTAAAAAGCACACAATTATTGGCTTAACGGTGCGACAGTAGCCAAGTACTTCACTAACGCTAATCTTATCAAATATACTTCTACAAGTATTCGACAAGTGTACATGATTTGGCTTTTAGGGAATTTGGCAAACGAAACCGTATCGTAACGAATCGAATGTTGATATTGCAATGTTTTCAAATGGCCTTTTGGGGAATGTGGCATAACGAGTCGAAGCTGATACTCTGTTTTCAAGATTCGCATCCAATACTTTAAAATGTCCCACAAGCTAGTCTCCATAGCAGTTATGAAAAGGTTAGCAGGAATAAATAAAACTGTTGCAGATTCATTCCTCATTCCGGGATTTGTTTAAAAACTATTTTAAAGCAGCATTTTAAAGTTAGATCTCTATTATTTTTATTTTCACAATTCTTTAGTTTTTTAAGTAGAAATCCTATCAAGTATGTTGTACTGTTGCTGGCATGTCGCGCTTTTTAAATGAAAATGTTGTAGATATATATGAATGTGTATATATCCTTCAAGCAGGTACTCATAAATCCTCCCAGCTATTTAAGCACTTTTTTGCTTAATTAAAATAAATCGTTAAATATACTTCAAGAAACTTGTATAATTAAATAATGGCTCCTAAAATAACATCTTGAATGAACACTTTCTGGCTTCTATTGCTACAACAATGACAAATATTTTGACTGGAATGCCATTCAATGTCATTGTAAGACAATTTGGTGTCAAGCACTCACCTCTCTTTACTAAATACACAATTATTAATGACCTAATTTAATTTAAATAATACTATTAGTGCGTATTCATGTCTCAGCTAGCCATTGACACTGGCTCATAGTTCTGTTTGTCACCAATGTTTCATTTACTAATTACTCATAATAGAATCAATACATATGTATATATAAATGGTCGCAACTAATCTTAGGATTCGTCAAACAATCATACTATCGTCTTAATCAGCCCTCTTTCTCGATTACACACTTCCAATGGGCAGCAACCAAACTAAGTCGCCAAGAGACGCTTATCTGAACTCGTATCTAACACCTGGTCGTGCACACCTGTTCGAACATTTATGAAGTGTCGTAGTAAACATTTTATAATGCTTTTATGAACAATAGAGAAATGCCACCAACAACTAAACGTGCCGCTCTGACTAACAAACTGGCTGTTGAACTAAACATCAATAGTTTTTGTTTGATTTTTAATGTCAATTAGCTTAATGTCTTTATTATATTATGCAGACACATACTATATTAGTGTATACTATACATAAGTACTATCATATTTTTTACCCTTAACTAAAGATATAATATTTTTTTAATATGTACATAAAAAAGATCCAAGCATTTGCATTTAATCATGTTTATTCATAAATAGGTTATAAAGAAAGCATGAAGGCTCTGAACAAATGAACATAGGTGGCTACTTGGGAAGAGAGAAGGAGAAGATAAATGTCTTCTGGTAACAAAGAAAGTAATCCGTGTTCTGTGTGCCTTAAGGACTGGTTTTATCCCTTATCGAACAAACGGAAATCAGAGTGGGTCGGCAGGCACTTTATTGTTGCTGTTCTTTTGACTTCGTATTGAAAAACAAGAACTTGTTATTTCCATTTACAAGTTTTACTTTTTCTTCACCCTATGTTATATCCTGGGCCTGACATAGCTCAAGGAATGCCACAAAATGAGTTCGTTCCCTAGTAGGCATTAGGCACGCCGCTCCCAACATGAAGAAATATGATTAAAAAAATATTAAAGTTCCAATTAAATAATTGTTCAACCTTATCTTATAAATAAAGATTAAAGACTTACTACAGTTCAAAATTTCTCTTTGCAAGAATATACTTTAAAGAAGAGGAATCTCAAATCGGGTGTAAAGAAGGTATGCTATGAACAGAGGACAATAGCTGGCCACCTGCGAAACGAGTGAGAAGCGGGTTGGTGGTAAACGAAGAACAATTTGAAATTGATGTTCAAAAAAACTGAAGAAGAATACTGATCCGAAAGGAGAGCTTGCAGAATACTTAGAAGCTACAATTTACATTGTTAGTACATAGTTGAGTGCCAACAAATTACAATATTAACAACAACAATAGTATTGGCATTTGATAAATAGTATAGAACTTATTAACTAGTTTTCTTTATTTAAAAAAACCTATGAAATATGTCATTATTTATATAGACATAGTGTATGAAGAAAGTTTTGTTGGCAACTGTTAACACACATGACTAATAATTACCATTTATTATTCAACATAAACTCTACTCACGCTAAAAATAGCTGTCATATAACCTTGAAATCATATGTGAGTGTGACGTATGTCGAAAATGAAAACCCAATTAAATATCGCGTGGTGCACAGCTTTTGAGCTATTGAGGGGGGATTGAGAATCCTTTACCATTGGTATACACTTGTCGATGAGGCGCTAATGGTTTAATTGTAGCCAAGGAGAGTTTATTTAGATGGCCACGACTGTTTGCAACTGCAGTGCCGCGAAGTAGGCAACACTTTTTGATTGCATTTTTCATTATGACGTTAATGAGGGAAACAAGCAATCAAAGACAACACTCGCCCACCAACGAAGTTATGCTAGTTTCATAGCCACACTCACACACACACACACGCACATACACACACCTACATTTATGTCACATGTATGTGTCCGTAACATTAATCGATACGGCTCGGCGGCAACCAAAAGCGCGCTAAAAACCACATAGAAATTACGAAAAAAAAAAAGAAGAAAAACCCGAAGGAGGGGAAGAGGTTTATGAGTGCGCTGCGCCCATGCGTATGCATTAGTGCGCCTTGCTTCCGTTCGTTCTTTGGACATCGTAGAAAAGGACATTTGTGACCATAAAAATGTGCCACGTTAAAGCTACGCACGCGATGAGAGGGCAACGCGTAAGCGCGGTTAACAGACGACACTCAATGAAACAGAAAGGCGTTGTCACTAAAAGAAAGTTCAAGTTAACATATATGTAGCTTAAAAGTGCAGTAAGCCTTTTCGAAAGAACTTTTAAGGTCATGCAATAGATTTCCTGTTCAAATGGGCATCAAATCGAATCATGCACACATACATAAATGCATGTTTATTCCAGGAAAGGGAAAGGCTGCCGTAAAGTTTCCTTTTAAGCGAACCGTTAATGACAGTCAAAGCTGAATAATTATAAACCAATTGAAATTATGCAAGTGGAAGGAACTGGATTCAAATTAAATTAAGTGCACCTTAAATTAAATTAAACTACATTTTCATGTTCAAGAGCAACGAAATTTCATCGCGTCAGATGCTTATTCAGGAATTGTCGGGTTAATTTAATTAATTAATGTTGCCAGCTACAGCGATTCGCTCTTTAGTTCTTCTGTCCAAGCATTCGCAATGCAAGAAGACAGGCAATTTCTCATGAAGAGCATGCTCAGTATTTCCTTTATAGACTAGTCTGACTCTGTTTATACCAATCATAGTATGAGTTCAAATGATTTTTAACATATTTGATGATACTTTGCAGTGCTAGTCACCTATCGAACATAAATTAAGATCAGTTACTGACTGATTACATACATATATGCATAGTATATTTCATTACATGTCCCATGAAAACTCTCTGATATAGATATAGAAAATGGAAATTCTTCTATTCTGTCGGCTTCAAGAAATGTTTGGCGTTGACTTTATTATTTGTAAACTTTCAAGTCAGCATACATCCACTTAGTTTAAATATTTGGTGGGTCGTTCTATGCAGTGAACGGGTTTTATGTGTAAATTCAAGAAAGCTCTTTTTCTAATCAAGGATAATGGTTTTTCCGATGTCGGACCTAGTCTAGACCTAGGCCCTACATCGAGCAGTGGAAGCAAAGCTTGTCGCTCGTAATTACTGTAATAAAGTAAGCACAACCATTTGACTTTAATTCGTTACACTTGAACAAAAGGGACTTTAATTCGCTACACTTTAACAAAACGGACTTTAATTCGTTTCACTTGAACAAAAAGAACAATGGTCCTTAAATTGTGGCCATTTGCGTAGTTTGTGACATTTTACTCACATGTGTGTAGCCTGAAGGGTCCGCTTTGTTGTATTTATTACATCAGCTGTTGCTAAACACTCGCCGTAATTATCCAAATCAAATATGTATAGTGTATAGACAATGCGGAGCTGTGTTGTGCTCGTTTGTGAGCCGTAAGTGTCGAAAAAGTTTTAGCACAACATCAATTACTTGAGCACTGGTAACTTGTTGTTGTCTACTAGTATTTGCAAACATAAGATTTCAATTCAATTATGATGTTGCAACAAACACGCACCACACATGCCACATACCAGTACTATACAGCAATTGCACGGAAACAAAAAAGTAGCTTAATATACGATATACTTATTGTTGTAGGTGTATGTGGTTGGCTGGTTGGTTATACTTGTATAGTACGAGTATGTAGGTTTTTGAGTTAAGCAACGGGTTGGCTTATTTGTGGCTGTGTATCGGTGTATTGACATATGAAAAGAAATAAAAGATGGAGTCCAGCTACCTCCACTGCCCGCTCCGGTCTACTTTACGACATATTTTTTATTCAATCAATACTCATTAAATTTTCCGAAAACTTGTAATTATTATTAATGACGCGCCGCATTCTATGGACGGGGAAAGCTAGGCCAAAAAATTGTTGTTGTACCAAGCATAGGCCGTGTTGTTGTAGTCCACTGGAACCATGCCACCATTTATTTACTTATATTGCATTTTATTTCACACTCATTACACACGAGTATTTCGCCACTTTTTTTGATGCCAGGCAGCACTTTGTATTATCTTACATAGACGTCGTTTTTAAAGTCTATATTTCTTAGAACTAGAAGCGCGCAAAGCACGTCAACGCTCGACAACGAACTCGGATCCGTGCTTAGAAAGCTGCCTGTCGCGACTGTTGGCCATGTACCGCTAACACTGCCGCCTCTGCTAAGCCCGTCCGAGCAGACACACGAACGGCCATCACGAGTTGGTTAAGCCCAGTAAGCTCCAGCACGTCGGCCAACTGAGTTTTGTCTTCGGCTTCGTCGCTGCGATTGAACGTGTGGTGTTCAGGCTGCTCTCGTTGTTGTTGTTGTTGTTAGTTTGTTGTTGCCTTTGCTTGATTACGCGCTACCGTTATGGAAAAAAGCAACAATTTTCCACCTCCACACACTCGCACAGTCACATCTATGTGCATGGGTGTAAGTGTGCAGTTGGGAGTGTGTCTGGGCGCGACAGCTCATAAAAAAAAAAAGAAAATGAAAAAAACTACCGCAAAAAAGGGCACTGCGAACGCTAAAGCCCCACTAAGCTAGTATCCTAACTATAGTATAGCAGAGTATTTATGTACACTGTGCTTAAAGTTCTCACATTTACTATATCATGGGGTTTACTAAGACAACAAATATTCCAAAATATAGATTATCCGGACCTGAGATGCATACTAAATTTATTTTCCATTCATTCTGGATATGAAATTTTACTTTTTGAAGATGTAGCAAACAAAAGGAGACATTTTTCCCCGATTTTTCCCCCGGACAGACGGACATGTCTAGATCGATTTCTCTCGTCATGCTGATTCAGAATATATATACTTTATGGGGTCGGAGACGCTTCCTTCTGCATGTAACATACTTTGCAAAAACCTAATATACCCTTTCTACCCTACGGGTACAGGGTATAAAAATTCTCTACATTCGACTCTGTTTATAATCCTGATATGCCTTATTAAACCTTAAGATATTTATACTCTTTTTATTTCGTTTATCTTCTGTTTAAAAATCACGTTTTAAATTCAAATTATACTAATCAGTAGGTATTCGATTTGAAATGTATTAATCCTTAAAAGAATCGCAATATATTTTTATTTCTTAACACACAAAAATATGTATAAATAGTAATCAGAAATGGATTCTGTGATGAAGATTTTGTGCAACTACATACAGCTGACATAACCATTCCAAATATAAATTAAACTACAAGTATAAGGATTTCCCATTTTTTTCCCAACTATCACAACTCAATTATAAAACAACTAAAGAACGGAGTATTTTCAGTAACACACAATCATCATAAAGTATTAATGTTACATGATTTTATTACAAAGAAACTAATACATGATTTTGGCTCGTAAAATAAGTATATTATGAAAACTTGTAAAAGACCCTAACACCTACTTTGTTTTCAAGTTATTTATTTGTTAACAATCATAAGACTGGGCATAGCGTTACGTATTGTAGGAACTATCGGTTTCAATAAGGGCCCAACTATAGGAGTATAACACTAAATATTTATTTGACATTCATGTTTCAACACAAACTATAATTATATGATTTATTTTATCCCTCTCTCTCTCTCTCTCGCTCTCTGGTGCTACGTTTATAATAAAATTTGCAATAAGCATTCTATTTTATGCCTTCTGCGGATAAGAAGCCAAAAAGAATAACCAGTCTACATATAGCATTCCAATGGATAACATTTAATTGGCTTTATCTAAATTGAAAAATATCTTAGTATGCTATCTTTGGTACTCGTACTTGTATATATATGAGCAGCAGTTGGCGACACTAACCACAGTTCTTGGATTAGTTCGAAGTTGTGGTAAACAAAAAATGTTCTTTTACTGGTGCTTGATATCCTTGGTAACTGGCTATGGCTATGTAACGAATATAGCTGTGGAAGCCGCCACGACTACCGAGGTAATTGATAATTATTTCAATTGACGCCACTGTCTCACCAAATACTTTTTTCCAGCATCCAAATGTAGAATCGAATCGTATAATTACAGAAAGATTGAAGGAGTTACCCAATAACCCTGAGGGACACACTCAAAACAACGCAGAATATAATGACGAAATTAGAAAAGTAATCATGGCAAGCAAGAAGAGCATAAATTTCCTTGAAGAAAAAGTTGCAGTCTACGAACGCTTTCTGGCATACAACAGAAGAAGATTGGATCTAGAGCATGAAATTGAAGATCGCATTAAAGTTCTTAATTATGCGAGAATACCAAATTATTGGCCGGGGAGTTATTGTTTGAATTACTATTTGGCGCAGAGGGTAGAGCTTGAAGGAGCTTACCAGCGGTCGAATGCAGTAAAAGAGCAAAAGATAAAGAATAACATAATTGATTGCGTTGAACCGGACTACGAATATGAATATGTGTAAAAATTAAGAGAATTTAAAGAAAGAGGAAAGGTTTTAGTTCAGTACTTTTACGAGAATTATAACAAAGAACATAAATCAATTATCGACTGCGAATTTTTGTATGAATATATAAAACTATTTGTCCCAATCAACCGACTAACTGATTCATTTATTTCCGCAGACAAAGAATTCCGGAATTGAGAATTTTTTCGTTTTTTGACATTCAATTTTCATGCAAAATTAAAACTTGGAAAACATCTGCTTTCTCGAGAAAAGTTTGAGGAATAGTAGTGGCTTCTCTTATTGATCGACTTAACACATTTTAGCCAAAACCCCAATCCGTCTATTTATATATACGATGTTACTGCATATTCATTCAATTACTCGTACGAAACAAAAGTCATTGCTTATCTATCATATTCGGCAGATTCGGCAACATGAGAATTCTTCCAAAAGTACAATATCAGTTGAAACTACGATGAGTCGATTTATAAAAACCAACGAAAAAATCATTTTCAACATACAACTTTTTTATGATTGGCATAAAATTAAATTTAGATCGTAAGCTTAAGCAACACAAAAATCACTTACCTTACCAGCTACTTTATATTTCTAAGTGGACGCTCCTATAGTTTTTTGTTAATTTATTTTGCTCATTATTCCATACACCTGAACAATTCACATCGTCCTTACGGTAAAATCAAACGAAAGCCAGCACAACAAAAATGTAACATTGTAAAAATTGGGTCAAGTGGCCGCATAGAATTGAGACACACAACATTTTCGAAAATATTTTGTTAGCCCACCCACCCACTCTCCTTCTCTCACTCTTTCTCTCTCTCTCTCCCTCTCTGTCTCCCTCTCTCTCTCCCTCTCTATCTCCCCTTTGCGAGCGAACTCCGTGCTTCTCAAAAAGCAACAAAACTTAACAAACAACGTGGTGCACGACGTCAACAAAAAGGCCAAAGTGGCACTAAAAAGAGAGGGAGAGTATGTGAGTGGGTGATGGAGAGGGAGAGGGAGAGGGGGGAGGGAGAGAGAGGAACACATTATCACTCAACCGGGAAAGTAGTAAGCAACCAACTATCCAACCAATTCACTAACACCAACTCAACGGCTTGGCGCTTCTGGGCTTTTCCCCTGGACGCTACAACTAAATGTGTGTGTGTGTGTGTGTGTGTGTGTGTGAGTGGGTATGTGTGTTTGTGTACACATGCGTGTGTGTGTGTGCGTGTGTGTGTGTACTTGTGCATAACACAGCGACAAGTCAGCGTAATTTTTTATTGCACCTTTGTCATAGTTTCTTTTTTTTTTTTTGGTGGAGGTTTATTTTTGGTTACCTTTTCTGACAATACAGGAAATCTGACTTTTTATTAAAAGTATATTATAATTAATTATAGAATATTTTCTATTTTAAACGACCTTTGTGCATCCAGTTAAGCCATAATAATAAAATGTAATTAAATAAAGATGTCATATAGTTTTTTTATGAAACTCTGGCGAATATATAAAATAGAAAACAGCAACTTGTTTTAATTTCCAGGCACTGCAGAGACCAAAATAACCTTTAAAATCCTAAAATCCTCACAATAGCTGAAATAAATTGTGGAAGATGACGTATTGATGGCGTTGGAATAACTTGCAAGCAACTTGTAAAGCTTGAACTGCGTTTCTGAATTTTAAGAGAACGAGAAAAAAATTTAATGACCTGCATCATGTCAGTATTGCTGAAAAATCGCTGCGGATTATTTTAAGGATTTGTCGACTAAAAACCATCATTACTCAGCAACAACCTAATGGTACAGAAATCTCACAGGTCTATCTCGAATGGAAAACCCATGAGCCAATGGAAATGCCTTAAAGGAAGACTGGATTCATAATCCTTTAGTTTAATATCTAAACATATAGTCGGGTATAGCCTTAACTGTTATAAAGAAAAATAAACAGAAACCCTATTTAAGATTGCAAGCTATGCCAAAGATCAGGGCTATTCATATTTCCGTTGGCAGATGGAGTTTTCCAAAAGTTTTTTACATGTTTTTAATAAGCCAATGATGTCCACATAGGTTGACATACTTGTATGTATGTCGACGAGGGCACCATTATAATAATTCGAGCCTTGTATGCTTACCCAACATGCTCGCCTAAGGGCAGACAAATATGGGAGGACGACAAGCAGTTATTATGGCTATTACAGGCTGTTTGAAATGTGCGCCCTCTGGTCGAGGCAGATGTGCATAAAGGCCAAGACATCTGCGATGCAAGGTAGATTATTGGTAGGCCACGCGCCTCAAAGTAGACTATGAATGGCAGTGCAGAATGCGCCGCAGGACAGTCATAAAACTGAGAGGCCAGGTTGGCCCACGTTAGCGTTGAATTAATTTTTCATTCGCAGTTATGTTGTTGTATTTTGCGTTCGTTATTTGTTGGCTTTTAACAAAGTGCCACTGCGGGCGCAAAACAACCATATATTTTGATGTCAAGCAGAAATTGTTGGCATTTCCTTACGTGCTGCCGCCTGCCGGCCAAACGTGAATTCCTCGGGCAAGTCGCGCTATATTTAGAAGCCAACTAAACAACAACAAAATGCTTTGCGGCCGCAAATACACGCGACACGTACACGCCAAAGACCCCATGAACATGAACATGAACATGCTATACACATATTTATATTTATATATGCGCTGCACCCAAGGGGGCACCGATCGGACAACATATGCGCTTTTTACAACAAAAGCGACATATGCCTCGCCATTCGCTTTGTATAAATAAAAAATCAATCAAATGGTTAGTAAATATAACAGGGAAGCCCAAAACCCACACTACTCCACGCCGGAGGCATGGCAGGAACAAAAAAAAACCCCCGACAACAATAACAAAGTACATGGCATTATAAAAAATGCAAAATTTTAATCGAAATATAGTGCAGCCAGCAACATGAAAATGGAGCAACAGCACAAATGTGTTTCCAGCTATCTATGTACCTATGTACCAGTATGTGTGACAGCGGGATAACGTGTCGTATGCGCGATGTGGCGCAGCCGATAAGAAAACACAATGGCCATGCGCATACAGTGTGGTTTGATACGGGGGAAGGGGGTGCAGGAAACAATTGTAGCCATTAAAATTCATAGCAAACCCTGCCACCGACCACAACTGCGATTGCACTCTGACCGGCCAATAGTCCTTCCTACCATCCAGCCCGCTCTTGGCCGCATCGTTAGCGTTCAGCTACACAGGAAGCGCAGCTAATTGCACAAATCGTAACGTGAAAAACCGTTTTTCAACCAACGCTGCACGTTGCACCTGCCCCTAACCTGCCCCAATACAAGTTTGCACGATGTTTTTCATTTTTCATTCGTGTTAATTGGCTGAACAAAACAAAAAGCAACTAAAAATAGAAAAAGAGACAATCCATTCCATGCCAAACACGTGTGTGTATATGTGTGTGTGTGTATGTGTATGTGTGTGTGGGATTAGTTTGTAGAGAACACTCGTATACATATGTAAATATCTGCGATTGTAGCTAAAAGTCTTATGCACAGCTCTGACAACTGTTGGCAGTGAAATGAAAACCTAATTATTACTGCATGTGTCACAAATGTGCTCGAAAAATGTGAGAACGTCTAGCTACATAACTCAAAAAAAAAAAATCAACAACTGAATGGTGAAGGGAGAAGGGATAGAGAATCGTTCAACAATAATCTGAACCGATCGTTGGAACACTATTCATAAATCAAATCAGTGGAATGACATTTCCAACACTTACAGATCTATATTTCAGTAAATGGACGTAGCCAATAGGATTTTTCAATGTTTTCGCTTAAAGACGACGGTTTCCGATAATCGACATGTCTTACAAGTATAATAGTCCTCAATAGCCACGTAGTGAGACAGATGTTTCCAAATAGCATTTCCAATTCATAATATTTTTTATTATATTTAATAAATCAATCAAACAGATTACTATATATAAGATGTTTTATATGAAATTACAATAAAGATATAGAATAATATTATTTTATAATATCAACTTAACAAATAATATAAAAATATTATAATTAATTAATTATTCAAATATATTGCTATAGCTAATATACAGCTGTGTTTGCCAGCAAATATCGTAAAAAATTTGTGTTTGTTGCTGTTATAAAGGAGTTTTAACTTAAAGCAGGAATGGTGTACTGAAAGTTACCTGAAATGATTGCCTAGTGGTAACCGCACAGAACTTCAATCTTCACTTGTTATTATCCCATATTCAGGCATAAACAATATGTTTGGTAGGTACGAGTATATTAACATCTTTATTTTCCTTCTGTTTACTTTTCTTTATTAGACTTGGGATTCCATTTTTAGTTCCTAATTCATAAACATAACTTTATTGCTGCTACCAGGATTGCGTATCCTACAGATCTTTCGACATAAACTCAATCACAGCACAGCACTATGCATCCACCTGTTGCTATTGCGACTGTGATTGACGATATTAATGAACATTCTCAACCCATATGCGAGTGACTGAGTAATGGCAATTAAATATTTCTGTATGAGCTGTGTTTGTTGTTCTGTATTTGCCGGGTCGAGGTCGAAATATGTTTTGAGGCATTTAAAACTGATGTCTTACATTTGTTCGCAATTCCTGCAATAACACAAACTCTATTTTACTTGAGCTGACTGCCGATTTGAGGCAAAGATCTTTCAGAACAGAAAGGCTGGAAAACGTTTTTGTTAAGAAATTCCATATGTTCTACTTCATTCGAGTTTTCTTATTTACCAGAGCTTCGCCTATCTCCTAGACCTATGAGTGCTGGTCATATACTTTGTACACCTATAACATGGAATCTGTCATGCCTTCTTCTGCATAAAAATGTGATTATTTAAATACCAGCAGTATTCAAATGATTCGTTCTTACGCCCTTTTTCTCACCCTTCTATTCCACAACTTTTCGCATTATATATTAAAAAACTATTAAAAACTAATAAAACTGTGCTCAAGTATAGATGTTTATGGCTGTATGGTAGTACAAGTATACTTGTATATATAGCTACAAATAATATTATAATTTTGTAACTAAAATGTAAAGCTGGCTGTACAAGTTCTGTTGACATGATATAAGTGAGTATGCCCTGCTATTTGATACCCTTTTCCTACTACTACTGGTAGCCTTTTTTATTTAAAATAGTTGAGTAATAATAGTAATAATTAGAAAATCATGTAAGCAACAATATCATTCTATGAGTTAAAGCTTTGCAGAAATTGCTTATCAATAAAAACTATTAGCAATATATACAAGTAAATACCATTGGCTGAGAATTGCGATTGATTGATGATGATTGTAAGGTTTTAAGAACATACTTGAGTAGCCAAGTCAATCCCCAGACAAAGCAATACCGCTAAGCATTACTTACTTGGAATCTTTTCGGCTATATCCGAAAATTGTTTAAAGTTAGCAAGAATAAGAGCAAATATTCAGAGAAGTAAAAACTTACAATTATATTAATGTAATTTAATTTAGCCACACCTATTATTCTGGTCATTTGAAAATTTGTGATTTGATGAATCAATTATTAAGTACATATATCAATCATTCATTCATTGAAATACAAATTATTGGCAGCTGAAACGTTCATGGCGAATAATTAGATCGGTTTTTGGGAGCCGAACTAATTTGATTGAAATGGGAAACGGGAGCACTCTTCAAGAATCCTAACTAAACAGCGAATCACAGATACATATGCTTCTGTTTCCCAGTTCTATCTACGAGTAATTATGCAAAATCATAATTGGTATAAGCTTTTAAGAGTTTAAATAAAGTAATATTGAGTTACTAGACTGGTTTCTTTCATTTTGCCTTGGAAGTAGTGTTTTATTAATTCATCGGAAGACTCGATTTGGAGAACCAACCCAATTCAATTGTGCGGAATTACGTCCAATTTGGAAAGAAGCACAGGTCTTTTATTTATTTATTTATTTATTTATTTATTTATAAAAAAATCAACAAATTTACTGTCAATAAATAATTGGTAATATTAGAAAGTAAAATAAATATATTTATAGTATTACATTATAAGTTACACTTAAAAGATAAGAAAGCCTAAGGGAGAGCTATACAATGACGTCTATTAATGCCTCCGACACGTTGGGGGAATTTTATTTGCCAGTTGGCCAGCTATGCCCCGATTCACAGCCAAATGTGGTCAGAGACATTATAGACCTAACAAACTAAACAAATAGCAAGTAGAAGAGAAGAATTAATTCTACTTAAGAACTAATTAGAAAAAGTAAGGTGTAGAAAGAGGAAGAGGAAAAAGAAAAAAATAAGAGGGAAAGAGAGATACAAAGACAGAGAAAGAGAAAGAGGTAAATCTCCAACCCGGTGGGGGAAAATTTAAATGCCAGTCCGGCTAGCTATGCCCCGACTCACAGCAGAAGTGGTCAGAGATTTTCCCGAAGATAATTATAAAGAATAATCTTTACCGAACAGAGAGAGAGTTCTGTCGAAAGTAAATGTGAAAGATCATTATAATTACCGCAAATGACCCGAAAACGATTGTGCAAAGCGTAATCGGTTGTGCATCTAGCCAATATGAACGGCAAATAATTCCTTGTTGGTCTACAAGGAACTGAAAAATTAAGGCGACCTAAGAGGGCAGAGGAGTCAACCTCACCGATAACTAAAACCATTTTGTAATACCCTACTAAGCAAGCCTTCTCTGCTTTTAGACTACTGCTGTCTGCACTTTTTCGTATACACGTGTGGTATAAATTCTCTGCAATGTTATTATACAAGTAAAACCCTTTTATCGCTCCAATTTTAGAAAAACCTGCACCAATACCGTTTCGGATTATACGTTACCTGCTTGGCTGCTACGCCGCCGACATTTCACCTCAGTCGCAAGCTTAGGGGCGAGAGAAACGGACCGTGAACGCGCTTCAAGTCTAGTGAGTCTCAGTGAGTGAGTGGGTCGGCCGATCTGCGAGGTGCCGTTGCATTTCCATATTTTAGTTGCTTTATGCACATGTCCGCAGAGATAAACGCGCTCAACGACGGAAGCAGTGGGAGAGGGGCAGGGGCAGGGGTGGAGTGTCGAAAGTTCACAAAATTCGTGACAAATTGCGAATAGTTTTCTGACCGATAGTCGTTTAGCAATACTTACTGGCTCTGGTCATCAGTGTTAGCTGAAATTTCAATTGAGCTTAGTTGTGATCGGTTTTCTGTGTGTTGTGTCCGTGTTTTTTAAAATGGTGCGCGTTTTTTTTGGTTTTCCAAGGAGTGGCGAATGCAGAGCCACAACTACAGCTGTAGCCCCAACCAGCAATGTCTGTCCCGCGTCTGGGGACAATAAGCCGCCGAGCTGTCCCCTCTGGGGCTCTGTGCGCCTAACCTATTCGATTTGCGCGTTTATTTCCATGACCCTGCACGTATCGATGCGAAACATGCTCGGCCTAGTGGTGCTCCGCATGGTGAAGTCCCAGCCAGAGGATGTGCTCCAGCTGTCAAGAACCGACATGAGCAACATCACATCCACTGAGACGGCCTCCTGTGCCAGCGGCCACGTTTTCAACGACACCAATGTCGCTGCGGAGCACGGAACTGTGTGCGTGGCTTTCGTGATTCCTAAGCTTGTTATTTAAAGATGAATCTTCATATTGTAGATGGAAGACTTGGACTGGACACGCACCCAACAGCTCATATTTCCCGGTGCATTCTACTACGGCTATGTGGTAGCATTGCCACTAGCCGGCTGGCTCTCCGACAGATTCGGCGGCAAGCTGCTGTTCATCAATTCGCTGACACTGCAATCCGTGGCATATCTGATGCTTCCCCTGATGGCGCATCTGGACTTTAAGGCAGCAGTGGCTGTTCTCGTCGTGGCGGGCTTCTTTGGAGTAAGTACTATATAAGTGCTTAACATCTAAGCAATCTCGGGATATTTTTTGTTCGCCATAGCTACAATTTTTCGTTAGCTTTAAATAACTTTATGGATTCGTTCTATAGATTGTTCCAATAGGACCTCTGTTTTATAGCCATACCACTGTGATAAAAACAGCGTGATGAGTAAGCGACTAGGCTCAGTTATCTCCTATTTTTTGATCAGAAATCATATGAAACCCTTTCTCGAATTTATTCCGTTTTTATTCGCAGGGCTGTGGCAATCCGCCGCTTTACCAGCTATTTGTGGTTTGGGCGCATCCGACGGAGCGCACTGCTCTGCTCTCGTTCGCATACAGCGGCCTCATCGTTGGCTCCATGTTAATCTATCCCGTTGCCGATTTCCTTTGCACGTTCAGCTGGGAGCTGCCCTTCTATGTGTTTGGCGGCATCAGTTTGATTTTTGGCATTGGCTGTTTCTGGGTCGTCTACAACGAACTCGATGATCATCCCCGGCTGTCGGCTGCCGAGAAGGCCTATTTGCAAGCTGAACAGACCGCAGAACCTCCGAAGGTAAATGGCTGTCGTTTTCCTCCGCACTTGCTCTGATACATAGATTCCTTCTTTACAGGTTCGGAACATTCCCTGGACTTCCATACTCACTTCGCTGCCGGTTCATGCCTTCATTCTGACGCACGCCTTCCATAACTACGGCTACATAGTGCTGGCCCTCCTAATGCCGCGAATTTTGCGCGAATCCATGCAATTCACATTGAAGGAGGTGCGTTACTGTCATACCACTTACTAGGTTTTTTTTTACTAACACCCCTCATCCACTCTCATTTTATAAAGGTCGGCATACTCTCTTCGGCTCCCTATTTTGGATGTCTGATCTCCAAAGCCCTTTGTATTTTCTGCTGTGGCATTGCTGAGAAACATGCAGGCTCCCATCTAAACTGTTTCCGTCGCCTATTATATAGCGTCAGTAAGTATCTGCTGCCGGAAAGGGGAGGCATACAATAAGTCAGTCAAAAACAACCCACAAAACGGAAATCAACCTTCCTTTCTACTAATTTTTTATAATTAAAGCATACTTTCTATTTTTCTGTTAAGTTTTCATTGAATTTACAGATTTAATTTACACTATACTACCCAAAATAATTTGTATATGTAGTGGGTGATTACAATTTTTCGTATTTCCACTGATTTTTGATTCCATTATAAGCACTTATACTTAAGATTCCCTTCAACCCCAATTGTAGGTGTAATTGTCACCATGGGCTGCATCATTGGCATTATCTACTCCACCTGTAAGCAGAGGATCCTTGTCATCTCATTGTACATTCTGCTGGGCTGTGCCACGGATCTTGGTTTCAGCGGCGGATATTGGCCCACCTTATTATATTTTGCGCCCTCGTTTGCCGGTCTGCTCTCCGGTCTTGCCAATAGCTTCGCACACCTGTGTGGTATTCTGGCACCTTATATCGTTGCGATCATGGTGCAACATGTAAGTCGATTTAATTGTTCATTTTGGCATAAACGTTCATTCAATTTTCTATCAAAGGGCACAAAGTCCGAGTGGAACTCGGTTTTGTGGACATTGATAGTAGCTTATACCCTCGGCGCGATTATCTTTGACACGTTTAGTAGTTCAAAGCTACAGAAATGGGACTTGCGAAGCCAGGAATCCAAACACATTAAATTGGAAGGCGGCGAAACACCAGAAATTGGCTAAATGGACGTATTTAAGTCAAAACCAATAGCGATTTTAAATAGTTAGTCTTTATGTTTGTATAAATGTTAAATTTAAGTTTTAAATTAAAATAAAGATTCATATTATTTTATACTTATGTAACTATGATCGCATTATACCCTGCAAGTAAAATCGTATATGTCAAGTATAAGCAAGAACCGAAGTTTACCAACTTTCAAGAAAATGCCTGCTCCGGTTTTTCGTTCCATAAAGAAATTATAAGTTGTCTACAGGTAAGCTTTCTCTGGCGATTTTTTTGGAGCAGGATACGTTTTCTTTTTATTTTATTGGTGTTTTTCTGCTAAATAATCATGTAAGCATCTGCCAACACATACACTTTATTTGTAAATTTCATAAAACGGTACATGAACATTAGAGTAATTAAACAACATTAATTTTAAACAAAGGAACACTTTTCAGCACTGACGGAACGTCTAGAGCTGCCACTTGGCTGAAATTTAGTATTTGTGCAGTATTTTCGATGCCGTTTGATATATTTTGTTTGTTTTCGTACACCGCTAGTGCGTAGGCGTTGTTGTATATTTCATTCGATTCGTTTGCTTGACGTTCTCGGACGTGTTTCACCCACAGCACATATTTATACTACGTTTCGCAATAGATAAATCAAAATTTTTCGTGTGTTTCTTCCTGGATGCAAATGCAACAATAAATTGTCATAATTCTGCAACAAAATTCTCAGTAGTCAATTTATAACGCGGAGGCAGAGCAACGATTTCAATTTGGCAAACATTGCAAGATAATTTGGAAGTAAGTACCACCAAAAAGACTGACAGTCCATCACTCTATTTTGTGGGCCGTTTGTATATACATATGTACGTATGTTTATACAAAGTACATATGTACATATAGGCATTTGTTTAGGTGCTCGAAAGGGGGTGGAGGTGATTGAACAAAAAGAAAGGCGGAAGCAGGGTAACTACAATCGGCAGGTGCTTCCTGATTTAAACTGTTTGCTCATGTATCAAATATTTCCGCGAGAGCATTAGCACCACTTTGGCAGGCCTTTAGATAAATCAATATACTTGCGGCTATATGGTGATGTCGATAAAGCCCCAAAATCATAAATACAAACACACTTACATACATATGTATTATATACTTACGTTTGTGCTTGCACAGTTAATAAAACTAACCAATCAAACCAACCCGCCAACAAACGCTTCCGTCTTGTTGCTTGCCCTTGTATGTACATAAATATATGTTATATATACATACATACGTATGTATCAACATAAGTATTTTCAACTAGATTTCGCTGACGGCGCAATTACACAAAAAGCGAATATTAATTCTTTTGTTAAATGTTTTAAATTGTCGACACTTGTTACCTTGAGCGCGTGTGTTGCGCTGTTTTTATTGCTGTTGTTGGTGCTGGGTTGAGGGAGGTTCATTCAATCACACACACACATACACGTGCATACATACGTATACAATAATGCTGAAACCGACATGACACCTTCCATGAACGTTTCATCCATATGTATTTATTTATTTTATGCAGTTTGTTTGCCTTAACTCAATGAATGCGAATTCATTTAAATGTTCGCAATTTCAACTAAAATATGGCAACCGTTGCAAACTGACACGCACACACACAGACAGACATCCATACATAACGGACAGACAAACAAACATGCACTCATTCGTGTCATTGGTGGGGGGATGGGGCTACGTGCTGCTTGTGCGTGTACTAACACGTACAAACATACATATGTATGAGTTATCCCCACTCAGCGCGCCCATGAACTCGCCAGCGTCCGTGCCGTCGTCCGATTCAATTTATAATTGTTGATCGACAGGGCGTCTTATTGCGTTTTTACATATACATATGTATATATGTATGCATGTATTGTATGCTCGCGTCATCGAAAAGATTTGTTGTTATTTTGATTACTGTTATTGTTGTTCTGCACGCCCCAAACAACTGATAAAGGCGTGTTTATATGCGCTATTAAATACGCTAGTTGGGAATATTTGTTTTCCGTTTATTTTCTTGACTCTTATCTATCTACCATGCTTGTTTATAAACAATTGCGCCTGGTTTATTCGCACAAACACATATGCAGATGTATATACATATACATACATATGTACATATATATAAAGTATCGAGTCCTACAAGTATGTTATGTGAGTGCGTACTCTCTTTTGCGCATGTACTTTGAGCTAAGTCGTTGATTTTCTTCTTTTCTCTCTGTTATTTTATACGCCGATGGTAGGGGCACAAAATTGTGCGACGCAAAAAATAGATTTCAGTCACATCAACAAAATTTGTACAAATAACAAAAAAGAGAAAATCATATATTTACTATACATATACAATATCACACAACAAATGAACATATGTACGTACGTATGTACATACATATGTATGTATGTATATTCGTCAAAAGGTATGTGTGTGTATGCATGTATGTGTTTTGATTTATTTAGTGCCATTTTGTAGTCGAGTTTGCGGTTTTTATTTGTTTAACAAACAAACGAATCGATGTCGAACCGGTTTGTAGAAATACGTCGCAACTTCTGTAGTTCTGTGTGTATTAATCTAGCAGCCGGCATTTGCGCCATATAGTATACATATGTATGCACATATGTACATACTGCTTGTGTTGATATGCAGTTTTTTATACCCATTTTTTAAACTCTTGCAGCGTTATTGAATTACTAAAAATTACCATGTTGTTGAAAGTACCATCTGTTGACTGGACGGATCAAATAGTTTACATAGTGGATGACGACGATTCACTGTCAGATATCGATGATGAGCCCGACTTTTCCGAATACATGTGGATGGAGAACGAGGAGGAATTTGATAAGAATGTAAGTGTCATAATATTAATACGAAACCGCTCGCTAAGTCCTAACATCTACCGCTTCAATGCAGGAGCTGCAACGCCTGGAGGAGGAAGAAATTATGCAGGAATGCTTTGAGGCAATGATTGAGGATGAGCTGGAGGAGCAAATTAATGAGTGGGAAAAAGCGAAGTAAGTCCATGTCAACATTTTTGTTTGTGTTTAGGTCAGGCTTTGTACACATCGCGAATGCTTTTAACTCGAATAACATGAATAATAACAATCAGTAATTTTCGACCTCTATTACCTTTTGTCACAGAACAGAATCCCTTCCAATTTATATTTCAATAATAAATTCAGCAGATAATGTTCATCCGATGTCTGTTGGCTTTATAGACTAGGCTATTATTTCGATAATGATTCCAAACATACAAAAACATAAATCGTTTGATAACCGAAAAACTGAAAAAACCTTGATTTTATTACCAAACTAAAATTATCGTTATTTTTTATTCGCAGAACTGAAGAACAAAATACTGCATTGTTGGCCTTACCCAAAAGTCAATGCAATATCGAGAAATCCATACTGAATCCAATGGCTGACGAATTCATACCACGTAGTCATATAATGGATTTTGCAACCTCCTAAAGCCTCCCCACATAGAAAGCACACCACGTTGTGCAGGGACACTGGAGATGTCCTTTTGCGGCGCGTCTAAGCCTTAAAAGTCCCTACTATGCAAAACAAAAAAAAACAAAAAAACAAAATAACTGCAAAAAGCTCGTAAAAAACTGTTAACAAATGATGGACTAAGTTCCGAAACAGAGGAATCATCAAGCCAGAGCAACAGTTCTCCCATCAACAATAGCAACCAAATTCAAAATATGTATATCGTATCATGCATACATAGAAGAAACAAACATACGAAATGCCAATACGCCAACAACGCTGCAGCTAAAATGCAAACGAATAACATTTAAAAAAAAAGTTTATAAAAAACACTGAATCAGTGCAAAAAAACGATTAAAATTGTATAAAAAAAAACGATCGCATTAACTATAACAATACCTAACTACTTAAATAGACGACAGATTTGAGATTTATTTTCCGGCTTCTTGTGAACATCATCAATTTGAGCATATACAACAAATCCTGCTAAAACTCTGGTATTTAACTGTACAAAGCGTAAACAAATTACTTTTTACACGCGACATAATTGTGGGATGACATCTCTAATCTTAGAAGCCAACAAACTGTATACAAGACTTGATTGTGTTAGAGGAATAATACCGCAATACTTAACCGTCACGTCGTAAAATCGAAATTTACATTTAAAGACTTTAATTATAATGATTGTGTAATTAATGTAAAGCCCCGCCCACTGTCTACACACTCGTATTAAGTTGTAAATGTCGTGGTCCTGTGTATCACTATTTTTTGTTCTTTTTTCCTATTTTATTTTGACTCAATGTTGTTAACTTGTTGTACGTTCTACGAGCTAAGTTACAAAGCGCTAGTTAACCTTTTTTTGACTCGCATACCATGTAATTTACTTGTATAATTAGGAAGCTAAAATCAATGAGATACTAATGTTTATTGCCTCTTATACAACCTAACGAGTAAAAAAACATAAATTGTAATTAGTGTTTAGTCTAAAGCGCTGCAATAACAATAGTTTTATAAGATATAAGCCAAAATTAATTTTCGATCGTTTGCCCCCAGCGCAAATGCACAAATTACACAAATTTTGTTTAGTCATAAAATTAAGTTTTGGTTAAACAATTATTATGACGATTTTTCAACAAGTTTAGATTTAGACTTTTAAGACAGCATTAAAAAGATCTACTACTTACGTTATGTGTGATATAAAGATATGAACAAAAAAAAAAAACTAAAAAATATCAAAAACGATTTTAAAAATCTCAATAAAAAGAAGTATTATAGCGTAAAAAATTCATATTTTATTGAAAATATAAGCGTCTGAAAATTTATTGTTCCCGCTCGAGGGTTAAAAGTACTTGCAGAAACGATACTTATCGATAGCGATGCTTGGCTCTCAAAAATGGCGTCGCCGTCAATAGTTTTTCGATAGCTTTGCTAAAAGAATGCAGCTGCACGAACGGGAACGGTAATTAAAACGCATGAAATGTGAAATTCCTCACGTTGTTGTTCATGCAAATTACGCAAACTTAGCGGCGGGCACATATCAACTACCACGACTGCAAGGTGCGGTCATGAGCTCCTCATTGTCTACCGCAATCGCAACGCCAGCTGCTACACTGAACAATCCATCAGTTACAACACAAGCGACAACAACAACACCTGCCACTGCCAGTGGTCTTCGCAATGCACCTGCAGCAGCAACTGCGGCGGCGGCGGCTGGGACGTCTATAGGCGCGATCACCGCACAATTTCGCGAAATACACAAAAATACTTGGCTTAAAAGACTGAGTGCTGATGGCAAGAAGTACACCGTAGGTCCCAAGGTAATGCTTTCATTTGAAGCCGAGAAACCGATATCTAAAAAAAAAATCTCGTTGTGCAGAAATCTGAGTGCAGTTGGGTGGTTTTCTGTGTGCATGATGACACCGAGGCGCTCCTTGAGGGTTATGCGGAGCCGCGCCAGGCCCCCGCCCACATTCCAGAGTGGATTGTGTCGCTGCGGGATACGCTGCATATATCGCATGCGCTAATACCCAACTCGCATGAATTCGAATTTGTTGTAACGCTCAGCAATGAGGTATTGCGCTTTCATGCGGTGTCATGGTAAGTTGCACATACACACACACACACACATGCGCGCGTGCCTGCGATTGCAAAATTCCATTGCACTTGCTGCATTGGGAATGCGTGTACTGGCTGTGCGCAACTCATTCAGCCACGCGCCTTACTGCAACTCACTTTCGTTTGTATTCACAGGGAGATTATGCAAGAATGGGTGGAAACATTGCGTTCAAAGCTGCGCGAAATGAAAATTCTATCGCCGCGTGAGAATCTGTACACAAAGTTACCTGAAGTGCGCGCCCCATTGCTGCCCACGCGCGATCCCACCTCGCCGTTGCCAGCACCACCGCCAGTCCCGGCGGCTATAGTGCCTGGTGTGGAACGCGTGGTGGTTGCCATGCATCAAAATCCCAACAATCATGAGCAAACGTCCAGAACATCGTCGACAGCAGAATCAACAACAAACACCACCACCAGCAACCACAGTAGCAATAGCAGTGTCAGCTCATCAATAACAACAACGACGTCAGCCATAGCAGCGACAGTGGCATCAGCACCCACTACCATGCCACATCCTGCAGCAATGTCAAATACTCTAACCCAGAATTTGCTCAACATGCTCTCCGATCCCATAAGCACCTACAGTGAACAAATCAACGAGGCCACTGAGACGACCACTTTCATTGAAAACGGCTCCAGTGTCGACACACAGCATTCCACAAACGATTCCGATCAAAATCTTTCCGACGATGAGTTTCTCTCGCCATTGTTGCGCAAAGCATGCGTTGCCGACAATGATAAGGCCGGTAAGTTTAGCATTTCCCGATCTTATAAATGAATTGTAGAAAAATACATTTAACTTATTTTTCAGATCAAATGTTAAATTTGGAACAAATATGCGAACGACTAATACCAAGGTAAACAAAAACAAAAGAAGTTACATATTCCCAGAAACTTCTTTGTAGCATAAATTTAAAAACTTGACAACCGCGCGCTTTTCACGATCCGCACCTTTAAAGCTCTCCAGGAACAGTTTGCGCAGCAATTCCAAGTACCGCATGGCCATCAACAGCAGTTTTTTCTCTTGCACTTCGTCCTGCTTCTTCATGAGTTTCTTGTACCGCCGTCGGATTTTCGAGCGGAGCTCATCATATTGCTTCGCAACTTGCCGCATAGCCGGTTCACGTTGCTGTCTTATGTAAAAGTTTATGCGTTCTTGTAACAGCTGCTCGAATTGCTTGTCCAACGACTCAACAAGCGCCACGCCACGCTCCTCCTCGCACAGCACGCTGTACAATGTCACGAAGAATTGCGGCTTTACCGTCAGCGATTGTGTGGCTCCCAGTAGCTTTAACGCTGTTATGGCAGCGCAGGCAAAAATATCCTTCAAATAGCTCAACTCCTTGTCATACCTTAGATTTTCATCCCGCAACGTTCGCTGAATTTGATCGAAGCTTTGCCTGCGCTGCTGCAATCGGTCAAATTGAAATTTGAGTACCTGCAGCTCTTCCGACAGTTTGTTGTTTTCTGCAACTAATTGCTGATTGGCATCCTCCAGTCTCACATACAAAGACACCCCGCACTCATCTTTGCTAGAACTGATGCTATCCGCCGAGCACCAGTCCTCAGACTTACTGGAAACAGCATCCTCACCCCCACAGAGATTTTCGTACATGCTACGAGGACTGTTGCCCATGCGCAAAATCATTTCGTGCAGCGACCGCAAATTTCCTTCCCAGTTACGCTTATCTGTGAAGGGAAACCTCAGGGCTCCTCTGTCATTCAGCTGCTTGTGCATAAGGAGTAACATGCAGTTCCGTGCAAACTTTTCCTTCGGCGGTGACCGCTCAAAAATTTGAAACCAGCGCGTACAGATAGGCGCCACGTTATTTGTGTCGGGCGGCAGTCTTATCGCCATCTTGGCCACGCTACACACTTCCCGGACGAAAAGCTCGTCCAGCTTCTCTTCGGTCAAAGCAAAGTCGTTCGATTTGTTGGCACACATGTTTCAAAATACATGAAAACACTATTTGAATTTTTATAGATAAGCTACTGCTTAATACTAGACCAGCATATTGTTCTAATCGTGTACTTTGACTTACGATATAACATCCAATCTCTGGTGTTCAAAGAAATGGAATATATCAGCATTTTCTTTTATTTCCTAGGCCACAAACTTCGCGTTCCTTGTCCGCCGGCGCAGCTGACAAGACCAAGAGGACGCGCAAAATTCCTCAGACAAGCGCTGCTTCTGAAGTCTCGAATTTCGCACCAACTACCTCACATATTAAAGCCGCCGCTGCAACATCACCAACTACTGCAGCCACAGCTGGCGATCCACAGGATAATGTGACCATAATACAAGTGTCCAGCGATTTGCTTAAGAATGAACTTCCACCCAAACTGCCACCAAAAACCAACAACAACTCAGCGGACATTTTTCGCTTTCCCGATATTCAGTGCAAGGTTAAAGGGAAGCCTAAGCAGCAGCAGCAACGTTCTCAACAACAACAACAGCAGCAAGTCGAATATAAAAGCAATGTACAAATCATTCCGTCCAATTCAAATACCATACAAGTTGTTTCTGCTGCATCGGCCACCAACAACAGCAGCGGCGGTAATCCCTACACAATGCCAGTAAAACCAAATGCTTCCAATGCAACGCCAGTCACGTCCACACAAAGCTCTTCCAACGTTCCACATACAAATACGACTATGGTGCAAGTCTTGGGTGAAAGCCCGCAAATGGCATCAACCACAACGGTGGCTGTCTATGGCACTTGCTATCCCACGCCGGCAGCAACATCAAACGGCACCTCTCTAACTCCGAAACTTTCGAAAAAGATCATACTCAACGCAAGCAACACCTCGGGTGTGACCAGCATCAGCGTGAACAATGAACAGGCCGGAGATGCTGTCATAAGCGGTAATGTGCATTACGAGAAAGTGTTTTTATCTTCCAGCATACCCTTAAGTGGTGCCGGGAGCAGTCAGCAACAGTCACCGAGAAGGCTGACCCGAGCGCCGTCCATTGAAGAGCGTCCTGCTCATGCGATTGTCACTGTGGAGAGCAGCAGCAAGAAGGCATCATTGCCAAATGGAAGAAGCCCTGCCATGCCACGACGACGCTTGGCTTCGCCGCCAACTGTGCCGAGCAGCAGCAGCACCCGCTCTACGCCGCAGCTAACACGCGGCTTGACCGAGCTGGTCATCAGCACGCGACCCAGTCGCCGCGACTTCCACTACCTGAAATTGCTCAATACGCCACTGAAAACAAAACCAACCATCCAAAAGACGACAAGTGCGGCCAACAATAATATTGAGAGCTTAGCCGGCACATCTAGTTCAAGTTCCACAACTGCCACACCAGCGCCCGCAGCTGTAAGTCGCGGAAATGCCTCAAATTCAATTCTGGCGGACACCATGGAGCAGCGCAGGCGCAGCTCATCAACATCTGATGCTCAGGCACCGCTGCAACGAGTGGGCGCCCAACGTGGGGCCAATAATAATGAATTTACACCCGTTCGCGCATTTCGAATGCAGCAGCCCCCTCAACCAACTCCAGTTCCCGTAAACAATATAGGCGCCGTATCGCCCAGTAAACGTCTAACGTTGCGCGAGCAACAGGTCATGCAACTGCGACGCGAGATAATGCACCCTGGAGGCGTGCGTTTAAACTTACGGCGCAAGGACTGTGTGGGTTCCATTGCCTGGGTGGAAGCTTTTGGCGGCGTGTGGTAAGTTTAAAACGTTTCCATCAGCTATGGTCTGACCAATCGAATTAATTTCTCATCCTCTGCTCTCTTTGACAGGATTGCGGGCTGGAAGCAAAAGGAACATCCGGTGCTCTACAATGCTCTTCACATTGGCGATCAGTTGCTGTCCATTGCCGGCGTTAGCATTACCAATGCGGCCGAAGCCAATAAAATTATACGGAACACGAACACGTTATTTGTAAGACAGCAAACCAACTTAATTTTCTGTATAAAACCTAAACAACATTTCTTTCCGCTGCAGGTGGAGGTGCTTTTACGTCGTATGCCATTTGGTCGCGCCTACGCCATACGTCGCGATCGGGAAGGCCAATGCCTAGGACTTATACGAGATGGTAATACTTCAACGATTGTCGATATTGTGCCCAATAGTTTGGCAGCTCGTCATGGATTGCCGCCCAAGGTACACATATCAATATATATATTTAAATTTAAAAAATCACACAGAAACTTATGGATATGATATGCTAGTAATCCCAAAATCTATTCTATGTCGCTGTTTAAATGAGAAGTCTATTTGTATATTCGCAATAACTTTATTTCGCATTTCAGGCGAAGTCATGCGATGGTTCCGCTCTAACCTTTTGGATTCTCACCGAAATCAATGGGCGGCCATTGAATCTATTTTTTAAGGAGCTCGAGATACGCGATCGCCTGAACTCAGTGGGAAGAGACATATCGATTTTGGTGCAACCATCTGATTTGATAACCAAATTGAAGAAACAATTGAAATCGTTGCGTGGATACAAGGATTATCTAGTGCAGTAGTTGGGCCGCATACTTACTTATAAAGTGGTCAGCAATTCCATGTAGCTTATAAAATAACTCAAATCTGTTATATGTTATATATGTATTTTTGTATAACACTGGGCCAGTAATCATTCCATTTGAATGCATGTGGAACTTAAGGAGAACGCAGGCTATATAGTCAACACTTATATATGGACACTACTTAAAGGACTTAGGCGTAGCGTTGGGGAATATATACAAATCATATATAAATATATATATATATATATATTTTTGCAACTTTTATATACACATACCTACATATATACATGCATATACAAAACTATATACATACATAAATCACTTTGAAACGATCCAATAGCTATGAAACTCTATTAACAAATTTGTAGTAACAAAATTATAACAATTTTTAGAACGGAAGATGAAGAAAAAGTATGCTGATTTGAGAATATTCCAAAAGTTTACATATAAATAGGTATTTATGTATATCGAATCTACTTGTAATATGTACACTCACACACGCATACACACACACACACACACACACACACAACACTTAGTATCCTTATGCAATATTAGAGTGCCTCTAATGTTTCCCTTTACATTGAAACAGTTTTTAAGTTGTTTTAATTTGTTTTTTTTTGTAAAAAGAAAAACATCTACGTAATTTTAAGATGTGATAAAAAGTGAGTACTCAAATTTAGGCAATTTTTAAAGATACATTTGTAAATGCTTCTTGAATTTGTTTTATTTACAATTCTCTGTTTATATATTGTATTTTCCATGTATTACAACATTAAACATATAACGCATATGTAACGAACATTAAAGCAATTCCAGATAAACCAATCACTCGCACACTGTGTTTCGTTTGGCCTCGACAACATTTTGTTTCCAGATGCGGAAGTTAAATACGTTTGTATCCAAATTAGAGTATATGAAAATGGGCATGGAATTGGACATGACCCACATGGTTCCCTCATCGTCAATCTACAAGAAAGATGCAGAATAGAAAATGAAAAGAAACTTCCATTCGCTCGGACTCACCGTCAAATCGCTGGGATAAATCATCCGCTCCGCATCTCGAATTACTGTGCCATGGTTGGTGGCCGAGAAGGGTGTGCTCTCCTTCCAACACCCGATACCATTTTGTTGTATCTCATTGTAAAATATGACTCCAGTGCGCGGATCGTATTCATGCATGGTTGATTGCATATTCTGCCCCCGACTGCCTAGTACCCGAAAATCATCGCCTTGGTCGGAGCGCGCGGCATTCGATTCCTGTTGCAGCACACGATTAGAGACGACAAACTCATTATTGCTGGCCATTGCATGGAAATAGACATTGCGACTGCCATCGCGCAACAATGGGCCAATAGTCGTTGAAAATATGCCATCATCCCAGCGGAAGGACTGACCACCTATATTCAGATCTCCAGCAACGGGGTCGAAGTTGAAATAGTTGTGCGAAAAGGCCCACATGCGGTCCTCGGCCAAGCTGTACACATAGAGCTGGCTATTCACCAGATCGGGGATATAAGCGTAGGCCTGTTCACAGCGCTGAGGAATCACATCTATGCTCAGACTAGCCAGACCTCGACCTGTATCTACAATGCTCTCGGGTATGTCGAAACGCTTCAGTACGCGATCTGTGCTTAAATCCACTATCCAGATGCTGGGGCGTCGAATCTGCTGTCGGTTGTCTATGGTGAGATAATATAAGAAAGATATAACTTCACTTGTAAGGGCTTTACTTACCGGGATACTCCAGCATTCCGGTGTCTATGAACCACAATCGTTGGCATGCATCGACTGTGGTTCGGTAAACCGAAACTATATTCTGCGCACTGTTATTAAATTGGTTCAGCTCGAAGTTGGGGTAGGCATGAAGCTTGGGACTGGTCTGGGAGCCGTCCCTTCGCAGATCTATATAGTTCAAGGTTGAGGGTATGCCGACCCGACGACGTGGCATTGTGATGAAGAGGCGTCCTCTAAAGTGATTTGCACCCATTGGTACATTGTTGTAGGGAATGTAGGGTGCGTTTTCGTCACTTAAACCACTTCGAGATCGTAGACCTACAGGAAAATCCCGGGAGGTAATCACATCACTTTTCCTAGGCGGGCGATAATTGCCCCTGTACTGATTTGGAAACACCACTGGAACTGCAAACAGAGAGAGTGATTTGGCAACGAACTAGAAATAAAAACTTCTAATCGGCTATTGATAAACTATTCGACCTATCTATACCTGATGGGTCAGGCATTCGCTGTGACATTGGCCTTATACCAGTGTTAAAGCCATCACCCCGGTTGTAAAAGTCCATTTGCTTCCATTTAAAGACCTCGATCATGCCATCACCACGTATAACAATTGCGATGTGCAGTACGCACAGGCAGAAAAAAACAATTGATCTTGCCATTATTTTGTAAGTTTACTCCCCTAAAATATCGCTACTGAACGAATTCTAGTATAAATCCGGATTCCGTTCAGAAGTTTACGTGAGCATAGCTTAGCTCAGACTGACGCACTCAAATTGCGAGCGAGCTAGTCTTGAATTACTTGGGGCTCTGGAGAGTTAAATATATACTGATAAGAGAGAATTGATGGACCCAGAAACCAGTTTTCAGCCAAGACTTGCTTGGAGTCTGCCTTATGTTGATAATTTAGCTAATAGAGCAAATGCTGTTTCTCATCCTCTCACTCATTACTTATCTCATTTGAACAGCCGAAAATAAACGTTAACCTGCATTTAAAATTCAAATTGGACCAAGTGGCAGTGCCAATTACCGATATCATATATTCGATACCCACTCGATTTCATTATGGCTTTGCAACAGTGGACCAATACAAACACGCTACACACACAAACTCCAACACAAGCGTAGAGCAAGGCAGAAAATTGCAATTGCACCGAACGTACGACAACGAGCGAAATAGAAGCATAAAAATATCATAAACAATTCACTTGTTAAACTAACAGAACTGCACAGCAGTTAATCGCATTTCCAACGCATGGCAAGGTAATCAATTTAATCCAAACAATTGCAGTGAAGCGCGGACTTTTCGCTGACGGCGTGTACGAGTGCCTAGGCGAAGAGTGACGAGTGAAAGTGTCTCCCTCGCGAAAGTGCAACTTTCTGTGATTTTTGTATTTGTATAATAATGCGTCGCGCATACGCAAATTTTTGTTACGGCAAAGATTAAACAAAAAATCTGCCTACGTTTTTGTTTTTTCCCCCCTTGTGGTCGGTGCTGTGAAGTGCAGTTGAAAGTGTGACGGAAAATGGAAAACGTGGAGAACGTATTGGCGCACACCAAAGAAATGCTGCCGAAGTGCGCCGAGATGGTGGAGGCGCCTGCCGTCGTCGTCAACGCTGCAAGTGCAACCGCAACGGCCTGCATGAATTGCTGCAACGACGACGACCATAGCAGCAGCAGCCAAAGTCCGAGTGGGGAGCTGGACGCCGATGCAGATGCACCGTGTTGCCATGTGAGCATGAAAATGTCCATAGACGGTACAATGCCGCGCATTTGTAGCGAAGCACTTCATTTAAAATGTGATGCACTTGCGGCCGTGCAAGAATCGGCAGCCAACGTGGCCGTCAAGCAGACGCAATCGACAGCGCCTCAGCTTGTTAAGTCAACAGCAGCGCCAATGCGCAGCGTAACGCCGCCATGTCAGCTGCTGGAGGGGCTTAGTTTCACCGAGGGAAACATTATAAATACGTTGCACACAATTTTGGGGCTGCCACCATTTGATCCGTATGCGCCAGCTCCCAAATCAGACATTGTGTACAAGGATGTGGTCTCGTTAATGCAGTGGAGTCTGCGCGAGGATAATGCCATTGAGCTGGAGCTGAGTGAAAAGCTTTTGCACGAATGCAAACATACACGAAAAAGTGATGATCCCAACGATGACACGCGCTCATATCTGGTGAGTTAATAAGGCCTGTATAATCCAATAAGAATTGTGGCATAACGAAGTTCTATTTTGTGCAGATGGCTATTGAGAATATGAGACTTTTTTCGGAGGATCCTAAAAATTCCAAGCGTGATGCCGATGGACCAATGCGTGCAATTACGGTATTTATTTTTGTATCTAGCAAACCAAAAATGTGTTACTAAGTAAATTTTGTGTTTTTGCAGAATCTTGCCTATATATTTGTTAAGCATCGTAAGGAGGAATTTTTTACATTTTGCTCCTGCAAGGAATGTCTCGAATATCGTGAAACCATCATGGCCATTATGATGGATCAATTTAAGGCTGCGCACATGGTTGTTATGCTGCTCGATGTGCTGATCAAGGCATACAGTGCCATGTTAAAGTAGGTCGTGTGCCAAAAAATATGTGTGTCATCCTGAATCTGATTCTTCCTTGTAGAAACGATGCTGCCTACAATAAGTTCGAAAAGCTGCTTGAGTGCAACAAGGAAATCTATTGGATTACAAGTGGTTTCCTTTATGACAAAAATGCCGAATACCTTGACTTTATAGATGACACCGCGATCTCCGATAATATGATATTAGTGCTGTTCAGCGCCATGTAAGTGACGCATAATATAAACAGTTTCCTCATATTACAAATTACTTGTTTTACAGCCTGATGGCAAACAATCCCATGCTGCTCTTACAAATACTCGCCTATAATGTGGAGTGCATTGTAAAAGCATTCTGCGAGGGCATGATTGAAATTGCTCAGAACGAGCATGAGAATGAAAAAGTTTCGGCGGAGAAAATGCTGACATGTAAGTGCAATTCGCTATAGAAACCAATTAGTTTATTTAATTGCAAACTCCTGTCCCTTACAGATCTTTTGGATGGCTACTCTGACATGAATTGCATCTCACAGAAAATCTCACTCAGCTTGTTTGCGTTCGAAAACGATTTTCTACGCAAATTCAAGCTATCTTGGGTGCTACTTTGCCAGCGCTTATTTCAGCAGCATGTATTCAATCCGCTGGGCGACACCATGCTTGCCTGCATACTCTCGCTAAAAGAATCGGATGGCTCTGCCCAAGCAGCGGCACTCATTAAACGTTATATGCTTTTTGATGAGCACATGCACTCCATTGAACGTCGCTGGACGGATATTTGGATTGAGCTAAACAAGTTCAACTTGTCGCCCACAGAGCATGAGCGTCGCATGGGCCTGCTCGATGTGTATAACATATTCGATAAGGTTGTTATGGATGCCACCGCGTTCTCACTGCCGGACATAAGCGATGATGAGTTTATTGATTTTCAACGCATTGTCGATCGCCAGCTGGCCTGGAAGAACATTATGGCATTCACTAAACTCAAGTGGCCCGATGGCTTCTATGATCCACCCAACAAGTTGGTGTACGAGGATTTATGCAAAAATTGTAAATCACTGCTGGAACACCATGACGAGTGAGTAAAGGACATAAATAGTTTTATTAGACAATATGCATATATTTCAAACCCCATAATATAAATTTAATAGAACACTAAAAGGAATTCCTACTTCACTTTTTAAATTACTTTAATAATCAAATATTTATTAATTAATTCAAGCTTTTGATGCAATGCGAAACCTTGATAAGCAATTTAGTTATTCTCGATCATTTAAGCTATACACATTCTTTTATTACTCATTGCTGCTTTTAGGAACTGCAAATGCATCACTTGCTCCATAGCCGGTACACCATTGTTGCCGCGACAAGCGGGCCATTGTGCCAAGTGCACAACGCTCGGCATTGTCGGGAAGGATCCCAAGCTAATGAAGTCCAAGATACTGAGTACATGCACCAGCGACGATGCTAAGCATAACGCAGCAGCCAGCACCAGCTCAGCAGCGGCCGCTGCACAGCACCGTCGCAATGAGCAACCGGAGCTGGTGGATGAGCCAAGTGGCGTCATGTTTCGACGGCAGGAACCGGACGCGCTGCGCACCACGTATCACATAGCATGGGCAGTGTTTCAGAATTTGACGAGTAAGTAGCAGTGTCAGGTGGCAATACAAACTCCTCATCTATTGAATTTGTGTTGCAGCACGCAAACGCTATCGCCATGACACTATTGAGCCGCAATTCTTTTGCGGCGAGAATTGCCGCGTCTCTGCCTGCCAGCTTGCGCGCAAAATCCTTGCCAATGAACTCTCACCGCCACTGACGAAGCACTTGCTGCGCTGCTTTCAGCCCCTGTCATTTACGCGGGAGGAGTTGCGCTCTACCCTGCCATCACTGATGTTTTTTAACCGCAAGCTGGCGCCCAGTCCTGCGGAATTGCAGGAGCTAAAGAATCAGCATTATGTCTACAAGACCTACTGGACCTTTGTGCTATCCATTTATGCAAACTTCTTTGTCAAGTTCTCTTCGACCGCTACAGATTTTAGGCACTTGGAGCTGGTTAAGGGTGATTTACGCTTGCGCATAAATAGTGTTGTCGGGAATAAGGATGATGGACGTTTCGAGCAGTTTTTGGCGCAAGTTATCGGGTATGTAATGGCCATTATAGAGATGAAAAGGCGTTGCACTCATTATTTTATTTTATATTTTATTCCAGGTACTCACCATTCAAGATTACCGATGAGTAAGTGCGAGACTAGTTTTAAATTAGACTAACCGTTCATGTTCATTACATCCATATAATTGTAAAAAAAAAAAAGATAGTAGCTGTGAGGTTGATTTATTCATGGGCCGTTGTTTAATATTTTAATTATAATTAATATTTAATCGCGAGTATTAAGAGTAGGATAGAATCCTTAAAAGGCCATGCTGATAAGGTAAGGGTTGCTCCCTTCATTCATTCTATATTCAAAGTACAATCCCCGTAAAGTTATTCTTAAATTTGACAGGAAGTTATACCCTTAACCACAATTGTAATCTCTGCCCAAACTCAGCCTGTAGTTGCTCTTTTTATCATTAACCAAAACATAACAGTTTTTATATACACTACTAAGTTTTTAACAAAAGTATAGCTTTTGATTAAATCACCCCATCCACACACGACCATTTTCCTGAACTTGTTGTGCTCGACAAAATGTTCGACGTTAGTGGATATGCTCGGGTGAATTTAAATGCTCGACGTTATGCTCGCATAGAATAGAAATGTTTCTATCTTGCTACTGTTTGTACGAGCATATTCGACAGTTGACGGGCAGGGTTGCCCGAGCATATTTGAAAAAATATTTGTGAAGCACAGAATTTTAAAAATGAACAAGCAATTATTGCTCGATTATATAGAATGCTTCCACTATGAGCCGCCTTTGTGGATAAATAAAAACGAGGAATATAAGAATAGGCATTTGCCCCGAAAAACCGTGGGATGTACTATTACAAAAAAATATCAAGAAATTGATAGAGACGCTTCATGTACCATTTTTTCATCCACATACTGTGCTTCCTTTTTTGCCTACCATTTCTTTTTGTACCTCAATATATACTTGAATTGCCATTAAGGCCAAAATTGTATTTTCGTCCGTATCCATTTATCCGTTCCGCGCTTGTCAAAATTTTCTCTGAAATAATGTTCACAAACAATGTTCGCCACGTTAGTCGAAAAATGCATTTGCTCGCCTGTGGATGGGGTGCTTTAGTCTTTGTATTTGAAGAATCGCTTTGGCAACTCTGTCTCCCTTCTAAAATAATCAAAACAAATAGTTTATGTGGACGATACCGAGTAAGATTTGGAAACATATCGGCACATTCGGACCTCATGTAAGCAGCGCCATAGCAGGTGCTTAGTGTGACCTGTCATGAGGACCTGTCTGACGCAGTTGCCTTTGAACTGTTTGTGGATTGCAAATCTAGTTTTGTTTCATGTCAAGTTCAATTGCAAACGTATCAGAAAACTACATTTTTAACTTGCAATCTGTTTGATTTATATTAACACTAGCAAACATAAATTCGTATACTGTTTAATTGCAGCTTTACTGTGGGCGACGCAAACATGGAGAAAATGCAATTCGGAGTTGACCATTTGATGATGCTACACGATTCCCAAATGATGTAAGTGCAGCAATTTCTCCAGGTATTCACAACAAGATTTGTATTAACCATGATTTCGAATAATCACAGCAAACGCACGAAGCCGGACAGCACCACACAATCAATAACTGCCAAGTCGAAGACGAACGAAATGTCGCAGGCGGGCACCGTCGGCGGCGACACGAACAATTCGAAAAAGTGCAAGGAAAAGATGCGCAAATGTAAGAATTGCAGTGACAGCAACAAGTTTGACATTAAACAAATATATTAATTGCAGGTTGTGCGGACTATGCGGACATCGGCGAGCCGTGTAAAGAGAATCATTCGAAGAAGCGCGTCAAAAAAGAATGTAATCATGCCCGCTTCAACGAGACACGCGACCGCCTACGCAAGAAGCTCACGCAAATTGTAAATGATCGTAAAAGCAAGAGCACCCCAGAGGCGACGACGCCCAAGGCACAGCCCGATCCCGCCCCAGCTCCGACACCAACGGGACGCCCAGTGAAAACGGAAAATGTACCAGCGCAGAGCGTCAGCGGCACAAATAACAACAATAATAATAGCAAACAGCCGCCTACCCTTAAGGTGTTCGCCACGGCACAATTGCAAGCGGCTGCCTCCCGCAAGATGCCTGCAGCAGCAGTGGCGGCGGCCGCTGCAGCGGCAGCAGCGCTTAATGAAATCGGCGAGAATATCGACGATGGCGACAACAGTTTGCTATGCCTGGACAGTCTCTGCAAGAGCATCCAAATGCACACGGATGCAAATGCAGCGGCTGCAGCTGCGGCCGTAGCTGCGGTCAAAGGCGGTAACTTGCCCGCCGAGTTAGGCTCTGGCAATTACAGTAAGGAGGACATGATGAATGACTTTGCCGAGTTTCTGGGCAGTTACACCCGCGAACAGGATCAGCAGCGTTGGATTAATGAGACGTTGAACTTTATTGAGGGCAAGCCGCACCAGCCGCAGCCCACAAATCCAAAGAAAGCGGCGAAGAAAGCCAAGCAACGCCAACGGAAGGAGGAGGAAAAACGCATCAAAGAGCTGGAGGACTTGCGAAGTCAATTCCTAGACATTTACTTCAAAGAGTTCATCGATAAGTACGAGATGAAAGCGCTGACAGCTGCAGGCGGCAGAAAGCGTGAGAAGAAGCGCATTAGCGAGCTTGAGACGAACATTAAGAATTTGCAGCGTGCCAAGGCCAAAGTTGAGGCATTCATACTCGAACTGATCGCAACAGTGAAACAGACAAACAGTGAATTTAAGTTTTCATACTTGCCCACCAAGGAGCAGCAGCTGCAGAAGATTGCGGAGCTCGAGGAGATGTTGAATGGCGGCAGTGGTGCTTTAAATGCAGCGCCATCGGTAGTACCGCCAGAGGCAGCGTCTGCTCCGTCTGCTGCCGAATCAACTTCACCGCCAGCCGTGGCTACAGTTTTGTCGCTCCAATATCCAGACTTCACCAGTCCAACGGCATACTTTCCACCCACCGGATCGCAGCACACGCCCGTGTGCTATGCGCCACCACAGCAACAGCAGCTGCCACGCGATGTGATTGCCGCGATGGCGGCCAATGCCATAACTGCCGATCCGTCGAAACGCATCGTCACCATACGACGCGTCCAGCTTCCGCATGCAGGTGGTGAGCAACAAGTGACTGTTGTGGCCAAAGGCAGCTCGCCCGATGAGGATAAACTACTATATACGTTTGTCAATGGTCACATGGTGGCCTCCGGGCAAAATCCACCTGCATCTAGCAACGAGAGCGCGCAAGCCACGTTGCAATCGGCACCGCCAGAGAAAAGTGCAAAGGCCAAAAAGAAGGAGGCGAAACGTGCGGCTGCGGCTGCAGCTGCAGCTGCCGCTGCTGCAGCGGAAGCAGAAGCTGCTGAGCTAGTAGCCAAGGCCAAGAGCTCCAAGAGCAAAAAGCAGAAGAAGGCTGGAACAGTACAAGTAGCACCAGTTGCCAGTGCATCCACATCGGGCAACACCTCCAAGTCACAAACGCCGCAGAGCAGCGCTGTTAACACACGTGAGAATTCCGTGTGCAGCGTTAAGCCGAAGCAGCCGCCGCCACCACCGTCCAAGAAGGCGGCGTCCAAACAGCAGCAGCAGCAAGCCAGCAAAGCCGTCTCGAAACAAACTGCCGATGTTCAACTGCCAAAAAAAGCGACTGCTCCGGAACCAGCACCCGCAGTTGCTCCAAAGCTTGAACCGCCGACCGCTCAAGCACCACCTAAGAGGCAAAAGCGACCCAAGAACACGGTGGACCAGGGTCTGTTCGACAACAATCCCTTTAAGTCACTGCACATGCAGGACTCGTCGGAGGGCGAGTGGGAAACGGGCAGCGAGTCTGGGGAGAGTGCTGAAGTAACCGTTATCGCCACTCCAGCGCCCAAACCACAAGCCAAGATTCCTGTACTAAAGCCGCCAATAGAGAAGCAACTGCTCCCTAAGCAAACGCCCCCTAAGCAAGCGCCAAAGCAGAAGGCAGGCAAACTAGAATCTACGTCAGCGGCTGTGCCAGCGCCGGTGGTCACAAGAAAAACCAAAAACGAAGCACATCAGAAGCAGCAACAGTCTGCACCGCCGCCACAACCCCCACAAAAAACAGCTCCGTCGACAACGATAAGCACTAGAAGGGCCTCTGCAAATACCAAGTCTGCAACTTATGTGAGCAGTTCATATCAGCAACAGCAGCAGCAGCAGCAGCAGCAACAACAACAGCAGCAGACAACACATGCCAAGAGTCAATCGCATCGTGGTAACGACGCCAGCGGTTCGGGATCGGGACGCAAGCAGAAGGCGGCGCAAGGAGCAGGCGGTAGCAACAGATTGGGAGCACCGTCACATTTGCAGTCCCATCATGGAGCGCCTGCCCAGCAACAGTCGCGTGGCAATCGGAGCGCAAGCAATAACACCAGTGGCCGTATGAAATCCTCTGGAGCACAGCAACAGGCCAATGCTGCAGGCTCCTATTGCTCCGATTCTGGAGCAGCACCTTCCAAGCGCTCACAGCGAGGAAAGCGCAGCCACCGACAGAAAATGGGTGAGTTCATAATTTAATTGCAGACCAGAGATTAGGAATTCCTCTCTTTGAATTTAACCTAATTCTTAAAAAGGCTATGCAATAGATTCCCTAAAATCTTCCCTGGGCTCGGCTCCAAGTCTATCTTACATGCATATCTATGTATATTTTTAACGGGGATGTGTAGCTTCTTAGAAAGCACCAATGATTCCGTAAAAGCAAGCTGTTTTACTATTTAAAATAGAAATTTCCGTTTAGGTTATTCCCTTAAAATAATCGTAAAAGTCACTTTTTCTGATGGTCCTTGACATTTGTGGAGCAAGACAGCTACTGCTATATTTGTCGATTATAAGGTCGGGTTAATAGAATTTTAGTTACAACAAATAATGCATATTTTTTAAACATAGGTATTCGTATTTTAAAAAATTTTACATCACATGTTATGCTTAGACACAGATTTAATCTTCCTGATAGCTTCTAATGTCCCTTTTGTTTGACGCAGGCAATCGGACAAATGACTTATACACGTATATAGCTGTCATAGAATCGAAATATTTTTATAAATATGTATGTTGGGTCGAATTGAGACGGTTGATGCCATAACTGACGATGTTGCATCACTTGGTCACGGTTTCTGTCCTAATATAAGTTACAGATTAAAAGATGCTTCGTTATACGTATATTATAGTATAGAAATTAATGACCTATTATCTTTGATAGTCTGAATCACTTTACTAATTGGACGCTCTCTCCATTTCAGAGGATCTGTCTGGCATACCCAACAACATGGGTTATTTTAATCCCAACGAAGTTGCCATACCTCCACCGCTGCCATCAAACGCTCCTCACGCGTCCAGCTATGCGAGCACCTTGGCACAAAAAATGCAGGATCTACGCATAGGCAACCCCACTGCCAGCGATGGAAAGCAGCAGCATCTATCGCCGAACTGCAGCATCATGGATCAGCTGAACCGCGGCGTCCAGGTGGAGCATTTGTCGCTGCCCCCAGGCATCACACTCACCAAGGTGGATCCCATCAAGAGCGAACAATTGCGTCAAAAGAGCGAGTCCATTCGCAAGCTCTCCAAGCCCTTGGCGGAGAGCCAGCAGTCCACTCTGCTGCACCAGCAGCAGCAATTCCAGATGCCACAGCAGTCACATCTAATGGCCGGCTATTATGGCGGATTGGGGGCCTACAATACCGCTGGCATGGATGGCAGTGGTGTCATCATGGTGGAGGCCAATCCAACAACTAATCTCAACAGTGCTGTGCCCAATGTGGCAGCGGCTGCAGCGGCGGCCACGGCTAGTGGCAAATCCTCACGCCGGCGACGTCGTAACCGCGGAAAATCTAGCGGAAGTGGAGGGTCTGCTCAAGCAACAACTTTAAAGCACCGTGGTGGCGGTGGTGGCGGTGGTGGCGGTGGTGGCGGAGGTGGTGATATCCAGCATACGTCGGCCATCAATGAGAGTGGCGCAGGCGGAGGCACTAACATCATTACGCTTCGCAATCCCATGTTCCATCAGGCTATGGGCTCCGGTAGCAATGGACCAGTAGGTGGGGCTGCTGTAGGCAACATGATGCCTCCAAACAACATAATCCCAGGTAACAGTGCAGTGCTATAATTCTCTCGCAGCTTAACTAAATTGTTTTTCTTTACCATAGGACGCTCCTATGGCGGGGGCCTTCCCATTGCCGCACCCTTGCCCATGGACCAACCGGCCGCAATTATTAAAAATGAGAACGGCATGTTCACCATACGCAATCCGGCGTTGCATCAAGCCGTCACAAATGGCTTGGCCATGGGCGGATACCGCCAGTTTGGTGGCAATGTCAACTATTACACACCGCAGGAGGCAGTGGCTGAGGCCGCACGAGCGACACAGCAGAAACAAACTACTCTGCCCACCCACGGCAGCACCACAGCCTCCGGTGAAGCACCACCCACCAATTTCTCATACTTTTCCAGTGGCTCGGCTAGCGGCAATGGCAGCAGCAACGGCGGTGTCGGTGCTGTTGCTGGCAGCAGTGTTGGTGTCAATAGCAGCACGCACAACAATATCAGTATTAGCTGTACAAACGTTCCCCACACTAGCAACACAACCAACACCAATGCGGCCAACATGGTTGGTGCTGGTGGCGGCGCCGGCAGACTGATTGGCGATGCGGCGGTCATTGCGCGCCCGAAGCAGGCACAGAAATGCCTCTCCGCGATTGGAAGCGAGCTTAAGCAGAAGACCAAAGAAAGCAACCACACATCATGGTCAAGCTTTGGACAGCCATCGGACTTTGGTGCTGGCACATCGACGGCTCCCTCAACGCTGCAGGAGCAATATCAGCAGTCCAGCTATTACAACGGCTTCGAAGTGTTTCCATCGTCGAATACGCAGGCGCCCAGCGCTACTGGACCTGCGGGCGAATGTCACATGCATCACAGCTGTGGCGACGACTCGCCGCCGCCGACTATTACGGGCTTCAATTCCTACCTGGAGGGCATACCCAACACGGGCGTCATACGCTATGATGACGCCGCGTTTCTCAAGAATTTAATTCCGGGCCAGCATCTCAACAACGAGGTGCGTGGACATTATTATTTTGATCAGTGGCAACAATCAACTGAGTTCGGATCGCGTGCAGACTTCGTTCAACATTTCAATATGTTCTCATACCAATCATATTTTTCCTCCTAATATAAACGACTAACAATTTGGATAACAACAGCCTCTAAATGTGAAAATTTAAGATTGCTTTGTATTCGCAGTACAACAGCGAGTGCATTCGTACATTAAAAATATAAACAAAATGAATCACATCAGCTAGTTTTTAAGTTATTAGTAGCCATTGGCCACATATTTTTTTCAAACCTTTTTGGTTTTTTATAAACATTTAAGTCTTTGGACTTAAAAGTTCAACCTATTGCTATTGGTTTCAACTTTTAGAAAATCTTTAGAAATAGCAAATTGCTTAAGGTTGAAGGTTTTTTTCCGATGTGAATATTTTTGGTCAAATGAATATCATTTACTTTAGCCTTTTATTTTGACTCAGTCATTAAATTCTCGATAACATATAGAACAAGAATGAAGAACAAAGAGAGGAACTGCAGAGTAAAGGTCTTTGCTGTTACGATTTCAAGTAATATACCATTATTTTTTATGCATTGGAATATGTTACAGGTCTCCATTCACAATATATCGGAGTCCAACTTTACGCGCAACAACACTTCGCCAGCGCCGCACCATGTGGAAATAACCACAGTGTTCGGAAACCGTACGCGATCCACAAATGCCTACGATCAGCAACAGACACAGCCGCCCCCACAGGGGATTGTAAATTCCGGTGCTAATTACTGTGACAATGTGGCAGCGGACTACGGCAGTGGTAAGTTGGGAGGATCCTCTCCACCCGCTCCCCATCATTCATCAGCACTCACCACAAATGACGTTGTTTTTTGCAGATACCAGCCACGCCCACCTGTTTGCACAGGGCAACTTGATGCCCACCCGCCTCCCGCAACCATCGCCAGGAACATCCGATCCCTTTGGCAGCTATGACTTCGAAGCAGCTAGCGTAGGCGGCAGCACATCCAAGCCAGCCAGCGTGGCAAGCGATCTGAACGAATTCCTACGCCGCAGTCCGCACAGTCAGCGCACATCCCCGTACAGTTTCGATGAAAACGCCGCGCTGGAGACGTTCGTCCAGAACATGAGTGCCCTGCAGATCGCCAGTGCTGCGAGCGATGCTGAGCAATGCTCGCGCTTGAATGGAGCGGGGGTCGGTGTGGGTGTTTCCTCGGACGCAGCCGATGTGGCAGCGGCTGCTGCTGCGGCCAGCGGGGTGGGTGCGGCTGCCTGGTGGTAAACGCAATTCCCGCAGTCATGACAAGACAACAAAAGCATCCTTCATAAACATCCATACAAGAAAAACACGCCCACATAACGCATACATTTCATTGATAAGGCAAACAAAAAATACAAGAAATCATTCAAAATGACTTAGATGTCAATTTCAATGTTTAAAAAAAAAATGCAAAAAACAAGTGGAAAATAAAGAAACTTTAAATAATGCAAATTTAAATCTCGTTTCACTCTGTTTTGCAAGGCAGCAGAAATTTAAACACAATCCTCTTCACATTTAAATAAAAGTTGTGCCAAACATTCCAGACTTCCAAAAAAAAAAAACAACTCACAATTGCCAAATTTGAACAGAGCATTCCTACAATGCGTGACTTTTTCTCCAATCGGTTCTACCAATTTAATCTTTTTGGAAACGGAAACAGGCCATTTCAAAATTCACAATGTTATTGAGGTTTTCCGTTTAGCTGTTTATGCAGATCTAGTATTCGGGAGGCGCCTAATTAAAGGATTGATTAATTCGTTTAGTTTACAGCTTTAGAAATTTAAATCTAATTACCTATAGTTAAGCTATGAATGGGACACTAAGCCAGTAAAATACTTTAACAAGAGCGCGTGCCATGGGCTAATGATTAAAACATATACAAATTTATGATTAATTCATTAATTTCTTTGAACACTATTTATTTGTTTTCAATTTGATGCTAAAAATTATAAATATAAAAATTGCAATTTGATGAATTCATATTAATTGGTTTTTACTTAAACTTTAATACATATTGCGAAAATACTTTTGATTTTCAAATCTCAAATATAAGCGAGCCAGAGGCATAACTGACGCTAGAATCGTCCATGTCCTTGCACTGACTACTCTGCGCATACTTAAGAAATTTAAAGCTCATTTTATTATTATAGCCTTGATTTTGTAGCACCTTAACGGCGCCCAACATCACACCAATTGGATGACGCCCGCATATAGTATTATTGTATTTCCGTAAATATTCGGTAAAGGCAGATGGGCTCAATGTTTCAATTATGTCCATACCCTGCTTATCCAGCTTCTCAATAGACTTATGTATAGGACCGCACGAACGGTCGTAATACGTATAGCTAAAGCGCTGGCCCCAGTGGCAGAAATCGGATGATATCACAAAAAGATTTTCGGGATCCGTAAAATAGGTGGCCAGTATTCCACCATAGAGTGCCTCCTGCTCGGGGTTTAGGGATCCCACAAGTATTGGGACGATTTTAAATTGATCCTTAAAGCTGCAGAGGGAAATATATATCAATAGACTGTGCTTTGGTTGGGCTATACACATATGCTTGCTACTTACTCCTCCATGACCTTTGCTATATATGGCAAATGCATTTCAATGGAGTGCTCATCCTCGTCCGTTTTCATATCCATCCAGGAGAAATGACCCGTTTTCTCCAATTCGGCATTGACTGCAAATAGCACACATGGTTTGGTTTGCTTGGGCAATAACCGCAACTACCGACCTTGAGTATCAATTTTGAGATCATACAAAGGGGTCTTATATTTTTTCGCTACCGACAGCGCGCATCCACGCAGGCGAACATGATGAGACGGTCCCAATATGAAGATGCGTTTTCTGTAGAGAAATCTTTTAGTTTTTGTTATACGATGGTTTGGGAACATTATCTTACACCACTACAGGACTAACTTGCCGATATGCATAGGCACCACAAGCACCACAGTACGTATAGCCGGCATGTCTGAAATAAAGGAGTATTCTTACAATGAATATTCACAAAATAAAGACCAAGTTTGCGCTTACGGGGCAATAATGGCCCGTGCCGGTCCATGCGACAACTCTGCAGCGCCCAGCCAGCGGTCCAATTGACGGGAAAGCTCCGAGCCTGTAAACAACTGACTTTACTATTGGTTCCGAAAGATACCTTCAAATACGACAAGGATAACAGAGCAAGCCTGGCGTCACCAGGCCAACAAATAAACAAACTTTTTTCAGTTGACTCGTAACTCAGCAAAAGAAGGCAAATCAAAAATACTCGCACATAATATAAACTCTGTTATTAAATTTTAGTTTATCAATATGGAAAAGGACAAAAAGAACGATCAATTGCTCGATCTCATACGCAAGGAGCTCAATGCCATTCTTGCAGAGGAGTAAGTACAACTTCTATGCACAATCACACCTATTTGATTTCTAAGCAATCTTCGAACAGGGAAAGTGGTGTTCCAGAAAGAAAGACATCATTTGAATCTATCATTAAGGCAAATCCCATATCCAATCTGGTCCCAAAGAAGGGGGGCAGCCAGCAAAGTAATGTTGCCATCAAAGTTGAGAAAAGGCCCTTGACGTCGTCATCATCAACATCGACATTCAATAAGGCGCACGCATTCCGTCAAGCTGCAGGAGGCAAAACCATTAACATGAAGCCATCGAGCACAAGTAATTCCAGCGGCCAAAAGAAAGAGCAAACTTCATCATCCGATTTGAAGACGACAGGTTCGTCAAATTGGGATACCCTTGATTCCGAGCGTCTACTACGTGCCGAATTTGTCGATTCGCAGACCTCCAAAAGCATCGATGAGGAATTGCAGAAAATGCAGGTGGAACTGAAGCAGAGTTATGAACTGTTTCAGGGAATTGGCGAGAAGTTCGAGTCGATTAATTTCAACGGCCTTCGCAAGCGCATACGTGACTTGCACCTAAATAATATGTCCAATGACATGGGGAAGGTCACAACCTTGGAACTGCAGAAGATTTTTGAGACACGCTACATGCAGAATCGTTTGGACAAGCTCACAACAGATGTCCGTGATGGCTTGCGCCGTCATCCCGGCGAATTTGGAGATATTCCTGAGCTGAGCACCTTCTTTCAGGCCTGCACACAACTGGAGCACGGACTGGATACATTGAAGCAGCAGCGCAAGCGCAGCAGCGACTTAGAGAAGCGCCTGTGCTGGGCAACAGAGATAGCATATGATCGCATGGACGAGATACGCAATGCAGTTGGCTCCAAGCCAGAGTCCAATTTTTGAGTTATCGTTGCCCCTTTTAACATGTACATCAATTTTAGTGGTAATGAGATAACAGATAAAATGGCAAAGCGTTATTCCCATTTTAAAGAAAAATTGTGCCTGTCTTTTGTCTGACCTTTTTGGTGTGGGTGTTGCGCTCGTTGTTGTGTCTACATCGTTTACCTGAATCCGTGTACCAGCTGCCTGCATGAGATGCTCGTCTGATCGACATGGTGGGTTGTAGTGAGGTTTCTGTGCGTTCGAATGCCCTGCTACCTTCGTTATAATTTTCCTAGTTCTACTTTTGTTTCGAACCTGCTTCCTATACGTTCTTTTCAAGTAAAATGACTGACGAATAGTAGGTGAAGAGACAAGGTGTCGGTGCATTCCATAACGTTATCAGCTATCGATTGCCTATCGGTTATTGGCCAGCATAGGATTCATCGATGCCGAGGACAGTATCGTTTTTCTGCCTACACTATTCGCGTCGAGCGGTGCGCGTTCGTCTTTGGATTTTGACAATTACCGTTCAAAGTACGTTGAAATAGTGCACATTTCATCAAAAACGTTTCGTAATTATTGTTCAAGTAAACGCATTCGTTATAATATACGTTCTTCACCGCATTTTGAGTCGTCCAGTTCAGTGCGTAGCGAGCCTGTGTTGGTGTGTGCGTGTGCTGCGAAAAGCATCGATATTACGCGGCAGAGAGTAGTATCGGACGGCTCTAATCGCGTCATTGCTGTACTAAATTTGCCGTATTCCGCCATTTTGAAAGCTGCGAGTTGAAAGTGGAATTTGGACGCGTTGCTGGTAAAAATTTGATGAAAATATATATAAATAGAGTGTAGAATATATGAAAAATGTGCGCAAAGTGCACATAAAGGTGGCGGTCAAGAGATTGCACTCGAATTTAGTGTGTGGCAAAGTGTTTTGCACGTGAATTTTAGGCAATTACAAAATCGCAAAAACGCGAGTGCTGCGGTTGCCGTCGCCGCCACCACAAAGAAGAAAACCCGAAAAGCGAGTGGAAAAAAGTAGAAAACGCTAAACTAGTGCGCCGCTGTATGAAAAGCATTATTAGCAATACAATAATATACACATTTTGTGCGGTTTTACTTGATTTATTTATTTATTGTCACCCCCTTTCCCACGATTACGAAAAGTGTGTGTATGCTTGTGTTAGTGGCATTGCATGTGTGTGCGAGCTAGTGTGTTTGTGTGTGTGTGTGTGCGATAAACGTGTACAAAAAAGTTAAACGTGCAGAATTCGTATGAATTTTTAAAGCCGAATTACAAACACATACCAAACATTGTTGTATGTTTTTTGCGAATGTATTTATGCGAGCGACTGCGCTGCCACTGCTGAGTAAGTGAGCAAGCGATAGCAATATGCGGAACATTTGCCAAAAATTCAGCAACCAATTGTTAAGTGAATTTTGAGCATGACAATGTGTTATTGTGTGCGCGGCAAGTACGCAAAACATTAATAAAACTGTCCAATAATTTTATTTCCTACATATATACGTACATACATACATGAGATGCGCGCACAGCGACAATCGCACACAGAACTCAAAAGAGTTCTACATACATACATAATTTTATATGACGCGACTGTATGTGTGACTGTTCCTTTTTGCTTGCTACCCAGTGACAATATACACGCAAGGTTCACTGCGCAACGCCCTGCCCCTGCCCCCACACTGCTGCAACATGCTGCTCACTGCTGTCTCATCGGCAAAAATCGTTGGCGTTGTTGTTTTCCCGCGTACATGGCGGCCGCTACAATTTCGTCCGAGTGAGCAAGCAGCAAAAGCAGCGAGTGAGCCAGAAAGCCATCCAAAGCCGAGTCGCCGCCAGCCAGCCAGGCAACATTTGCCCATGTTGACACATTTCAGCAGAATTTTCGTCTGCTTGTATAGTAAAATCCTTTAAAGGGTGAAAGTGTTCGTTTGGTTCGTTCCGTACGTTTCAAAGCACTGAGTCGTGTGTGTATGTATCTCTTTATTTCTTTTTCTCATTCCACTTAAAGTTGGCAATATTGTGAATTGTGTGTGTTTGCGCGTGTTTGGGGCTAACTCTTTAAAACTGGCCGAGCGCTTTAAGCGAACGCCTTCCCCATTAAAGTTGCCGACGCTCTTGACGTATACGCATTAAAGCGGGTGTTTGTGTTACCTTTTATACACATACACACACATTCATAAATACAAAGTGACTGGTCAGCACATTCACACATACAAACGCATGCACCCGTATAGTGCCAACTATAAATAGAGGCAATGCTCCCTTACCCACAGCTGCTGCTGTTGTGGCCCGCCGCCTGCATATTGATTGAAAATCATACACACTACTGCACTCAACTGTCGACACTGCGCATTTCGCTACCATTTTGTTTCGTTTGTATTACAATATTACATTGTTTTCATGTTTTTGTTTGCAATTTATGCATTTATAAATAAAAATATATGCAGAGAAATATACAAATACACACAAACTAACAGAAAGAGTTTATAAAGTTGCACTTGTTTTCGATGTCCATAAATACTTTATTTATGCTTCATATAGTCCCAGCCCGCATCTATGACAGCGGGCATGCTATCCTATATTGACTTCCTCTCATTCCAATTTCATTCAAATTGACGCTTGTTTCTTCTTTTTTTTGCGCTTATCGTATTGTGCTCTGTTCGCCCTTTCACTGTCGGGCGCGCCTGTACCCATCACACACACCAAGAAGCGTACATACAGAGACATTCACTTGCCGCCACCGCCGCTCGTACATGCAACGGCAACGGTTCGGTTGAGCTTTAGCTTTTTAGTCTGTATCGTTGTGTTGTTGTCTGTGTATGTCTGTAATCATTTTTTTTTTTGCCAGTTTATATCTATTTGTATATTTGCATTGTTGTGTCTATGTATGTGTGCGTGTGCTTGTAACTGTTTTAGTACGCGTCGACCCTGCGGTGTAACTTTCATAACATACAAAAGTATTTGCTCATGCTTTTCATGAAGCCTCTTCAAAAATTTTCCTAAAACTTGAAATAATAAAATATTCACACATAGCTGCAATAATAATTTTGATTGTGTGATGCGCATGTTTACTCGTATTTTGATATAATTTTGCTATCAATTTGAACAGAAATACATACAAATATAAACATACATAAGTACACAAGCACACGCTCGGCCCCCTCATAAATACAGCTCGGCCCCCTCATAAATACAGCTCGGCCCCCTCATAAATACAGCTCGGCCAACCATCCTATGCGTTTTATTTCGCCGTTATCATTTTATTTTTGTTGTGTGGTTTGTTGCCAGCTGCCTGCCCCGTTCGCTTGTTGGCTTTCATTTCGTTATTTGGCCGCACGCTCGTGCAAAAATGCACACCTGCACACTTTTTGTCTCGCTTTCGAAAGAATTTCACACTTGGAAGCGAAAACAAAACATTTGTTCGTTTTGTTCGAACGGAAACTGAAATAGACGCAATAGTTTAAAATTAAATTGCTAAGAAACAAAATTTCAAATAAATATAAAATACAATGCGGACGCCTGCTGTTTGGCAGTCCCTGCCCCTACCCTCCTTTTAGCCCCATCTGGCTGTCGTTTTATCGATCCGTGGCCATTTTACTGACGCGCTTTTGGTCTAAATAAGAAAACAGACACTTGCGGCAGACAGACAGACGTATACATTTTGATTGTTGAGCCAAATGGTTTTCGCAACGGCAACAACAACAAATACAACAGAAAAAGCGGCAGTAGCAATAATAACAAAGCTGTCAATATGTGCAAAACCGAGGAGTTGGTAGGGGGGAAGGGTGTAAATAAATTGTTTGTTGTATTTATTTTAGTTGCTTCTGGGGACTTGCCATACTTGCAGTTTTTCGATTTGCGTCATTGAAAGCAATCCAACGAAATCAGCCAATCAATGTAGACAATAGCAGAAAAATATATATATTGAAAAAAATAAAAGAAATTAAACGCAAAAACAATCTATACACAATACGAAATATATGTACATACTATATGTACGGTTATACTATATTATTATTATTTTTTTTTTTTTTTTGTGGCCCAATAAAAATAATGACAAATCAGACACACGCCGCAGAATTGCTTTAACCCTATAAATATCAATGTATTTATTATTTATGTAAACAACAAACATTTCCCTTAATAAGCGCTCCAATTTCGAGTCTGCGATCTTCATTCTTCTTTACTCCTTTTGGTTGGGTTGACTAACAAAGGTTTTAAGTTTTATAGAAAATGATTGTGCTGTTGCGTTACGTTTGAATTACATATTGTTAGTAGAAAGAAAGTAATAAGAAGTTCCAGCTATTTAGTCTGGCCTTTTTTGATATCTTTCGCTTACTTTGAAAATATATTTAATCTTTTAAGTTATTGTACAGACTAGCACTTAAAGGTTAATAGCTCGAGCAATGTATAGAAGAGGGCTCCGTTACCGGCTTTAAATATGCATGCGTCGTCTCTCTGTTGTGCATTAAAAACGCGGGAAAACGCGCCAAGTCACGACGACGCCGACGATGTTTAAATCCAGTCGTTTATTTAACTTTCAGCCGTCGTTTCACACACTCGCACGCAAACATTTACATAAAAGCACACACAGACAGACACCCCCGCACGGTCGCTTATTATGCTCATGAGTGCAATTGTTGCACTTGGATGTCGTAGTGACGAATACAAGTTGGCTGTCCCGCTTCCGCCTTCTCTGCCCTTCCTATCGTTCTGTATTGCTTTAGCTCTCTATATCTGCAATGGCGTCATCAACACTTAAAAACTTTTTTCCTCGTCTGCTATTATTGTTGCTGCTGCTGTTGTTGCCCCAAAGTTGTTGTCAGTGTAAAGTTTTCGTACATACAGGCGTACATACTATACATACATTTAAAGAACATGTGCATATATAGAAATGTATTTCAACATACAAATGCGCATGACTTATTTAAACGTGTTTTGCACCAGGCTCATACACATATACATACATATGTAGTTTATGTATAGATAGCTACAGATACATACACAGACGAATGCCGGACGAGCGCGGACCAACGAGCTGCTGAAGCTGCTGCTGCTCTGTCTGCGTGTCGTTATTTTGTGGCATTAAGCCAACAAACAATTTAAACCAGCATGGTTTTTCCTGCTGTCTCTGCTGCCCGCTAACTGAAATTGTGGCAAAAACGTTAAAAGCCAAGACCAAGGGAGCAACGAGAGCCAGAGTCAGTCGGAGCTGGTGCGCCGCAGTTGAAATAAAAACCATTGAATTTTTACTTCTACTTTTGATGTTGTTGTTATTATTGCTCTTATCGTGCGTCCCTCGGTTACTCGGCTCGGTCGTGCTTCGTTGTCTCTGATAAACCGGTTTGTTGCTGCCCATAAAGAGATACATTGCTGCCCGCCACTCATAGGCCATAGAAGTTATTCTTATTATTGTTGTTGCTGTCATGCTATTCTTATTCTTCCTGCTGCTGCCGCCTTGACTTGCCTTGTTGATTTTAATAGACTTTCTGCTGTTATACCGAATATGATTTGGCTCGCCGGCTGAGCCCATTTAAACTCAGGTAGCAACAAAAAAAAAAAAACAACTACTGGCACACAATGCCAATGCGCAACGTCACTAAACACGCAGCTGAAGCAAAATGTATCTGTTAGATACGCACAAGATTTACTGTACGCGCGACCAGCGATGGCGCTACATTTGATTTATCATACCTGTGTAGTGATATTTATTGTGTTCCCCTTCCATGTTCTCACTCGTTCGTTCGTTGTGCTTTAATTTCTTTTTTTTTTGGATTATTTGTTTATTTATTTGCCAGTGCGGCCAGTGTGAAAAGCATCATCAACAGGTTTCCGACTGGGATTTCTCTACTACTCAACTTTCTTAATAAAAAGTTGTTCTTGCACAACAGCTTTAGCACACACACACACACACACACACACAAAATCTTAAAAAAAAAAAAGAAATAAAATCACAGCATCGTTCGCTGCTGCGTGGGCGCATTCGTTGCAGCAGGAACGCGGGGATGGGGACAGGTATGAGCTGAATTTTAAATCCTTGCTGTGTAAACTGGTTTTTGATTTTGGCGCGCATTGCAGCAGCCTTTCACAAGTTGAATTGCTGAGTAAAAAGTGTGTGTGCATATAAGTATTTATTTTTTGTGCTTGTGTTAGCTACAAAGATTACGTTACGCGATTTACGTACTTGAACAATCGTATGAGTAAGCAAGTATTCCCATTCACATACCACCCATTCTAAAATCTGTATACGTAAGATGACTTGTTAATAAATTGATTAGAGATTCAATATTCGAAATTAAATAATACATTCGTGCATATCTGACTCAAAAGCACTTAACATTTCGTTGCAATTTGCCGCTGTCCGGATTTCGTTTTAAGTGCTAAATGTAAACAACAATTATTATTGACTGGCAAACATTATTCCAACCTTATGAATGTAAACACTCAAAAGCTTCGTTCGCTATTACAATCGACAAATTTCAATCGTATTTAAAACTCTTTACAAACATAATATCTCTCTAATTCAACGATTGTTTTATGTTTTAATCAAAACATATTGTTGCTCTACAAAAAGTGAACGTATTCCTTGCTGGTTATCTTATTTTCATAGCTATTAACTGATTAATGCTATCTACCAACCTTAAGGTATATTCGTAAATAATAAATAAATAACAACTGCGTTTCCCATTATTTTGCACCAGAATATTGATCTGATAAACTCTTTTCTGAGTTTGGATCACATCAATACTTTAACAAAGACAAACAATTTTATATAAATATATTTATAAATACCTCTCTACATCATCGGCTACACATGGGAAGTAATGAAGGGTTGTCTTCGCAACTTAGCCAGCTTTAGAAAATTGTTATTTATTTTTATATTATAATTGGCTCCCTTATCAGCAACGAAATTTCGTCAGAAAAATACTAGCAACGAGCAAATGCTAAGCATTGAAAAGTTAATTGTTTAAAAATAAACAAAGCGTGTATTTCGCTTTGTTAGCGACGTAGGCAACAAACGAGACTCGGCCATATGTCATAATTGCGACTCATGCTTTATATTTTGCATCATGTATTCTGGTGTCTGTGTGGGTGTGTGTGTGTGGCTATTATCTTTGCAAACTCTTTTTGTTGTTGTTATTGCTATTTTGTTATTGTAGCAAATGCTGCGCTGGCAGCTCACCCACACAGTGGTCCCAAACTACCCAAAGAAAACATAGGGGAATGTAAAATCCATCTTAGCTATTGGCAAAATCGTGACTATACCCGATTAGGTATTTGTTATTAGAAGTCCAACAAATGCTTCGTAAACCAATACGAAGGGAGGTCAATTTTATTATTGTCCTTAATAGTGTTTTTTGTTTGCATTTCTCTAAAAAACTAAGAAAACTTAAAGGAATATTAGAAATGAAAAACATAATTTTTAATTTATTTATTAAAAAGTAACAAGTTCCTGATACCCTTTAGTAGGAATATGTCAATTTCTAGATTAATTAGCAGGTTGATTTCTATCATATTCAATTGGTAGATTAATTAACAGCATGATTTCTATTTTCCGTACCACAGTGCCGCAGTGCCTAGACGTATTTTATACTTTTGTATATATTAAATATGTACCGATAGCTGACACACACGAGCGTGTTGTTTCTGTGGATGTGGCTCTAGCATTGCCATAGCCATAGCCGCAGTAACTTCGACGTTGGGTGGCTTGATAACACACATAGGAGCTTATATACAGATATACTATTAGTGCACCTACATATATGTATATCAGAAAAAAGCTAGACAAGCACAATTGCTGTCAGCCAATCCATTCAGTTACTTAATTGCCATCATTAATGTGCAATATTGTAACATTTTTTGCGTACATGTACATATCTACGCCATACAGAGAATATTGTTTAGACTATTCGCGAAAACTAGTTATTTGTGGATGTTGAGATGTTGAACTTATTCTCATCAAATTTGAGTAAGAAATCGGACTTAACAAGTGAAAGAGATACTTGAGTTTCGCTTTAAACTGGTAAGGAAAGAATACTTGAAAGAGCCTTTTATTTTTTTTAATGACAACGTTTCATATAAACAGTAAGTACTGTATTGCCAATTTAGCGCTGCTTATCGCTGAACTCACAACTAAAGCTGAATAAGCGTTGACGCTGTCAGTCATCGTGTCTGTCATGCCACCAATAGAAAGGTGGCATACCACAATAAGGCGTTATATATATATACTATATTGTGTGATAAGATACGCGTGAAAACTCAAAATCCTTCTACACCTATACCCTCGTATATAACAAACTATTTACACTTACTGTTCTAATCAGCGCATTGGTTTTCAGTGCTGATAAGCAAAAAATTTGAAGTAGTCAGCAATCGATGTTTCGTATTTAGGGTATTGCCATGCCGATGTGTTGTTGTTATTATTGTAGCTCTGACTGACAGCTGGGTCGTTTACTGAACAAGAAGCGCCTTTTTATTTCATACACTCGTCGCATAATATACGTACATATACATATGTGAATTAACAAACACTAAAAAAAAATGTGAGTCGCATCGAATTTCTATGTTTTCTTTCCCCCCGCACACACACACACACACACACATACATGCAATGTACAGCACCCCAACACCCTTCCCTTCCATGACTTGCCACAGAATGTGTGTATGTGACTTTGCGTTGAGGGAATGCAATAAAGTATGTTTATTGCTGATGTTTGCGAAATCCAAACGAAAACTTGTCATCATCATCGGCAAAATTTCTGCTGACTTGTGCAAGTTTTGTGTGTGTGTGTGTGTGTGTGTGGACGACGGACGTTGCTGCCAACGCCGCCGACGCTGCCACCGCGCCGCGTGCTTGACTTAAAACAATAACTTGCTTGTTGTTCTTGTTGCTGTATTTTAACAACTTGCAATAATAAAAGTATATGTATCTATATACTTACATTCTCGTACACACATCCAATTACATGTTTTCCATATAATTGACGTGCATTAATTTGTTAATTTTGTTGTTCTTGCAGGATTTTCGATTTCAATATGAAGCGCCAAAAATGATTGCAACGTTTGCGTCGTCATCGTCTTGAAAACAGTTTTCTTTCCATTGATTTAATTAAGAGCAACGGCAAGCGTTGAAACAATTGGAGCAAAACAAGAAAAACAAAACAACTCTGAACAAAAAGAGCGCACGGCGCTTAATTAAAAGTTTTAAGTAGCAGAAAGCACACCTAATATTACATACATAAACCTACATACACCAGCACCTATAAGTATATAATATATATACACACACTCACACTTACACACACACATATACACACACATAAAAGGAGCGGTGACAAGTGCAACTACATCATAAAATAGAAACAACAACAAAGAAACAAAATGGACAAAAATCTACTGATGCCGAAGCGTTCGCGCATTGATGTTAAAGGCAGCTTCGCTAATGGACCGCTACAGGCGCGACCGCTGGTAGCGTTACTGGATGGACGTGATTGCTCGATTGAGATGCCCATACTTAAGGATGTGGCTACAGTGGCCTTTTGCGATGCACAAAGCACATCTGAAATACACGAGAAGGTATGTATCACAGGTTATAACAATCCAGGCAAAAATGTATGTACATATCCTAGCAATAGTTCGGCTTGAAATTTTGTGGTTGTCAGGAATCCGGTGCTATAAAATCCTGGTCGAAAGTTCTTATTAAACGATGCTTTTATTTCATAAATCTTCAGTTAGAGTGCGACTATTTCGTCAAGCAAAAAGAATAAATTTTATAAAGCAAACAATTTAAGAATCAGAAAAGATTTTAGTTTTAGGCCTTGGTCTTCACTTTTCACTATTTGTTAACATTTAATAATGAAAAATTATTTTTTAGGTGCTCAACGAAGCTGTGGGCGCGCTCATGTGGCACACCATAATTTTAACGAAGGAAGATCTAGAGAAATTCAAAGCTTTACGCATCATTGTGCGCATAGGCAGCGGCACAGACAACATCGATGTTAAAGCAGCGGGCGAACTGGGCATCGCAGTGTGCAATGTACCCGGCTATGGCGTCGAGGAAGTGGCGGACACAACAATGTGCTTGATCTTGAATCTGTACCGACGCACGTATTGGCTGGCGAATATGGTGCGTGAGGGAAAGAAATTTACGGGTCCCGAGCAAGTGCGAGAGGCGGCGCATGTAAGTTCGAATTTCATTTGCACATTCTATAGCTGACATTATATTAAAATGTTGTAATCTCTCTCTTATTTCTGCAGGGCTGCGCACGCATACGTGGCGATACATTAGGCTTAGTTGGACTGGGTCGCATTGGCAGCGCAGTGGCCTTGAGAGCAAAAGCCTTTGGCTTTAATGTTATCTTCTATGATCCCTATCTTCCCGATGGTATTGATAAATCGCTGGGACTCACACGCGTCTATACGCTGCAAGATCTGCTTTTCCAATCAGATTGCGTCTCACTGCATTGCACGCTCAACGAGCACAATCATCATTTAATCAATGAATTCACAATTAAACAGGTAAGCACAGAAATCAATATCCACACTATATGGCCAACGGCTGTTTGTGACTTAATGAATACTTAAAATCAAAATATACTCACAGTTATTGTAGTAAAATATGACTTTCAACAAATAACGAAAATGATTAAACCACAGTTTATTATCTAAAGCGTATACTTCTCCTGAAACTGTTGGCACAATTTACATTTTAAACTGACTAATTATTTCATTATTTGTAGATGCGACCTGGTGCATTTCTGGTGAACACCGCCCGCGGCGGTCTGGTCGATGACGAGACCTTGGCTTTGGCACTGAAACAGGGCAGAATACGGGCGGCCGCATTGGATGTACACGAAAACGAACCTTACAATGTATTCCAAGTAAGAGATTGTTGTAAAACGAGACATTTTACGCAATCTAATCCCAAGCCGCGCCTACGCCAGACAAATGAATTTACTAACCTATTCTGCCTTTTTATGGCACAAACCAACATTTCAGGGCACGCTGAAAGATGCTCCTAATCTGATTTGTACGCCACATGCCGCCTTCTTCAGCGATGCATCGGCAACGGAGCTGCGTGAAATGGCAGCCACCGAAATTCGGCGAGCTATTGTCGGTAATATTCCAGATGTGCTGAGGAATTGCGTTAACAAGGAGTACTTCATGCGCACGCCGCCAACTGCTGCGGCCGCCGGCGTTGCGGCGGCTGTTTATCCCGAAGGTAAACTACAAATGATATCAAATCAAGAAAAGTAGTAAGCGAAAGCGTTACATGTAAAACGATAAAAAGAAGCAGTAACAGAAAAAGCAGCGAACCCTAATCAGAATCAGAGAGCGTTTAACCAACCACAACCATACACCCCCATATAAATATATATATATAAATACAAAATCAACAACAACAACCACACACATGCAACAAGAGCATAAATACATACATACTTCTGACTCATTTAAGCAAAAAGAAGAATACAAAAGTAAACAAGAAATGAAAGTATATATTGATAATGATTTCAACAAAAAAAAAAAATGCTGTAAGAGTTGATATATAAGTTACACAGATTAAGCTATATAATAATTATAGACACGGCTTATGGCGGTTGACGATTGATTTTGATGACGACGATGATGAGGAGATTTAGCGCGCGACCGATGTTGGGCAATGACGATGTGTGAGAGGAGAGAAGAAAGTTATAAATACAAATATATATGCATAGAGAGCTCTAAACAAAACTACAAACGCAACACAAACAAGAATAATTATTTACTATGTTACATTTCATAGGAGCTAGACCAGACTAGGCACAAAGAAGATACAATAAACAAACGACAGATACTTAGATTTGGACAAATATAGAAACAGATTTCCACACAGCACACACTTCACCTCATCCCCCCACCATCCATTGAAAGCGTTTGTAGAGTCAGCTTAGAACAGAACAGAACCTTTGATTTCATTTCATTTCTTTTCCAACCACCCACAATTTATGCATATATATATATATATATAAACATTTATATATAGAGATATATATATAAATACATATATTTCATGATTATTTACAAGAAAGGTGAAAGTAAACAATTTGATGGATTATTGTTGTTAATGTTTCGATTCTCTTTACATTTTAAAAGACGACCACCCCGTACGGCCTAAAATTGTCGACATGTGTAGTGATTACAATTATTCATATTTTCGTGCTAACCGATAAGCAAACGTTTTAGTTTTTCACAAACAAACCGTAACTAAACAATATCGCCCATTTTAGAAATATAAGTAGAAACACAAGAAACAAATTTTAATTTTTAAGCACAGAGAAAAGAAAATTACTGACTTTCAACATTTTGATAAATAACAACAACAAAAGAAAAATTAAGCAAAATTAAGAAAAAAAAAACTATGCAGTTGATGCAAAATGTTTTGGTTAAATCTTTGGAATAACTTTTATTATATTATCTGCTCTATAATGCATAATGATCTCATCATCCGAGTTTATTTTCGCCTTACGTAAATATTTTTCAAATATTAACAAGACAAAGTAAATATTTATATATATATATATATAGAGAGATAAGGAGAGAAAGGGAGAAAAGGAAGCAACACGACGCGTTAAATTTCAAACCACATCTATAAATAAAACTAAACGTAAAAATTAAAGTATAGTGTATGTACATTTATAACGTATAACAGAAATATATTAAAAGCAAACGAAAACAACAAAAACAATATATAAAAATTAATATTAAAGCATTAGAATTACCTTAATGATAACGGCAGTTTCTTAAAAACTGAATCAAGTGGCACAGCGTAAAAATTGTTAGTGTGTAAAATGTAATTTAAATTAAAAACAAAACAAAAATACAAAAACGATTAGAGGAAACGAAAGCGCAAACGAAGTGGTGTAGTAAGCTTCATTTTGTAAACATTTGCAATTTAAGTTTAAAGTTGAAAAGTATGCAGACGATCGGCCTATGTTGGCCGCCGTGTTTTCGCATTAATTATGAATTACATATTTTTATAATCAACTTTTTTTTTCTACATACATTTCATTATCACGCAAAATATTTTCCTTAATTGAAGAAATGAAACAAGAAAGATAAATATTATTGCCTAAGAATTTCTTCTGATCAAGTTTTTCGTTTTGTACACAAATCAGAAAAATGTGAAGGCGAATGAATACTTAAAGAAAAGTTTGACAACATTATAAGCACAAAACATACAGCAAAAAAAAAAAGCACACCCATACCCAAACACACTCACCCATTTCTATTAAGTATACTCAAGCATAGACGACAACCATTCACACACACACACACAAGCACACACACACCTTCGCAAACATATACACACACCCCCCACACAAGCCTATGAAAAAAATTGCAACAAAAAACGAGAAAAGTAAAGAAAGGAAATTAATAAGCATAAGCGTAAAAGTAATGAGACAAGAAATTAAAATACTGTTATTTTGTAATGTATAAAAATATTTTTAATAACTGTGAAAGCTAAATAAAATTAAAACGTAACAGTTGACGATGAAGCAACAACAAAAAAATGATTTAAAAACAAACAAAAACCTTTCCAGAAAGAAAAAACGAAACAAAACATAAAAAACAAATGCAAATGCAAAACTGAAAAGAGATAAAAACAAATAAAACAAAATCTTTAAAGAAAAACATGTCAGCATTGTTCTTTAACTTGCAATATTGGAATTTTGTTGTTGTTGTTGTAGTTGTACTTGTGTGGCAGTGATTGGCTGCTAAATGTTGCTTTAGGTCACAATTCTAGAACTTGGATGATGGCTTCACTCAATTACAATTAAAAATCATCGCAAGAGCAGACGATATACATACAGTTCAGTGTTTTGTTAAATCTCCCATGCAATTGTTCATGAATGAAAGTCAGTAATTTCTAATCAAATGCTATGTGTTATGTTTTGCTTAAATTCCGGCGATCAACGCAATGCAGGTTACATAAGTATATCCGGAGAAGATTATATTTCGTTAAGGAGTCTAAGGCAGTCCAACTTAAAGCATAAGCAGAGGCAGCTGCGGTCCACAGATGGATTGATTTGTGATACAATGAGGCATCATGATGTATTTTCAAAGCATCTGAGAAAATTGAATTAACGATTCAAGATATTGAGATATAGAAGAGAGATATTGAGATATAAAATTCGTTTGTAATGTATTAAAAACAGAATTCTGAAGCGAACTCTATCGAACTCATATCAGTAATCGAATAGAAAATATGGAAACCAATCTGCATCAAATTAAATTCTCTGTCCATGAACATGAACTTTGCATTTATTCTTTACAGTTTGTTTTACAACTTCAAAACATATTTATAATGCAAATTCGAATCTGAGTTGATCGCCTTTGATAACGTATAAGTGTTTACCCAAATTTGGTTCATTAGTGTAGTCAGCATTTCGTCGGGGTGGTGGTAGCCAGAATTATCATTTTCTAGACAACACGCAGCCAACTGCAGTCACCCAAACAACTTAGCTCAATTATTATTTCCTTCGTTCTTCACATTGAGAGAAACAAGAAACGAAACCAAGAATGCAAACAAACAGCAACATTTCATATTTATTCGTTTATTTAAATGCAACAATTTTGAATATCAATCAAATATCAAAACAAAATCGAAATACAAAACAGGATTAAATGGCGGCTATTATACAGGCGCATTGCATCATCGGGCACACAGCACCACACCGCATGATGGTCCCCACAGTACAACGAATGTGGGCGGGTCTGCCCTGGCAGCACCGCCGCCACTGCAAGCTTCGAGTGTGGCCGCAGCTACCGCTGCTGTCGCGGCTGCAGCAGCAGCGGCTGCCGCTCTTCTGCCCTCGCCAGTGCCCCCACAGCCGTCGTCCGCTGCTGGTTTGCCAACGGTGCCGCATTTGTCGCCCCAAGTTGGTGGATTGCCGCTCGGAATTGTAAGTAGTCAAGCGGTAGGTAGTAACAAAAAAAAACCAAAAAAAATACAAAGATTTACATACAAAATAAACTATTTTGGAACGTGTGTTGTGTGTCTCTGTGTGTCCAAGTTTGCTAATGTGTGTGGGCCTAGTTTGTTGGTTGGCTGGCAGTCAGTCGTTGGTTGTTACCACTAGGCTAGGGTTTATTACCTACCTACCTATGTACCTACTTACTTACTAATTCTTTTTTGTGCTTTGTGCCAACGTTTTGTATCTAATTTACAGCCATTGTTGCGCAATCTTTAATCATCTCACCATCTTGCTTTTAGCCCCTGAGTGCGCCCGACCCTAATAATCATCTGTCATCGATCATTATGAATGAAGTGAAGGCCGAGGCAACATCGGAGACCCCGTAGTGTGTGCAGCTTAAGACGCAGTATGGCATGGCATCAAGTGGAGGGAGGAGGAGGAGGGCTGAAGTCGTCCTCGGCGAGAAACAATTGTAATTGTGAAGTTCTACAGCAGCAGCCCATTCCCGCCAATTGAACGTAGACGAGCAACTTATACTTTGCATTATCCGACGCAGACAGTAGTCAGGGCTTATTGTGCAGCATTCACAGATTCAAGCACTTAGATTCAAATGATGTACACCACACATACACACACACTCAACTCGTTCTTGATTGTGTTTGCCAGACTGCAGCTCTCGATTTGAACTCAATTAGTTTCTATGTTGCAAACTAAGGCTTGTTCCAGCATCACCTACAACAGTGCCACAATACATGCACACACGCACGCACGCACGCAACGCCCCCCAAATGCCTCAAGATTAACTACATACATATTTAGAATTTAATTTGTAACTACAAACCTAGAATTCTACACTTCAATTTAAGATTCTTATTTGCAATGCAGCAAATTCTAATTGAAAATATGTTAATACATATACATAAGCGCAAACACAAATGTTGGAAATTTTTAACTAAAAAAAAGATACAAAATTATGACATACACACAACAAAAGAGAAAAGTTTAGTTCTTAAGCTAAGTTTAAAGTAATAATAAAAAGCAAGTAAATAAGTGTAAATATTTGTCATTTGTTTCAATCGCCGTAGTACATTGAATTTGACTTGACGACTTTGGATGTCAGATCTTTCTAGGCCATCCAGAAAGGTTTGATTCATCATAAAGGAAGTCGTTATTATTTGAATCTACAAGAAAACCTCAATACATCGGGTTCCAATAAAAATATCAAAAAATGCCAAATGCAAAGCCAATATTTTGTATTTATTCTTAGGATACACAAACGTAGTTTGAAGTTATTGAAATATGCTGATCATACATACCAACGTTGAAACCCCTTTTCCCCATTTAGAGTTATAAATTTGCAAAACTTTTTAGAAGGGAACTTTTATTCAATATTCAGATCCCTAGCTATTATCGTTTGAGTGCACAGTTAATCACCAATCCATTTATATCAGTCAGGACATACGATTAGTTTAACAGTACTTTTGTTATAAGAGTCTTATCTGTGCCGAACTCCACATTCACTTGAATAAATTCCTTAAATAAATATTTACAAATTTTGCTGCTGTAAATGAATTGGAAATTGTGACAATTTTTTATGCTTACCCGATCTTAAGTTAGAAATATATAATCATCTGAAAAAAGTGTTACATACAGAGGTTATGGTTATTTACAAAATTAAATTGTATTGTAACCGGAGGCACTTTATAGCTGATTTTTATCTATGTTTACTTAAGAAGTGATCGTAAGATCAATGGGTCGGCATACTTACGATGGGTGCTCAGATTTTATGATTTTTGAATTCATTTAATCCTTCAGGTAAAATGTTCGTTTTTTAGTTCGATCCTAAAATATTTATCCCCATTCATAAGGAAAAGTAGAAGTGATCTCTATTTTTATTGAATATCAGAATGGAATGTTTACATACGGTAGGATGTCAAAAGTTCTTAAATAAAAACCACAATTTGTATATAATAATAATGTATATTTTGTAATTTTATTTGAGTCTGTTATACACAGGAGTTCTATCGGGTGGTATACTAGTTTTAAATGCTACATAACACCTGCTCTAATTTAGCACAAACTACTGCATTCGATTTGTTGTTGTCTTTCTTAATCAGTTAGTTGTCCGCAATCAAAACGCTCACTTAGTACGAAATATGTATATTAGTCGGATTTAGGTTTAAAAAACACATGAATTAATTTTTGTTTGTTTGTATATGTAGTAACATGTTTGGATTTTTTACACACGGCCATTGTCAGGGGTCCATCACGTTTTGCACTTAATTACAATGAGTACTATCTAAAGTTTTTACGATGGAATGAACAACAACTATATATGTATATGTTTGTATAACTAGGTAGTATGTAGTTGCGGTCGATGATTAACCAGCCGAAGGCAGCAATAATACCTACACATATGAATTATAAATCAGCATGCTCTCCTCGCAATTCATACAGCTTTAGATGTTTACTGAACCTTCTAGGAAACCATGTACATACATATAAAGCGACGATTAGACTATCTTCAAAATCGTAGACAAAAATCTGTCAAAATTTTTGATTTTGTTTTTCGGAACAAGTATACAACAATATGAACAGAAGCCAAGTAATTACCATATACATATGTATGTAGTATTCTTTAGGATTTTTAACACTAATTTTTTTTTGTTTATATGTATATAGGGTTTTTCAAACCAGGAATATGTGTGTCTGTGTATGTGTGTATTTTTGTGTGGAACATACAGCAATATACGTTAGAAGTATATAAATAATGTATATCAAAAACATTGTACAATTCGTAACTTCTCGCGGCGTTCATTCAATATAAAGTCCTTGGGTTCGGGTATGTTAGTATGCATATGTCTAGTTGTATGTATGTATATGTAAGTGTCTGTGTTTGTTTTTTGTATATTATATGCATATACGCGCGTCTCAGCTTAATATAAAACAAAATCAACAATTTGTTTGAACTTAGAAATAATCGAACATCTCGCTTGTGGTCCATCAATACCTTAAAAAAAACGCGCCATGCGCGGTCGCAATATGCGAAATGCGCCATAACAACCCAGGCCTATGAGTCCGTATTTGAAAGTATATTTACAGATGCGCTGGCTCAGGCTGGCCTGCGGTATTTCGAGTATGGAGGGTATCTTTTCCGGATCAACTTGGCCCCACATCTTGGCTATACCATTGGCATGTCCGATGCCAACAACGCCTACAACTCGCACGGGTCGCACCTTATGAGCGTCAGGAGCTGCCTGTGGCAAGGCAGCCAGCTGCAGGGAGTGGCATAAAAAGAGATCGCGCTCACGCACAAATACGTCCGAGAAGGCGGGAAACTCGCCCGCCATTTCCTGCATGAGTTTCTCGAGCAAATCGCGTTGCTTGCACTCCTCCACCTCCTCGATGCTGATGGTGTCAGTAGTAGTAAGGCGCCACACCAGCTTCATTGTCTGCCATAGCGAAAGTGCCCGAAGAGCACGATACAATGTAATGCGTATGGGCCTATCGCCCAAATGCAAAATACAGCCGGGCAGCTTGTGTATCTCCTCAAAGGCACGACGAAACTCACCACCTGGTGCCATGCCCAGATCCTTTGCAATTTGTGCGCTCATCTGCAGCAGGAGGATGAAGAAAATGCCATTAATGTAGCCGTGCGTCTGCAGAATACCCCTTATCTTCGGTATATTTATGTTCTTGGCTTCTTCAAGCAGCGTCTTCTCATCTAACTTCAGTATGTGTATGCGTGATGGACAAAGCTCAACCATGACCACGTCTGGACGGACATTGCGTATGACCTATTTAAATAATAATAATGAGTTCAATAAGCATTTAAAAGTTAAAATAAGAAATTATTACAAAATCCAAAACAATTATTTGAAGTCAAGCGGTTGTTTAAGTTTTGAACGAACCAAAAAATTAAATATTGTTTGAAAGAAAGGAAACAGGTAGAAAATTCGCTCTACTAATTGAAATAATATCCATACTCTATTATCAACTTACAAAGGAGACGTCATCCTGTGATTCCTCACTGAAATGGGCCGTGCCCACAAGATAAACTTTGCTGCCGAATGGGGTGTTCAACAACGTCACCGTCGATGGCAGATTCTGTTCAAATTCCTCTAGTGTATCGTAGATTTCAATTTCTCGCTTCGTTTGTGGTAGACCGACAGAGAGATCTGTGGCAGGGCCAAGTGGGTCGGCCAGCTGCACACTCTTGCCTGCATCGGCCGCTGCTGAGGCCTCTGCTATATTGATGTCCAGCTTTTGCTTGCTAGACTGAAGAAGCGACTCTGCTTTGCGTCGACGTTTGTCCGCAGCATTGTCCTGCGATGTAGTCGCAGTACCTGCTGCCGTTTTGCTGGGTGATTTCTTTAGTATGCTCTTCACTTTCTCCGCTGCTGCATCATCATCGGACAAATGTTCTATTAGCACTACCTCCTTTTCCAAGTCCTGCTCCTTGATAGAATTATCATTTATCTCTATAATTGACAAGTTGGGATTATCCGTTTTGAATACTGCCTTATTGGCCAGCTGTGACTTGGGATCGACTTCCTCCTGCGAGGTGTTGGTATCGCTGCTCTCAGAATGTATTAATATTGTGCTGGCATTCAACGACTTGAACGTCGAATCGCTGCTATTCAGCGTACTTTCCAAAGCGGAGAGGGATGGCTTTTGTTTTGCGTTCAACGCACTCTGGTTAATGTCACTGGCGCTTTCTGAAAGAGTGCGAAAGACCAAAAAGTTAGCATAAAAACACAAATTTCATTTAGAATTCAATAATAATATATCAAATATAGAAAATATAAATAAGATTATTGGAATAACAAAATCTTTAAAGCTCCTCTGTAGCACTGTTATATAGCTTGTGAAATTGCTTTAAAAACTGATTCGCATATTCTTTGCTGTCCTCATCCTTACTGATGCTTATATTAATAAGAAACTGCTGCATCAATGCAAAACATTTGCGCTTCACTATGAAGATATTTTTCTGCTCTTTTTGTTTTTGCTCGTCCAACCGTGCTTCGTACTTGGCCATCATTTTTCCTCGCACGGCATGCAACTTTCTCTTTACCACATCCGTTAGTGTACTTTTATGGGCTTCCTCAGCCTGTATGCATAGCTTTTTTAGCACTTTATTCAGCTCGACGTCCACCTCATTAAAGTGATTCATCAGTAGCTGATCATCGCTAAAGACGGTGAACATTTGCGGCATAAATTGTTGCGGAAAACTCGCCGGCGTCTGCGAGCTGAGCGTTTGCTCAGCAGCATTAATTAGATTCATTTTGAGACTTTCACTGAAGCGGGCCTTGCGCATGTTCTCCTGACCTAGTTTCTGGGTCAACAACTCTATGTGATTGGTCTCTATGGTGAGCGCGGTTATTTGCAATTGAAGGGCAGCAATTTGATTTTTTAAATTTGTCTGCTCCTTCTTCAACTCCCGGTGATTGTATAGTTCCATGGAGTCGTTGCTGTATGAATCTTGTGCCTCATAGCGCGCCGATGAGCTTTGACTCTGGGTTTCTTCCTCACCTACCGTTTTTTGTAGTAATTCCTCAGGATCATATTGCAAGTTTTCTGGATCGTTGAAGGGCGTGCCAAGTTGACCATATGTGGCCAATTGGTGCTGCATTAACTGCAACAGGCGCTGGCATACTTCTTTATTTTGTGTAGATGATTTATTCAGTGCTTGAAGCCATTGTATGCAAAGTGCTCGATCCTGCGCATTGGGTTCACGCTCCGCCAGCAAACGAATCATTTGCAGCTGATCATGGCAAATGTTACCCACTTGAGGATTGGACAGCTCGGACTGCTTGTTTGGAAACGTTTTTGACTTCATGTTTTGTATGCCATGCATTAACAGCACAGTATTGATAATTTTGAAATGACAGCTGGTGATAAGAAGAGAAGTCCCATAGCCTACCGCGCACTTAACTTACCATTGAATGATTTGTACGCCGATAAGGAGAGTTGGTGATCCAGAGCGCTATCATACATGGAACCATCCATAGAACCACCCAAATACGAGCTATTTTGCGACCCACCACGCAGTGGCACCTTATGATCCGTTGTCCCATTTGTTGATTCAAACGAAGGTGAAGCTGAAAAGTCCATACTTGTACTGGTTATTGTAGAGCGTCCGTATTTTAATGTGTGTGCGTCGCTGTTTATACAGTTGGTACGCTTTGGAAGAATTGGTTACAACTTGAAATTCGGTTTATGGCGGACAGTCACTCAGTCACGATCAACTTCTGTATGGAGAAGACTACGTTTGCGTATTTGCGCAGATCTAGAGCTTGACATCCGCTTTCTTGTTTTAGTTATTTGTGCAGGTGCTGTGTGTATGTTTGGTTCTTGGTTGGTTGTTATTGTCGCCGAAGTCTACTGGTGCGAACTGTAAGACACATAAAAGGTAGAGCGCGATTAACAATCATTACTTGAATCTATGTGCACAAGTACCTAGTAGATAACAACGATGGTTTTGGAAATTTTGTCTGCTTTACTGCGAATTTTTTTTATTGCGTACGTGTAGCCCGAGAGCTAGGTAAGTTGTAATCTGTCTGTTGATTTCAAAATCACAGCCAATCAGTTGACGTTGAAATATTATCTTTATGCAGATTGCCTGCTTTATCACGAACAGCGCGCCAAAGATTGCGAAATATGTGCATGCCCTAAATGTAAACGCCATTGTTTGCGTTCATTTCGTACAAACTTTAATGCGTTGCATTCGTCAGCATCACAGGCTACTCACCTGAAAATTTTGATTACGCGTGGGTGTTATTGAGCTGCAGAGCTTCTTGTAAACAGTGTTAGCATGAACATAAGCTTTAATTGACTTAATTATTTCTGCTATTTAGCGTTGGGCAGCAGTTCGCGACGAGCTTACTCTTATTGTTGTTAATAGAAACCCAAAAAACTAAAGAAAAGTGATTGTGGCAAGTTGTACTCTGATTCTTGCTGGCAGCGACCAGTGTTGCACCAGTATTGTAGTGTCTGCGTGTTTTGTATACAAACGGTACGACGATTGCGTCAAGCAGTGTATGCGTATTTTTATTTGTACTGTATGACGACTGTTTCAATGTGAGTCTGATTTGATTATATTGTACAATTTTCATTGAAACTGGTATATATTTGAAACAATGTTATTTTTAAGGAATTTCTTTCGTATTAAATACATGCATGATGAATGAAGAGTTTGTTGCTAATGCAATGCAAGTTTAAATTTTGTTCTCTTTTGTGCAGTAGAGCAACACTGACGGCAAACAGCTGTTTTCATGTGCTAGCCTTACGGCTAATGTGTAGAAGATAACATTAAAATAACTACAAATTTATCATCATGGCAGATGACGCCGAGGAACCAAGCAAGGTAAAATGATATTTAAGCGAATCTTAAATCATGGGCCTAACGTATATTTCCACTATATTCCTCCACTAGAGCTTCATAATCTTTGGACGCGATATTGCTCAAATTCCATGCTTTCGTAACAGTTTTCTATACGGCATCAGCGGCGGCATTGGTATTGGCCTCTTAACGTTTTTGGGCACCTCGCGTCCGCACTTTTCCACACATGTTGGTTTTGGTTCCTTTTTTTGCGGTACCATTGTATATTGGTTCGGCTGCAGGTAAGCAGTTGTATGTCAGGCACTTTACTATCTTTCTAAATAACTTATCATTCAGGTACCAGTGGTCCGTTCGACGTTTTGAGCAACGCCAACTGCAGGAGGCCATGCGCCAACAAGCTATGTATGAGGGTACGGAAACTGAGCGAGAGTTGGATTTAAAGTCGGCGTAGTGCAGGAAATGTACATGCAATGTGGGCTTTTGTTATTGTACATTCACGTGTTTCTAAAATGTTGGAACTCTGCATAAAATATGCTAGACATATGTACATATATATGTATGTATAAGCAGATTCGGCTCGCACGATTATTACCTAAGGAGCGCATACTTATACGTACGAAGAAATATACGAACGAACATAGAAATGTATGTGTGTAAATAAATGATTCAATGTTATTAACGACGCTTATTACTAAGTATTATGTCTAAAATGTCATTAATTGATTGTAGCTGATGATGGTATCAAATGATAATTTGTAGAAGATATATACATATAAATAAAAAAAATAGTCATTTAAAAAAAAATTGTGCTCCCTATTATTATGAATTATACTTGTTATTAAAATATAATTTTAAATAATGATGGTTTTATTGTGTAAAGCTTATTAAAATATTTGCAATTATGGCTAATTTGAGCCTCATTTGGCTTAGATCACTAGACTGTCATTTCACATTTAAATGAGGGATTAAACGTTATAGTACAAAAGAGCTAACAAATACATACGTAAGTACAACAAAAGCCGTTTTTTTATTGTTGTTGCGAAAAACAAATATAGACATAAACTGTATTTGCAGTCAATATTTATGTATAACAAATACATATATTTTGTGAATGGAAAGAATGCTCTCAACATTATGAAGTTAGTAGGTAAATATATATTTCTATTAAAATCATATTTAATTTTATTACAAAGCCTTTATGGTTGTTAAATTCGTAAAGTGTGCCTTCAGAATTCCTTCATTATAAAGGCAAATATACATAAGTGTTGGCAATTCATTAGGAATGTTCTCATTTATTTGTTAAAATTAACCTATTATAACAAAGGAAAAACGCTAACCACGTTGCTCTTTAGAGCATAATGTAACTAAAAATGCATCCAAAATGTGTGCTAATTTATAATTTTCTGAATATAATATTCTTAGTGACCACTTATAAAACAATAAGAAGTCCATTCACCGTCTACAAAAATACTTTTCAAATATTGCCATTTGCACTCTTATCTCTTAATGCACCTACATATACATATAAACGTAGTATCTCAAAACAATAGAGATAACATTCTACACATACATATATTCTCAAATTTGAGTTTTAAAGAAAAGCCAAGACAAGGGGACTCACAATGTATGAATGGATTATGGTTAACGGTTTTTAAGAGGAACAGAGATAAACGTAAATACTGAATCCGATACTAGTCGTTACTGTTTAATCGGTTCTCCTACAGCATTTTACGGCGCTCCTAACGAGCCCTGTTGGTTGCTTATCGCGACAACCCAGACAGGCAGCCAGAATCAGTCGCCAGTTCAAATATTCTCACACTCAGAACGAATTTGTTTACAACGCGAGTAGGTCGTGTGCGCGCTAAATCGTAAAACGCGTTTCTGTAAGTGAAATACATACAAATAAAAGGAAACTCAGCGCAGTATAAGTAATATATAGATACATACATATATATACGAATATCAATATGTCAGAAACTGTATCGAATTCGGTCTTGGTGTTTTTTGTAAATGGTAAAAAGGTAATAATTTAAATCCAACTACATACTTGTATATATTTAGAATATTTGAAAAATGCAACTGGCTTCGCGTGAGCCAGTTGGTTAGCAAAGTTCAAGTGTATTCAAGCGATAAAATCTAACGTTGTACGTCAAAATGGTTGGGGGTTATCAAGTTTATTGGCCTGTGGCATATGCTTGACACGTTTTTATTGTTGTTGCTGTTGTTGTTTGTGGCAATTACTTTTAACTGCCATCAATAAAATGGTTTTCAATTTATTCACTCAATTGAGCCTGTTCATGTAAATATTTTTCATATACTGTGTATATAGTACATACACATTCATGCACATTCATACTTATATATTGTAATTCATTATTTGTTTTGCAAGTGCTGATAATAATCGACTCATTGGAAAGGCGTGCTTCTCAGTTCGCTGGTGGTACCAATGGGAAGGGCATTTAACGTCTTATCATGCAACCATTACTGTCAGTAGGCAACGACCTTATTTTAATAAAGTGGGTTTATCCACGTGCCATTGTCTGATAGTGAGATTGTTTATAAACAATCGCAGTCACTCGCGTAATTATGTTTTCATGACGCCAGATAGTGTAAAAATTCGAACATAACTCACGGAGATGAATCTTGAATAAACACAGTAGTAATTAACTGGGTACTGGAGTAGGTGCGAGGCAATCATTAGATAACGTATATTTATAAGGTGGGGGTTATGTGAATATTTCATTGTAATAAACCTGTCGTGGAGTGTCTAATCAAGGCAATAGAGTCTATCGTTTGTTTAAGTTCTCCAGATAGGTAATTGTAATAGTGATAACGATCGATACATATGCCAGCACAGGGAAGCGATTAAGTTAATACATATAATAAAATATTACAATATTGTGTATAGAGGTAAATTAAACACTTCAAAAGAACAACCGGTCAGTATTCGGGAGAACTAGCTATTATTTTTTCCGAATTTGTTCAAATATGGTCTTTTTTATTTGACTTTCGAAAACAATTGACGTCATTGGTAGAATATATACCCTCGTATTTAGTTTTATCTGGGAGTGCTTTGGAATCATGCCTTTGATACTGTCTATTCTAAATGTTTTTTATACTGTAGGTGACCAATGCAAACCCTGATCCCGAATGCACACTGCTCACTTACCTGCGTGAAAAGCTGCACCTTTGCGGCACCAAGCTGGGCTGCGGGGAGGGTGGCTGTGGTGCCTGCACTGTAATGATCTCTCGTATGGATCGTCGCAGCGCTCGCATTAAGCATTTGGCCGTCAATGCATGTCTTACACCGGTCTGTGCCATGCACGGTTGTGCAGTGACCACCGTCGAGGGTATTGGCAGCACCCGCACCAGGTTGCACCCGGTCCAGGAGCGGCTGGCCAAGGCACATGGGTCGCAATGTGGTTTTTGCACACCTGGGATTGTTATGTCCATGTATGCGCTGTTGCGTAATTCGGCACAGCCTTCGATGAGGGATTTGGAGGTAGCATTTCAGGGAAATCTATGCCGCTGCACCGGCTATCGTCCCATACTGGAGGGTTACAAGACATTTACAAAGGAGTTTGCCTGCGGCATGGGTGAGAAGTGCTGTCGTGTTAATGGAAATGGTTGTGCGAGCAATGGAGATCCAGCCTCATCCTTAGTGGATGACACACTTTTCGAGCGCAGCGAGTTTCAGCCTTTTGACCCGAGCCAGGAGCCTATATTTCCGCCAGAGCTGCAGCTAACGGAGTCCTATGATAACGAGAGTTTGGTTTTTCGCTCGGATCGGGTCACCTGGTACCGGCCAAGTTCGTTGGTAGAGCTTCTCCAACTTAAGGCGGAATATCCTGAAGCTAAGCTGGTTGTGGGAAATACAGAGGTGGGCGTGGAAGTCAAGTTCAAGCATTTTCTCTATCCAGTGCTCATCAACCCAACCAAAGTCCCAGAGCTCATGGAAGTACAGGAGACGGAGGAGAGCATCTACTTTGGCGCCGCTGTGAGTCTGATGGACATCGACATCTTGCTAAGGGAGCGCATTGAAAAATTGCCAGAGCATCAGACGCGCTTTTTCCAATGCGCTGTCGATATGCTGCACTACTTCGCCGGCAAGCAGATTCGTAACGTTGCTTGTCTGGGTGGAAACATCATGACGGGCAGTCCCATATCGGATATGAATCCCGTGCTGACGGCTGGTGGGGCATTGCTTCTTGTGGGCAGCCTCGTCGACGGTCGTGTTGAGCGACGCACGGTGCAAATGGGAAGTGGCTTCTTTACCGGCTATCGCCGCAATGTGGTGCAACCACATGAGGTATTACTTGGCATACATTTTCAGAAGACCACACCAAATCAGCATGTGGTTGCCTTCAAGCAGGCGCGCCGACGTGACGACGATATTGCCATTGTTAATGCCGCCGTCAGCGTACTTTTCCAGCCTCAATCGGATGTGGTGGCGCGTATTTCCATGGCCTTTGGTGGCATGGCACCCACTACTGTATTGGCTCCACGGTCAGCTCAATTAATGATTGGCAAGCAATGGAATCGGGAGCTAGTCGAGCGCGTAGTAGAGAGTTTATGTGCGGAACTACCACTGGATGCATCTGCACCTGGAGGAATGATTGCCTATAGGCGCGCCCTGGCCGTCAGCCTGTTCTTTAAGGCCTACTTGGCCATAAGTCAGAAATTGTGTGATGCTGGCATTATTTCGTCAAAGGCGGTACCGGTTGCAGAGCGTAGTGGCGCTGAAATCTTTCACACCCCTGCCCTAAAGAGTTCACAACTTTTTGAGCGCGTCTGCAGTGAGCAACCGGTTTGTGATCCTATTGGACGGCCAAAAGTACACGCGGCGGCCTTGAAGCAGGCTACGGGAGAAGCCATTTACACGGATGACATTCCCCGGATGGAGAGTGAACTCTATTTGGCTTTAGTACTGAGCACGAAGCCACGTGCTAAGATCACGCATATTGATCCCACTCAAGCCTTGGCCATGGAAGGTGTGCATGCTTTCTACAGCCACACGGATCTCACCGAGCACGCAAATGAGGTGGGGCCTGTGTTTCATGATGAGCATGTCTTTGCCGCCGGTGAGGTACACTGCTACGGACAAGTAGTCGGTGCCATTGTTGCCGAAAATCAGGCACTGGCTCAACGTGCCGCACGCCTAGTCAGCGTGCAGTACGAGGAGCAGACACCGGTGATTGTGACTATTGAGCAGGCTATTGAGCACAAATCGTATTTTCCGGACTATCCACGTTATATGAACAAGGGTAATGTGGAAGAGGCGTTTGCCGAGGCAGACCACGTATACGAGGGCGAGTGTCGGATGGGTGGTCAGGAGCATTTCTATTTGGAGACGCACGCCGCCTTAGCCGTGCCTCGGGACAGTGATGAACTGGAGCTCTTCTGTTCCACACAGCATCCATCGGAGATCCAGAAGCTGGTGTCGCACGTACTCTCGCTCCCCTCCCATCGCATAGTGTGTCGGGCGAAACGGTTGGGGGGCGGTTTTGGAGGTAAAGAGTCCCGCGCTATATCTGTGGCCCTTCCTGTTGCCTTGGCGGCTTACCGTTTGCGAAGACCAGTTCGCTGCATGCTGGATCGCGACGAAGACATGCTCATCACCGGTACCCGTCATCCGTTCCTGTTTAAGTACAAGGTGGGATTTACAAGCGAGGGTCTTATAACAGCATGTGACATTGAATGTTATAACAATGCCGGTTGGTCTATGGACTTGTCCTTTTCGGTAAGTGCATGAAATTCAAAAATTCTCGCTTCCTTAAGTAGATTGCTCGATGAACAAACTTATTTCCTTCAGGTGTTGGATCGGGCAATGCATCATTTTGAGAACTGCTATCGCATTCCCAATGTTCGGGTCGGTGGCTGGGTGTGCAAGACCAATTTGCCTTCCAATACGGCCTTTAGGGGTTTCGGCGGCCCACAAGGCATGTTCGCTGCAGAGCATATAATCCGCGACGTAGCACGAATTGTGGGCCGTGAGCTGCTGGAGGTGATGCGACTTAATTTCTACAAGACCGGGGACCTTACTCACTACAATCAGCAGCTGGAGCACTTCCCCATTGATCGCTGCCTAAATGATTGTCTAGAGCAATCCCGTTTCTACGAGAGACGCGACGAAATTGCGCGTTTCAATCGTGAGAATCGCTGGCGAAAACGGGGCATCTCCATCGTGCCCACCAAGTACGGCATCGCTTTTGGTGTCATGCATCTTAATCAGGGTGGTGCCCTGATAAACATATATGCGGATGGCTCCGTCCTGTTGTCGCATGGAGGAGTGGAAATCGGGCAGGGACTAAATACGAAGATGATCCAGTGCGCGGCTCGTGCATTGGGCATTCCAATCGAGCTCATACATATCTCGGAAACGGCTACGGATAAGGTGCCCAATACATCGCCAACAGCCGCCAGTGTGGGCTCCGACATTAATGGTATGGCAGTACTGGATGCCTGTGATAAATTGAATAAGCGTCTGGCGCCTGTCAAGAAGGCTTTGCCGCAAGCTACATGGAAGGAATGGATTAACCAGGCATACCTTGACCGTATAAGCCTCTCGGCCACTGGCTTCTATGCTATGCCCGATATTGGCTATAATGCGGCGACGAATCCCAATGCTCGCACTTACAGTTACTATACCAATGGCGTAGGGATCAGCGTTGTGGAGATCGATTGTCTCACCGGTGATCATCAAGTGCTCAGTACCGACATTGTCATGGATATTGGATCGAGCATAAATCCGGCCATTGATATTGGCCAGATTGAGGGCGCTTTCATGCAGGGCTATGGCCTATTTACGTTAGAAGAGCTCATGTATTCACCGCAGGGCATGCTCTATTCCCGTGGACCGGGCATGTATAAGTTGCCCGGCTTTGCTGACATTCCGGGCACCTTCAATGTTAGTCTGCTAACTGGTGCTCCTAATCCTCGTGCCGTCTACTCCTCCAAGGTTTGTCATAAAAATACTAAATGATAAATATATTTTAGTGAAAACATATTTCTTTACAGGCCGTTGGCGAACCCCCACTATTCATAGGCTCGTCCGTTTTCTTTGCCATCAAGGAGGCCATTGCGGCAGCACGTCTGGAAGAAGGCCTGGACGCTGACTTTAAGCTGGAGGCACCAGCTACATCTGCGCGCATACGCATGGCCTGTCAGGATAAGTTGACGCAGCTGGTGAGTTACCTTACAGTTTCCAAGTTGCATCTATTAAGAGTAAAACTAAATGATTTTTACAGATTGAGCTGCCGGCGAAAGGAACATATAAGCCTTGGAATATCGTGCCATAATAATAACTGTTTTGAGTTTTACAAACTGTTAAACCTTCTAAGAAGCTTTTGTTACTAATCACTAATATTAAATTATATGCAGACCTGTTAAAAATCCCGTCAATTAGTATGTTGACGAAATGAGCGCCGAGTTTATATTTTGTCGTTTATATAATGCTATAGGGAAAGTTTTTGAAATCAGAAATCATTTATGAACTGAGTTCGAAAAAGGTCTTACTCATTCTGATTTATTAATACTTTAATGCATTAAAGTTGTTGTTACTTATATGAATACGAATTGCATTTTTTGTCCTTTTAAATAAGATTAGGCATCCCCTAAGCACATTCGCAAGACCAAGGAAGTCCTCATCATCCTGTTAACTACAATATGGTAGGCAAGAAAGAAATTTATTTATCGTGAAATATATAAGTATGTTCTGCGGCTCAAGTTTCTTAGGATTCTCTTTCAACCGGTTGCGCAACCGGTTGCGGGAATATCGGAATACCTTCCTATACAATTGTTAAAAACCGCTCCATACTAATGCATTAAATTAGCCTTTGGTGGGGTATAAGATTAAACAAGTTCTACAAATTATTTCATTTGACTAAAAGACTTACGGCTGCGCGAACATACGCAATCAGTTAAAAATGCCAATGGCTTTACGGTTTGTCTTCCTAATGACAGTCGCTGCTATAGGGGAGTCGCAGCACAGACGTGCCTTGTTGGGGCAGCCAGGAGGAACTACGCTGACGTTTGACGCCCGAGGCAATTGTTATGCAAACGATCGTCCTTTGGCCGGACGTTGTGTCCGTTTCTCGGAATGCAAAAGCGCCGTCTACGCCTGGCAGCAGTTGGGTTTGTTACCAGTGTCCTGTCAATGGACACCATACGATCATTTTGTTTGCTGTCCCCATGGAGGCTATGAGCTGCCGAGGAGACTTGTACCGCCTAGTGAGCAAAGTATATCTTAGATATTGATTATAAATTGGAGACATAAGCTCTATTAAAATATTCAGTTTGTTCGGAGGCATATCGTCGGCAGCCCGGCCCTAGGACTTTGAGGCAGCCTCGCGGCATTAACCATGCCTCTGCGGCCAAAGTATTCCCTGGAAAAGCAGGCAGATTAGTGAAATTTGTAGCCGGCGGCAAGCCCACGCGTTACGCAGAGTTTCCCTATATGGTGAGTAAAAACAATTACAAGACAGATTCTTCTTATAAGATCAGGTTTGTTCATTGAAATGAAATGTTATTTAAAACCCAATAAATTGAAAAATTGGCTTTATCGCGATCAGTGGTGCACAGAAAACAATAGCTTTGCTCAGAAAGTAAAAGTGCTTGTACTTTTTGGGCTCTATTATGTATATTTTTTCAGTGCGCTCTCGGCTGGCGATTGCTTCGACCGATCACCAATAACGAATACGCCTTCAAATGTGGTGGTGTGCTGATCGCGCCCCAATACGTGTTAACGGTCGCGCATTGCACGAGGGTCGGCGGGTAAGAGCAGGGGCATAAAATGAATTGAGAAATTCATCGGCTAATAAGATGGTGTGTGTGCTTAGGGAATCCCCTTCGGTGGCGTTAATAGGCGGTGTTGAATTGAACAATTCGCGTGCCGGCGAACTAATCAACATACAACGTATTACGCCGCATCCATATTATGACGGGGTATCATCCAACAACGACTTGGCATTGGTAAGACTTGAAAGAAATGCCTATCATTCGATTGCTTGCTTGTGGAGACATGGGGAAGTCCCCTTGCAGCCACTTACGGCCTTGGGCTATGGACAGACGAAATTTGGTACGTTGGTACGGTTTTTAATTGGAAAGTTAAGCCTTCTATTAAGTTATTTCTGGCGTAGCCGGACCGGCTTCCGACGCTCTTCTTCAGGTGCAGTTATATCCGCTAGATAATCGGCAGTGTGCGTTATATTTTAGAGCCTCTGATGCTCTGAATCAACAGCCAGGACCGGGCCAGCTATGTGCTGGAGATAATTCAGGCCGCATGGATACCTGTCAGGTGAGTAATGGAGAGACTACGGAAAAAGTGCAAGTCACAAAATGAAATCTTATTAAGAAAACAGCATATGTAGCTCCACCTATCTTGTGAAGGCCCTTTTTCTGTCGTCGAGGAGTATAATCTATAAATTGACTAGTGCTTTATATACATATATTGGAGAAATATATAATGGCTTAGGGTGATGATTTGATGATAATGATCGGGACCCCTTTTATATATTTCACAAATCCAGGGTGACTCGGGCGGACCCTTAATACTACACCAGCAACATGGACAAGTACGGATACCCTACATCATTGGACTTACCTCATTCGGCGGCAGCTGTGCCACAGGGGCACCAGGGATCTACACTCGCCTAGCGCACTATGTTAGCTGGATTGAAAACCAGATTTGGCGGTCATAATATCTAGCTGTAAATTTAATCGTGTCTAGTGTAGTTCTAATGCTGTTTAAATACAATTTTCTCAATCCAATCCAAGTACGTGAATGTTCTTGTGTAGACTCCAGGAGCGTTAGGCGCCGCGCAGAACTTTCCAAATGAGGTGATGCCCACGACAAACGCTATACAATTGTATTCCGGCAACACGGCGTGCAGCGGGCCTCCAGAGTCTCCCTGGCACGTATCCTTGCCGCCCGGCAAAAAGCCCGCACAAAACTGTGCATCGATTATGCCGCGTGGCAGACGCCGCTCCTTGCGATAAAGCTGTTTGCATAGCTGCTGCGGAATCACATCCAACTCGACCTGACGTAGAGTATTTGACTTGGCGCCCAGGAATTCAGTGCGTCCCCAGCCGGTGGCCACAACCGTTTTAATTTTCAGATCGGGTAGTTGCCACAGACAGGCCGGGTGCACCACATCCGAAAGCCGCGCTCGCCTTGTCAGCTTAAGCAGTGCAATGTCGTGGTAGTAGGATGAGGAGCGATATTTGGGATGCAGAATAATAATAAGAATCTTAATGTCTTGCTGACCCTCGCTGCTAGAGTTCAGTTGCTGGGCTCCCAGACGAACCATATCTGGAGGCTTGCTACAGAGATGATAAAAACGAGGAAGAATTTGGAAGCTACCGCTATACCCAAGTAATGCTGCTTACCTACCCGAGGTGGCGCAGTGCGCTGCTGTCAGAATATAGAGCTCACTTAGCATTGTGCCGCCACAGCCCCATTTTATGTCGCCATTGGTCTGCGTCCAGCCCAGGGCAGCCTTCGGACAAACAGGAAATTATAATTAATATGTAAGTATATATCTAATAACTTTGTGTACTAACCATATGCGGAAAGAGGCCATGCCGCGTGGGTGTTCCACCCACAATCAAGGGAACACTGGGGACGCAATGTTTGCCTGAGAAACTACGACTCAGGTCGCCGAGCTGCAAGCGCCTAGCCCCCTCATTGTACTCCTGGCATTCTGTTGCATGAAATCGGATTGATTTATAATCAGATATTTATAATAATCATAGTTACTTGTGGCACTGATGCGTTGAGGCACTACGTGCTTGTCGGCCAGCGGGCAACAGATGACAGGCACATTGCTGCGATGGGTGCAGATATCAATTCTGGTGCCATGGATGCGATATTCGCGAATGACGTGAAGACACTGATAGGCTAGGATGCAATAGCCACTCCGACCATCGAAGCTGCGTCGACAGAAGGCGCCCTCGTGCAGAGACTGTGGGGGATTGTTCGCGGAAGTCAAATCATCGTCGAACTTAAAGTAGCTGTCCAATTCCAATTCTCGTTCCTGTGCAGGATCATTTCCCACAGGTTCCGGCGTCAAAGATGTGGGCCAAGTAAACTTTGTAGTCTGATAGTTGAATATTTCGATGGCATCGAGCGCTGTACAGTTTTATAATCATATTTAATTGGTTGCTAGACATCTTGAAAGCCAAATATGTACCTTGAAGCGTTCGCATTTGCAGACCGAACAGATCTATGATAATATAGAGATGAATGTGCCAAAACAGCATTGTTGGGGTTTTCTTAACTTGTAAAACTAGTCATAGGTAAAATGTAAACAAACTTTTAGCTATGCTTTGTTTGTTTTCCGCTCTCGCTCTCTCTCTCTCTCCCTCTCCCGAAAACAGCAACTGTCCCAATATTTTGGAGATGTCTGTGTCGAAAACAATATTGATTGTGAATGTGTGTGTGTATGTGTGAGTGTATAATTTTAATGTATTATTAATTAATGCGGGCCCTCAATTAAAACTTCGACTGAGTATCAACAAAAGCTGTCTGTGTGTTTGCATTTGTATTTGGGCTTAACGAGGAACTACCTAACTTGGCTGCTGGATCCAGGCTACTGACCGATCTGTCTAACAGTTTCAGACGATCAGCCAAGCGCGATAGACAGACAATGTGGTTGAAGAAGATGTCGGCGATGGCGACGACGACAAATACGATGCGGACCAAATTAAAAGTGATTTGTTTTGGCATTATCATTAGCTTGGCAGCAGCGAGCCCACAACGTTCGAACCACAACAACAACAACTTTAACAATGCTGGTGGAAGTAATCCACAGGAGAACAGGTGGGGCTACAATCAATGGAATAACAATCAATGGGGTTACAATGAAAGGCCGCCACCTGATATTAACCCATTTTATAGACCCCCACGTCCACCACCACCGCCACATCATCATCATCGACCTCGTCCTCCTCATGGGTCGGGTGGCGGTCGGCCTTGGCATGAGCCGCATGTACCGCATTCTAACCACTATCGCGACTTTGGCAACATTTTCAACAACATGGAGCAGCAGATGGAGGCCCAGGATTATAACAAGACCGCGGAAGAGGAAGACTTGAACGACGATTTCAACGGTCGTTCAATTGTAGCTCCCGGACAATATCCGCACATGGTACGTACACGTAAACAAAAAAGGAAAATAAAAGCACAAACACCAGAAAATAATACACACATAAAGCAAAACAATTCACGAAACTGTGAAGCAAATGCGAAACTAAACCGGATTATTAAAAGGTGGCGTCGGCTCAGATAACAGAAGACTGAAACAAATCTAAAGCATAGCTAACCCCGTTCTCGCTTTCATTAACAAACAGTTAACGGTTGTTCAAGCCCAGCTTAATGTGCTCTCTCACGTGCCCACTAAGCTCGTACCGGGCTGAGTCATAACTGCACAAATATGTTAAGGTTTGTCTTTCCCCAGGTCCGTTATTCTCTGTTCTCTTTGTGTGACGTCACAGCGAGCTATGTGCATTTTCCTAAAAAATTCCCCTATTTGGTGTAGGCCGAGTGTGAAATTCTTTACAATATAGGCTTAAGTAAGTAGTTAAAAAATGCAATAGATGAATAGATAGTAAGGGATGTCAGTTGTAAAATTTTAGCTTAAGCGAAAATTAGTGTGACGTCAATCCCAAGAGAACACCGAATAACGGACCTGTTAAAGGCTTACCATCTTTATCGCTCGCTCACTCACTCGTGTGTGGCTTACACAGAGCTTATGTGACGTATGTATGTGCTTGCGAATTGTGTACCCAAAGATCTTGGAGTGAAGCTGCACAGGGTACTCCTACGTCATTATTTCTTTTCGTTTTATTGCAGGCTGCTCTGGGATTTCGCAGCACTACGGGCGAAATTGTATATAAATGTGGCGGCAGTCTGATAAGTGAATATTTTGTACTCACGGCGGCGCATTGTCTGATTACGCATGGGTAGGTGAATGACCCATAAGGTAATGGCTTTCTTTCCACACACCTATATAGCATATACTCTTGTTTGTAGCACGGCACCAGACGTGGTTAAAATCGGAGACATAAAGCTCAAGGAATGGGAGAACGATGTGGCGCCGCAGCTACGACGAGTGGCTCAGATACATATGCATCCACTCTATAATAGCACCTTTTACTATCATGATATTGGACTCATACAGCTTAATCGAGCCATTGAGTATACGTGGTTCGTTAAGCCGGTACGTCTGTGGGCTCGCGATCAAATTCCATACGAGAAACTGCACACTATGGGTTATGGGTCTACGGGATTTGCCCAAGCACCCACCAATATTCTGACAGAGTTGGAATTGTCGGTAGTACCACTGGATCGATGCAATCAGTCGCTCCCCGCCGACGAAAGTGCCCCTCAGGGCATTGTGGAGAGTCAGATATGCGCGCAGGACTTTGAGAAAAACCGCGACACTTGTCAGGTGGGTTTTGCCAAAACACAATGAATTTGGAATGTGAATTTCCTGTTCTCTTTGCTTATAAAGTGTATCCCATCATTAAAGATTAAATATGAATCACTCAACAATTCAGAACCGGTTTTCGCCTTAAACATGCCATTAACAATAATGTTGGCATTGTTTATTTAATAAATACATATGTATGCCTCTGCTAATATTAGTACACTCAGAAAAATGCCCAGATTTAAGAAATATATATATTTCTTAAAATTGAAAAATTTGATTACAATCTTCAGAGTTAGTTCAGATATAGTATTGTTGTAGATTTTATTCTAATCCATTAATTCTTTAATCAAACTTTGTATATAGGGCGATTCTGGCGGTCCACTGCAACTAAACTTGGAGCGGCGGCGACGTCGTCATCGCAATAAGCGGCGCTACCGGTACTATCTGGTGGGCATAACTTCCTATGGCGAGTTCTGCCGCAGCAAGTCTCCGGGAGTCTATACGCGCGTCTCCTCCTATGTCGACTGGATAGCATCGATAGTGTGGCCCAACTATTACAGCGAGTTTAGTTATATGTAATAAAATGTATTATTGCTAAGTATCCTGTACTGTCATGGTAACCTACAAGTATATTAAATCGATATGTAAGATTCCATTCAAATTTCCTGTTCAAATGGTTGGTAAAAGTAGAAAGAAACGGAATAGCAAAGACTCGACGTCCAGTAATGCGGGCAGCGGCGACGGAGAGGAGAAGAAGAAGAAAGAAGGTGGTGGAAAAAAGAAAGGCGGTCTCGGGAAATCTATTGGCTGTGACATCTTCAACGACGCAGCCATGGAAAACGCCTACTATGTGTGCCACAACGTGCAGGTAGGACTCTGGACTTTTGCGGGCGCACTACAATACATTTACTTCCTTCCCTTTGCAGGATGTGCTGAAGTCCCGGGGATTTGCCTGGCCCGATGGACAGAAGAAGAAAAAGAAGGGAAAGCGTTAAGAGTACTTTTTTAAGGAGAAACACCTCTACATGCTTTAATGTATCAATTCTTAGGCAATTATATATTATATTGAGCCGATTTCAAAGTGATTGCAGAATTGAATACAGAACTCACAAATAGATGTTGTGTTTTGTTATCGTGAGTAGGGTAGTAGTAGGTAGTAGTGAGGAGCATTGCAAAAATGTTCATAAATTCAAAAGGTATACTAGCAGGAGTAGTTTTCTCGCCCTTCGGTCCTATGGTAGCGATCTCAAATAATTTAGGTAATGAAGTTAAATGTCGATGACGGTGAGGTACTATTATATTCCGAACTGAACTTAAATCTTTATCTGTCTATTGTAATTTAGGAACAATTCATTTTCAATAAATTAATTTCTCAGATATTTCACAATTTAATTTCACAATATTATTATTGAATTTACCACAAAAAATCAAAATTAAATTCTCACAATATTTTAAATTAATTTCTCAGAAATTTCACAATTTAATTTCACAATATTATTATTGAATTTACCACAAAAAATCAAAATTAAATTCTCACAATATTTTAAATTAATTTCTCAGAAATTTCACAATTTAATTTCACAATATTATTATTGAATTTACCACAAAAAATCAAAATTAAATTCTCACAATATTTTAAATTAATTTATCAGAAAATTCATAGTTTAATTTCACAATATTATTATTTAATTTACCACAAAAAATCAAAATTAAATTCTCGAATTGATAGCGCTTAGGTACTTGGTATGAGAATCGCAGAGGAGGGCAGCCAGAATATTTTAAATTAATTTATAGGAAATTTCACAATATTATTATTTAATTTACCACAAAAAATCAAAATAAATTCTGGAACAGCCAGCGTTTAGGTACTTGGTATGAGAATCGCAGAGGAGGGCGGTCACAATATTTTAAATTAATTCATCAGAAATTTCATAATATTATTATTTAATTTATCAGAAAATTCACAATTTAATTCTCATTTTGCCAGCGCTTAGGTACTTGGTATGAGAATCGCAGAGGAGGGCAGCCAGAATTAATTTATAAGAAATTTCACAATTAAAGTCCACAATATTATTATTTAATTAATCAAAAAATTCACAATTTAGTTCTCTATTTGCCAGCGCTTAGGTACTTGGTATGAGAATCGCAAAGGAGCTTTAGTTTATTTACCATTTAAGCAGTTCTATATTACTTCTCTGTAGCGTCTGGATAGCTCTTATTGAAAAGTAGCTACCTGTTTTTTCCTAAATCTTAGCCAGCTGAGTCCAAGGTGTCAGGCTTTAAAGCAATAGTTATCCTTCACAACTTTCGAATGTAACAAAATTCTTATCCGTCAGTTTAGGGCCGCAAAATTCTCCTGTTTGTGTGGGTCTTTCGTTCTAGTTGGCGTCAGGAGATTGGTGCAGTCCTTGCTTTAAGAAGCCGTCCGCAGAATGCCGGCCCCGCCGATTGGTATTGATTTGGGCACAACGTACTCGTGCGTAGGTGTTTGGCAACACAACAAGGTAGAGATCATAGCCAATGATCAGGGCAATCGGACAACGCCCAGCTATGTGGCATTCAATGAAACGGAGCGTTTAATTGGCGATGCTGCGAAAAATCAGGTGGGGGACTGAAACAGAATGAAAATCCCGGTGAATAGATAACAATGCACATTTCCCTTTAACAGGTTGCCATGAATGCCATGAACACAGTGTTTGATGCTAAGCGCTTGATTGGACGCAAATTCGATGACCGCAAGATTCAGGAAGATATGAAACATTGGCCCTTCAAAGTGATCAACGACGGTGGCAAGCCAAAGATCGAGGTCGAGTTTAAGGGAGAACGCAAGCGTTTTGCACCGGAAGAAATCAGCTCGATGGTTTTGACAAAAATGCGTGAAATCGCGGAGGTCTATTTGGGCGGAAAAGTTAAGGACGCGGTAATCACAGTACCAGCGTATTTCAACGACAGCCAACGCCAGGCTACAAAGGATGCGGGCACCATAGCGGGTCTCAATGTCCTGCGCATTATCAATGAACCAACAGCAGCGGCTCTGGCCTACGGGCTGGACAAAAATCTTAAGGGAGAGCGCAACGTGCTAATCTTTGATTTGGGCGGCGGCACCTTCGATGTATCTATACTGTGTATCGATGAGGGCTCTCTGTTTGTGGTGAAGGCAACGGCTGGGGATACCCACTTGGGTGGGGAGGACTTTGATAATCGACTGGTTAATCATTTTGTGGATGAGTTCAAGCGGCGGCATAAGCGAGATCTCAGAGTCAATGTGCGAGCTATAAGGCGACTGCGAACTGCCTGCGAGCGGGCCAAGCGCACACTCTCCTCCAGCACGGAGGCGTCGGTGGAGATCGACGCATTACACGAGGGCATCGACTTTTACTCGAAGATATCGCGAGCACGCTTCGAGGAGCTAAACATGGATCTGTTTCGCTCCACCCTGCAGCCAGTCGAGCGCGCGTTGCAGGACGCCCATATGGACATGAACGCCATCCACGATGTGGTGCTGGTGGGTGGCTCGACCCGCATACCGAAGATTCAGCGTTTGCTGCAGGATTTCTTTGGCGGCAAGCAGCTGAACTTGTCCATCAATCCGGATGAGGCGGTGGCGTACGGTGCCGCCGTGCAGGCAGCTATCATCACAGGCGGCGGAAGCTCACAGATACAGGACGTCCTGCTGGTGGATGTGACGCCACTCTCGCTTGGTATAGAGACGGCGGGCGGAGTGATGACCAACCTGGTGGGCCGCAACGCACGCATTCCCTGCAAGCAGCAGCAAGCCTTCACCACCTACAGTGACAACCAAAATGCGGTGACCATACAGGTGTACGAGGGCGAGCGCGCTCTGACCAAGGACAACAACCTGCTGGGCACATTCAATCTAAATGGCATACCGCCGGCGCCTCGTGGCACGCCCAAAATTGATGTGACCTTCGATCTAAATGCCGATGGCATTTTGCATGTGAGCGCCAAGGACAACAGCACTGGACAGTCGGAAAAGATAACCATTACTAATGACAAGGGTCGTCTATCAAAGGCCGAAATCGATCGAATGCTGGCCGATGCGGAAAAGTATCGGGACGAGGACAATCGACAACGTGCGCGCGTTCAGGCAAGGAATGCACTGGAGACATACATCTATAGCTGCAAGCAGACCGTCGATGAGGCACCGAGTGGCGCGCTGCGTGACGAGGATCGCGTCAAGGTGAGGGTCAAGTGTGCGACGGAAATGTCATGGCTGGACAGCAATAATCAGGCCGATAAGGCTGAGTACGAACGGCATCTGAAGGAGTGCCAGCGCATCTGCAGTCCCATCATGACCAAGCTGCTCAGTGACGGCTCAAAGAAACAGAGCACCACCAAAAAGCGCAGCAGCTGCTCCTCATATCCCACCGTCGAAGAGGTGGAGTAAGCAGACAGACCTCATCAAACCACACCATACTCCCTTGCAGAGCAACACACACTCAAAATTTATTCTGAAATTGTATTGAATATGTATTTGAAAATAAATTAGCAAGTGATTAGAAACAGCAACGAAGGCACGAAGGCCAACCCTCGCACTCGCACTAGCACTCACTGCTTTCAGTCTCACTTCGAACTTCAGGCTGTGCGTCATGGCTGTGTCGAGCAAGGTCTTTGTCGAGCGTTTCGGCTGGCGCGATTGCAACGAGCTGCTGCATCCGCACAGCTGCGGGCGATCGGCGCTCATCAACGTCCGACGCTTCATCGCCTCCAACGCCAAATACTATATACCGGTGGCTCTACTGCACTTTCTGAAACGAGCACTCCAGGGGTATTCCCTAGAAGTACTCTTGGATGCCCTCTCCTACTATGCACAGCTGATATTTGGTGGCCTGGTCAATGCCTGCCTCATATCCACGTCCGTGTGTGCGCTACGGTTCGTAAGTGAGAGAATTTCAATTAAGACACGCTCTGGCTATTGATACACTCGAAAATAAGACAACATTTTAGAGATTCCTTCTTTGTTTCTTTAAAAAATGGGTGAAGTGAACTGTGCCCTGAACATTAGGAATATATTTCGAATTTTCTGCCAGGTGTATTTTCTTAAGTCCTACTATACTTATGGGATTATATGTGAAAGTATTAAGTGAGTCTTGCATATGAACAAAATATTTCTAAAAATGGGAATAATTCAATTTGCCTCCGTTTAAGAAAATACATACATACATGTAAGTTATTTATTTATTTTAGTCCTCAATCACAAAATTTGATACATATACAAGTATATGTATAGCCAGAGCAACGAAGGCCTTCAGGCTGATTAACCCTGAAAGTTATTTCTTTAAGTAGAAATCCATTTTCAACCGACTTCAAAAAAGGAGGAGCTTATTCATTTGTTTGTATTTTTTTATTATAACTATTATATTTTATGTTTGGTGTTTCTTTTTCCATTTGAAAGCTGGTGCTTCCCGAATGCTCCCATTTCAATTGCGCCCAGTTCTGACAAAGACATCCATGGGAAAACTACCTTAAACATATATCACTTACAAATGTTAAAAATTCTATTCCTGAACAAAATTATCCTCGCAACATTGAGTCACTTTAAATGACAAAAAAAAGCATTCACTGCACTAGAGCTGAAGTAGGTTTTTTTTGCCTTTCTTTTACCTTTCCTTATTCTTCTTAATTTAACTTTCAAATTTGTGGAATTATTCCAGAAATTAAAATATTTCTTGCACATTGCTTGTGTATTTACATATATGTATGTATTCGTATGAAGAGGTTTTACTTCGCGCCCTATTTAAGCGATTTAATTTTAGTTAGCTTAAGTATGTATTTAGATTTTAACACCGCATCACCCCAGGGTTTGAATGATTTCTTTTTAATATTTAACAAACAAATTGTGTATACCACCTATATATACTTGTAGTTGTTTATATTGACACTTTTACGGTGATGAGATGAAATTATTGAGTTAACCGATGCAAGTGTTGTGGACGGTTTTTCCTCTGGCCTTAGGAGGAATACGAGTGTGAATATTTGAATGGTTTCAATTTTCAAAAGCAATCTTTACAGACAAGCCCTTGGAGAATTTCACCTTTACACTTTGCTCTTTGTGCCCTCCGCTTTCGGAGCAGCCTTTATTGCCGGTGTGACGCCAAGGGTCAAGCGATTGCAGCACACGGCCATCTTTCAATCTGTGAGTTAGTTTTCAACTAATATTTGCATTACTCGTGCAAAAATGTATGGCCTGGAGTTGTTGTGAAAGGTTGCTTTTAAAATTCCTAACTCTGATTTTTTCTTCAGTTAATAGAAAGTCTTTTGCTGCAGCGCGGCAATCCACTGACCCGAGCCTTGGGTGCCTCGAAGACCCTCCAAACCCTTCTCTTTATGTGCTGCAGTGCCCTCATATTGCACGGCAAGCAGAGACGTTTACACAATGGCTTCTGGTTTCTAACACCAGATCGAATGCCTCCACCAGATGCAGCGGCTTTGACTTCTTGCAGTCATGAGCGGGACTGTGGATCGCATATCGCACAAGGTGTGCGTAACTACTTCCTGATTGGTCTGGCTATGGATGTCTTCAAAATGCTTATAGGCTGCGCCAAAACTGGGCTTTGGAGTCTTAAGCAGTTGCGCCTGGAATCAGCGACATGGCTCAGTTGCTATATGGCCATATATAGGGCGAGTACACTGAATAGCTGAGAAGAATATTCCTAGATTATTGAGCGGCTCTTCTCTCTTAGACTTCACATTGTTACCTTAAACGTAAACCTGCGGCAAGCGATTCTTTGAAGCATATTATAGCCAGCTTTCTTGGGGGACTCAGCTATCTTTGTTATCCCAAGCTGTCCATTTTAAGCTATGCGCTACTGGAAGCCATGCGTACTCTCTGGAATGCTTACAACAAAAACAAAACGAATCTGAAGAAACAAAAGTCACGTTTTGGCTACAGTGATGTGATCTTTCCGCTAGCATTAGCTTATCTCATACACAACTACGTCTTTGAGCCGGGCAAGGTCAGTGTTTTGGCGGGCATCATCATTGATAGCACCACGGCTAACTAGTAAGTGCGTTTCAGGCTTAGAGTTATACAAGTATAAGGTGGAACTTAAATCTCAGAGAGTTTATATAATTTCGGAAATTACGGTTTATGCCACATTTCTGTTGAGATTTCGCAAATATTTCCGATGGATTTCTAGCTCTCGTAATATGTACATCCGCATATAAAGATCAGAATTATAATCACGTTATTCGAAGATAACACAAAAGATTCGGTAAAGTCGAGGAAAATATTGGAGCCCTTTGGGTCAAAAGTGTCCAAAACCGTTTGTTATTTCGTACCTGACATAATAGGGGTAGGTCTCTGCTCAAATACTTGCAAGTATGGGATATGGTATAGGCTGACACTTTAAATACATGTTCCCATATCCACCTCCCTCGTTATTCTCTATACTAACAAGTGTACGGCTGAATTGTGTTTGGTGTGTAAGTTTGTAATTTCCATAAAAAAGAATTTATATACAAGTATAACATCGGAGCGCAGATAAAATCAGATAAAACAATATAGTGTTCGCCAACAGTGTCCACACACACATTAAGGGGAAACGAAGATAATTTCTTTACCCTTCTTGGCCCGTTTAATATTTATGTTTGTGTTTGTTTATTCCACAGTGCTGGCAACTTACAGAAGCGGATGCGTTTGTTGGAGCCCTCTTCCATGGGCTGAGCCCATTGTTCTGTTTTTGCATATTGTATAGCAACAAAAATACATATATAAGTACTTGCGAATTGTTTTATAAAAGACAAATGTTTTGCATATTTGAGAACGAATGGGCTTGGGGTGGCACACCACTGGCACCACCGGCCATAGCAGTAGCAGTAGCAGTAGTTAGCGAGACACCGCCGAGAAATGGTCGGGCTAAGCAAGATCTTTGAGTGGCCTTTGAACCGCGTGCATTGTGCACGTATTTTGCACAGTTTGCCGGAACAAAGTTGTACGGAGGCGTTTCTGTGGAACTTGTACCGCAATCACGTGTCCAGCGCGAAGTATTATTTGCCCTTGTTGCTGGTGTGTAAAGCGCTCTAAAGGTGGCGTTGTGCGTCAAAGAGTATTCATATGCTTGTGTGCCCTTGCAGCTTCCGCCGCTCTTCAAGTGGCGCCAAATGAACAGGAAGAAGCTGTTGTCAACCTTTAAGTACTATGCGCAGGCCACGACCTTTGCATCATGCATAAATGCACTCACATTCTATCTTATGTGCATTGGACGACGCCTATATGGCCGATACGTGCGGATCTTGACGCCATATCTATCTTGTTGGCTGGCCTCACAGCTCACTTGGTGGATGCCACCTCGTTTGTTGCAATTCTATGGCACAGGCATAACACATGCTGTGGGTAAAAAGTTTCTGATTTGCTAAACAAATGAACTTATTGAAGACATTCGCAGGCACTGGAGGGTTTATTGCGGCAATCGAATGCTCGCCTGGTGCAGTCTCGATCGGCACAAACTCTTGTCTTTATGCTCTGCTCCATGGTTATATTGTGTCAGCAACAAGCACAGCTTTACTCGGGTTTCTGGTTCATAAAGCCAGACTTGTTGCCCGTGGATTATCAAAAATTGACACTTTCTGAGCGCACCAAGCTGGCGTTGAAGGAGCTTAGCAAGTATTTTGGCATTGGTTTGGCTGTGGATCTCCTTAACGGCTATCTTCGAGGCAAGGGCAAACCCTCACAGCTGCAGTGGAAATCAACCAGTTTTATCGTCTCTTATATAGCCATTTACAAGGTGAGGTGTCTCATTGATCTGATTTGCCAATATGTATTTATTAACGCCTATTGCAGCTTATTCAGTTTCTACTGGTGGGCAGGCTAACACTGGGACACATAAACAGGTTGGCTGCATTTGTGAGCGGCAGTGCCTTTGCTTTGCTCAATCGGCTAACCTTCATGGCATTCGCGGTGGTTATAGCCACCCAAGTGATCTGGCAGAGGTTTTGTGCGTGCGACTCTAGGGACAGTAAACGGTTTCAGCGTCCACTAACATTGTTGCAGAGCATACCTTGGGCCAAGCTATTAATACCCTGCAATTTGGCCTATTTGGTGCACAGTTTGATTTTCCAGCGGCACGTTGTCAATGGCCTGGCAAGAGCTTTTATCGACTGCACCTGCGATCAAAAGTAAGTCTATTATACTCATATAACATACTCGTATTAGCACAGATGCACATTATTTTAGCTCCCAACGTTTGTATAAGTTGCTGATGCTGCCCGATGTAAGCACTATTCTGACGACGATTAAAACAAGGCCGATCACGCCGTTCCTGTTCTAAAAACCAAAAACATTCTTTTTTTTTAGATTAATTAAGCACCGCTCAATACCAAATACATTCAATTTCCTATTTCAAATTCTCGTTACATGATTACCATTGAATAATACCAAAAAGAGTATATAGTGTTGTCTGGCAACACTGTTACTCCAAACAGCTGTTCTACCGGCCTTTGGGTGTTCGCTTATTGTACTTGGTATGGCAGCAGTGTTTCGCCAGTCAGCTGTTTTGCCGGCCTTTGTTTGTTGTGTTTTTATTCGATTACAGCCGCATTGTACATTTGCACTGTGAAAATGCGTTTATTAGCGCGTAAGGTTTTAGCCATACAAATGCGCCATGCCTCCGGGCAGGCTGCACGACGTCGGGTGGTCATCACGGGCAGCGGTGCTGTTACTCCTTTGGCCAATAATGTGCGCGGGACCTGGGAACGTCTGTTAGCTGGTGATTCGGCTATTTCTAGTCTGGGTGAAGAGTTCAAGGGTCTGCCATGCCAAGTGGCTGCGCAAATCCAGCGCGAAGGGCTGCCACTGGACAAACATCTGAGCAAATCGGATATAAAACTGATGAGCCCTGCCACACAGTTTGCTGTCTTGGCCGCAGAGGAGGCACTAGCGACGGCGCAACTGAAACCCAAGGAACTGAGCGAGGAGCAGCGCGAACGTTTCGGGGTTTGCGTGGGAATGGGTATGTTCGACCTGGCGGAAGTGTACGGCACATGGCAGCAACTGCAACGCGGCTATAATCGCGTCAGCCCCTATTTTGTGCCGCGTCTTCTGCCCAGTATGGCTTGTGGTCATATCAGTATGCGACACGGCCTACGTGGACCGAATCATTCCGTTTCAACGGCATGTGCCACTGGGGCGCATGCAATCGGCGATGCTCTGCGCTTCATACGCCATGGCGATGCAGATGTTATGCTGGCGGGTAGTGGAGAGGCTTGCATTGATCCGCTTTCAATCGCCGGCTTTTGCAGGCTGCGCGCTCTAAGCACGGCCTTCAATGACAATCCCGCAGTGGCCTCACGACCTTTTGACAATTCCCGCGATGGCTTTGTCATGGGCGAAGGCGCCGCCGTTCTTGTGTTGGAAGAGTTAGATCACGCCCGTGCCCGAGGCGCACCCATATTGGCGGAACTGCTAGGCTATGGTTTGTCCGGAGATGCCTATCATATTACCTCGCCCAGTGAGGATGGCGCCGGCGCCACACTGGCGATGCAGCGTGCCCTAAAGGATGCGGGCCTGGCACCCGAGGACATTAGTTATGTAAATGCACATGCCACATCAACACCCACCGGTGATCGCATCGAGTCTCACGCCATTGGCCGTGTATTTGGCGCACATTTGCCCAAGGTGCGCGTCTCCTCCACCAAGGGCGCACATGGCCACTTGCTGGGCTCGTCTGGCAATTTGGAGGCCCTATTTGTGGTGCACGCTTGTGCTGAGAACAAATTACCGCCATCGATTAACATCGATAAATTGGATGAGGGCGTCCTGGTGAATGTGGTGCGCAAATCCTGCGCCTGGTCGGATGGTCGACGTATTGCGCTAAAGAATTCGTTTGGATTTGGTGGCACGAACGCTTCGCTGTGCATTGCCAGCTACGATGGCAAGTAGCCGAGCAATCTGCATTCTGTTTGTTAAAATACCTTTTTATACCAATATATTGTTTGTTATATGCTAAATAAAAGTTGACTTTATGTATATTTTTAGGAAAAATGTTAAGTTTCAAAACTTTATTTGGAAAACGTTTTGTTTTTCGGCTTTTCGTTTTCTTGTCTCCCTCCCAACATCTCTGCATTCACATCGTTATCTGATCTGATCTGTTCTTGCTCTGTAAAAATGTACTTGTATATGCGGACTGCCTTCATACAGCAAACTGTAGTCATGCAATGCGCAAAGTATGTGCTGTGTTTATGTTTTATATAATAAATATATAGTTACATATATAATTATGTATATAGCTCTGTTTGATTTGCTTCTGTTGCTTATCTCTCGGTTATTCTCATTACTATTACTTTTGCTATTTGCTCCAATTGCCAATTGAAAGAACTATAATCCTGTACCTGTTGGCGGTCGTGTCTGCTTCCTGGGGCTGCTCTTGACAATAATTACTAATCTAGTTGTTCTTGTTGCTGTTACTGTGACTGTTGCTGTTACTGTTGCCTTCCTTTTACACTTAACTAACATTTTTTAATTTGAATTTTTTTTTATTTTACAAAATGGCTTAGGTTGTAAAGTTAAAAGTATATTGGCTTAAAATTAGAATTTGTTTATCAATCAATTGTTTTTATAGATGGTTTTTGTTTTTATTTGTTGTTGATTTTTGTTTAATGGTTGCGGCATTGCTGCTCCACACTAAAGATGCAGCGCAGCTTGTTTCTTGTTATATGCGAAATTGTTTATGTTATCAATACATACATTATTAAATGTATAATGCATTTGAAATTCTTATACATGTATTTTTATGCGAAGTCAATATTCTATATGTATTTATATATGTATGCGTCGTGTATGTGTTGTGGATGTGTATCGCTGGATGTATCGCTTTCGAAATTATTTTAACTTTTTCTTTTAGCATAAATTATGAAAATAAATTTTATTCGAATTTTAACGTTATATATTCCGTTTACTGTACAGTTTCCGTTCTCTTTAACTCTTCTTTTATTTTTTAAATATATTATTAGTTACAGCGTAAAATCATAAAATTTTTAAACAATTTTGCACGTCACATTTATATTAACAATGTCTCAAAACGGTGTAGGCCTTCGAATTTCAAATTTACGTATCTGGTTTTTTAGCTAGTTAGGGGAAGTACAACATATTAGAACATACGTTTTGTTTGTAGGCAAACACATAAATGCCATTGAATGAGGAATAAAAACTTTATAAGAATTTCCTACATACAAATATGTATGTATGTATGCATTAAAAAGAGGATCAATACAGATATTAAAATGATTTCACAGAAAGCCGAAGTCAAATGCCTACTACAACAATTAAAGATCTTCAATTTGATTTCCAGCTACACTCGCAGTGTAGCTTTGGGTTTGTTTGTTGTGTACGATATTATTGAGATTAAAAGGTTTACAAAATATATAAAATATCATAAATATTATGTTTTGCGGTTGTTTTGTTTACTGTAGATCTTAACACTTATTATCTTACTATTTGTTTTTTAAAAAAAGACAATTATTTAAGCGCTATTAAAGTGGTTGCTGCTGTTGCGGTTGCTGCTGAACACGTACCAATGTCATACAGTGATGCTGTAACTCTCTTCTCTATGCTAGTTGTGTGTGGTGTGTGTGTGCGTGTGTGTGTGTGTGTTTGGGGGGTGTGCTAATGTCTGTATGTGTTTGTATAATGCATGCGGGATGTATATACATGGCAAGCCACTTCTTAAAACAGAGCTCAGCGTTTTCCCGAGTCATTTGATTAGTTTAGCAATGCATCCATGGTATATGGAAATGGTGGATGCTGCTTCAAATGTTGCTGCTGTTGATGCTGCTGCTCGTATGTGTTTGCTGAAGACGACGACGACGACGACAACAACTTGGTTGTTGTTGTTGCTGCTGCTGCTATTGGCGTTGAGGTTGTTGCTGCTACCGCTGCTACTACTGTTGTTGCTTTATTTGCCACTGCCGACGCCGGTCAGTCTAGTATGACAATTTCTGGTTTATTAGGCCTGCTGCTTGGCTCCGGGGCTAGCGATTTGATGGGCAGATTGCGCCAAGGTTTGCGCGCCGCACGACGCAAGTCCACGGCAGTGAGTATTTTACGCGTTTTCCTGCAATGTGGGGGAATATCGTTGGTTATGTTTTGTGTATTTCCTTCCGAAATTTTAGAAACTATCCAATACGTTCGGTCCTTGTCTCTTTTTACACAAAAACTGGTTAATTCTATAACCTTACTTTATAATTAATTTTTTTTATGGATATTGAAGCAATAATTAAAAGCACGGCCCTCCTCTGCGCTTCCCATTCGAAGCACTTCGTCGGGGGCATAATAACTGACGTAAGGCGTCGAAACGATCAGTCCAGTCTTTTAGGATAATTACTAATAAATCGAAAACCACGCTCTTCGTCATAATCGAAATACAAAATCTGTCGTTAAAAGATTATTTTGAAAAGGTGGGACCGAAACCCGTTGTATAGAATATTTAAAGTCCACGGAAAGTGATTGAAATGGTTAGGCACTAATTTTTCATAATGTATGAAGAAACTTTAAAAAAAACCGCGTTCTCTGTAAATTGGTTTACTAGCGAACCAATAGACCAATAACAGCATCGATTAAACGAAAACAAATACAATTATACTATACATGCAAATTCAATATGTAATGATCGTATTACATACATACAATATTAATATTGTCTATTTTCCAGGTGTGTTTTCCTAAAACCCTACTACTAATATCTTTTCAAAGCTACTCACTTGTGTATGTCAGTGGCTCTAAAGTAAACGTCGTCGGGTGCGTCCATCCAACTGATGACCTGTTTGCGTCCGTTGCCACCTCGGGCCATTTGCGCAATTTTCTGCTTCCCATTTAACTGGAAGTAAAGACAGTGGTTAAAACGATTCTTTAGGGATGTCCTCTGCAGCTTACATGATGCCTGGACAGTGGCTGACCCGATGCTGCCATCATGGCCGCAAACTGTTCGGGGCTGGGACAGTGCGAGGGCATGGGATCTTTATTGGGTCGCTTGGCTGGTGGCCCGCTTGGCACGATTGTCACTGTGGGAGGCATTTAAGCAGCAATATGTGAGAATTTTTAATTGCAAAATTTTGTGTTAAATAATACCCTCTGTGCCATTGAGCTGCTGCTCTTCGTGCGCACGCTTGCGTAACGTGGATGTGCTTTGCGCTGGAATTATCGTTAGCTCCTTAGTCGCCTCTACTTCGGGCGTTTTATTCGGCACACGCTCATAGACCAGACTGCCGTCGGCCGCTTTAGGCGGCTTAGGGAATGAGACAACATCAGGCTGGGGCATTTTATCCTTGGGCGTTAGCACGAGCCACTCATGTGGTCCACTGCCAGGCGCGCCCAAGCGATTGGCAATCTTGGTAACGCTGCCGCGATCCTTAGGTTTGAGCAACATCAGCTTTTTGATTTCTGCCGGTGATTTGCCATTAATACGGTTTGTAACTGGAATGTAGAATTCATAATTAGGTACACTTCCTAATCACGAGAAGCTCAAATTTCAACTCACATTCCTGCTTGACAAGCAGCGAGTTGATGGCGTACGCGCTCTGGCGTGCCGCCTTCTTCGGCTTGACAATGTTGCGACAAATGATGCGCGCCACCCGCGTCATCGGATTCGTGTGCAAGTAAAAGGCAGTGCGCGTCTTCATTATCGGTCGCGGCGAGCCGGAGCTAATGGCAATGCCATGCGCTTGCGCATAGTGGCGTGCCAAATGGGTCTTTAGCTTGAACTCCTTGCCACAGTTGACAATGGAACACCTGATGGATTGAAGGCAAGTGCCAATGAATTACTTGCTCCACAATGCCGTCTTCAAAGAGCTCTACTCACCTGTGCAATTGACGGTTTGTAAGATCACTGACTTTATCATCGTCGTTAATGTCCACAACAGTGGTATTGTTGGTGCCCGTTGCAGTTGTTGACGTCGGCGCTGAAGCTACAGTGGTCGGCACTACTTTCTTTTTGATTTCGCCATCGTTTGCATCGCTCTTGTGCGCGGACTTCAGACTGCCATACTTTTTCCAATAATCCCAACAGCACTGGCACAGGCGACACGCCATGTGACCGCTGCTGAATGGATTCCACTGTGAAGCGTAGAAGGAATACATCATTAAGATCTGTTCGAGATACATTTGTCGATCAAATTCAAACTCACCTGTGATGATTTAGTTGTGCCGCACGATTCGCACGGTTTGCCATTATTCGACAAATCGGCGCCGCCATTGGTGGTGCCATTATAGATGCCACCGCCACCACCGCCACCACCACTACCTCCACCACCAGCTGCAGCTTTTACGGTTGCGCCGCCTTTGGCATTGTTATATTGCGGTATGTAGACCTGCTTCAGCTTGAGCTCCGCTTCAACGGCCTTAACGCGCTTCTGTTGCACATAACGATCGGTGGTCTTCCACATGTAATAGTACTCAATGATTTGCTTAAGCGTTTTCCATGGCAGCTATAATATACGAAACAATGTTTTAAAGTTGCACATTCTTTGAGTTGTAATCAAAACTTACGAAATCTTGTCGTATGTCATTAAAGTCTTTGCCATATTTATCCAGCGCCTCTTCAAAGAGATTAGCCTCCGATGCGCTCCAATCTTCGATTTCATCGCGACAGAGCACGGGTCCAGTGGAAGGAACTAGCGAGGACATGGCCTCCTCAATTGAATAGTCGTGTTTGTGCAGAATGTTCATAGCATGAAACTGTTGAGTTGTTTGGGAGTTGAAAGCATTAGCCCTGTCATGAATAGTTGTTGCTGGGGACAAAGGATTCGTTGGTACTTACCAGCGTGATGTCTCGACTGGCGGCTGCTGCGGACATGTGAAGCGAGGGCTGTTTCACCGAACTGCTGCAGTCCAGTGCACGCGCAAATGTGCCAATCGACCGCGAGACCACGAGAAACTGATCGATTTTGCGATCCGTCAAGGTATGCTCTGGCGTCCACACCAGCGACTCCAACTCCTCCAGCTTGCGCTCATCCGTGGAGGTGTCTTTAAGCTTCGCGGGTATATCACACTGATAGCGACTGCCAACGCGGATCTCGCCCTTGTCGGCGAGCAACGTTTTTTGATTCGGATCAAAGACCAGACAATAAAAAAATGTGTCCTGTGTGCGAAGATGGAGGGAAGGCCAAAAGTAAATTATTAGAAAATGATGCGGTGGTTCATAAAATAACAAAAGCGGAGCTGGTAAAGAACTACTACGCGGAAATTTACGACTCACGTCTTTATTGAGATAGCTCTGCAATGACTCCGTCTCATTGAGTAGCGTCACCGAGCATTTGCCTCGGATTTGTGTGGCGGGTATCGATTCGACTTGGCGTGACAGAAACAGCTCGCGATGCTTGATTTGATAGCGTTGCTTGCTGGTCAAGGATTCACTCTTCTCCGCATCGGCTCCGCCGCCTCCGCTGCCACCGTTATTGTTGCTGTTGGCATTTCCCGTGGCAGCTGCACTACTGCCAGCATTGGATACTTGCGCTGGACTTGTGCGTTCCTCGTCGAGTGCAGCTGTAAGTTAGAGAAGCGGAAGGTGTTAGAAAGGTTACATGTCTTCTGTGTCGGCTGTGGGCATCGCACTATTTGTAGAGGCGAAGAACCAATTAGAACCGTTGCATGATCAATTTTCATCTACATTGCAGCACTATTCCAATTTAAAACAAACACTACATACAGTAAATACAGAAGAAAAACTCTACATATGAAAGATAAATCAAGAGTGGTTCACACAGCCAAATCATTGGCACACACATTGTCAATAAAAATGCATTTAAAAAGTTCCCAATAAAAGTCCTGTTTTTTGGTAAGGGCTTAATTGCAGAAGCTTAATTTCGGGCCCCATCTCACCTGATCCAGTCGGAACAAGCAAATAAAAATATCTTTAACTTTCAACATCATGAAATTATAGAGACCATTATTATGAGTTCGCGACATGTTGAAATAATCGGAAATAATCTGCCTAATGCTAGAAATACATCGGTAAAAGAACCGTCTGATAAAAATATCTTTCTGTATTCAACTTTGATTGGTTCTTTATCAATCGAAAATGATTATTTTTATTCATGAATTATTCCGCAAAAAGTGAAACTACTTACTCTAATATTAAAAGATAAGATAAGAAAGCAAAACATTTTTCTTTTTCTGACAATGACCTACATTTTAGTTTATTTTTAACTATTTAAGCAAATAATTAATACAAACATTTATTTATTTTATTTCTCTAACAAGTATGCGGTTTTCCTGTTTTTAAATAAAATTAAAAGGATTGTTGCTGACTAGAAATTGGTATTGCAATAAAATGGAGCATACTTCTAGGGATCACATGTTCTGTTTTCCTGCTAATATCACGTTTTAAACGCTTTTTACAGAAATATCAATAATGATGGCCTAAGCGAAATTATAGGGGAAACCCTATAAACCCGATTCAAAGCCGGTTTGGATATAATTACTATTCTGAATTTACTATTCAGCCGTGTAAAGAATTCGTTTTATTGAAGTAGTATCTTTTGATAGTTTTTACGTGCGTCGAACTATTTCAATTCTTTGACCGTGTGAACTCACCTTAAAACTAATTTTTGCATTCCCAACAAGGTTTTTTAGATTATGATTTTTGATTAATAGACTTAGATACGTTCAACAGCTGTAGAAATGTCTTGATTGATTGAGTGATTGACTAATACCTATTGAGGGATCGAGCACAGCTTGTGCCGCTTGCTCCTCGCCCACGGGTGTTCTAAGCCAGGTTTTCTTCAGTTTTGTGGCCAGCGGTGAGTCTTCGGCGGTTGCCACTGCATTAAATTGTTGTTGATGTTGTTGTTGTTTGATTGGTTGTTTGGTTGGGTGGAAATGGTTTGTTGTATTTACAATGTTAACATATAAGTTAAAGTTAGAAGGTAAAAGCAACTAAATATAGCTACAAAGTGAGGTTAGGTGCAAAACAAAGTGCTCAAAATTCAATGAGTACAGATGCGGATAACAGTGATAAGTAGCTGTGTGGGCGTGGGCTTTGAAGACGCTAGAAGGTACAGCTACTACTGCCAAGTATAAAAGCCAAGCAACAAAATAAAGTTTTTCTTTTTGGAATTTATTTTTAATACCAAGAGGCATGAAAATTGTGCCAGTTTGTCTGCTGGGCCGACACGGAGGTCCTTCCCGGCTCTGCATGAGGGGGTTGCTGCCACAGCGCGCGCAAATAAAAAAACAAAACGAGGAAAGGGGCGGTGGGGGGAAGTCCAATGAGTTCAGCCACACACAACCACACTCCCATACAACCCAGTAACTACAGCACGAACAGGCTGTGTTGCATTGGAGTTGAAAAATGCGTAGGTGTGTTTGTAACGTAGCAAGAAGAAGAAGAAGCAACGGCGGCAGCGACAGCAGCAGCAGCGGCAGCAGCAACAAGAATATCTATCGGGGGTGGGTGGGAGATGTTTGGCGGCCATAGATAGGACACACACAGTCTGAGAGCTGGCATTTTAACTAAGGCAAGGAGGGGTGGGGGGAAGGACAGTCAGTACTGTACAGTACAGCTCGCTGTGTATATCGATGGGTTAAGGGAGGGGGTGGGTGTATGGATTCGGGTGTAGCACAGTGGGTTATATGCCAGCACAAATGTCTGTCGAACGAATTTAAGCCTCCCACCACCCCACAAATTCTACTTTGCAACGTCCTATGCGTGGCTGCTACTCATCGTTGTCGCTGGAGACTTCGTTATTACTTTTTGTCGGGTATTTTTTTTGAGTTTTTTTCTTTTTGGAATCAAGTCAAGAAACGTTGCGTGGCTATGTATTAGTGTCTTTATAGTTTTTGTGCTAATTTATACAATGAATGATTAGCAAGTTGGTCAGAAATGGTATCGCACGCAATGCGATAGCTTTGCAGTTGTTGTTTGTTTTCTCTGTTGATTGTCGAAATGCTTTTGCAACTGAAAAGCGTCGCAAAAAGGAGCAGCGAGCAACAACAACACACAGCACATAGCAAACAGCAACATGAAAACTGCATAGGTGCGAATGCGTGGGCGTTGAATCTTTAAATGGCCATTGTCGGGCGCATATTGTGCGTTTGTTTGTAGTTCTGCATATGCGTGTGTGTGTGTGTGTGTGTGTGTATTGGTTGGGTCGGTCACGTATCGAATTCGAGTGGGTGTTAGTAGTGTCGGGTTGCCAGAGTGGGGGGAGGAGTGCTGTATTTCGGGACTGCTCCTGCTGCTGCTGCTGCTGCTGCTACTGGTGGTGAGGTGACGCATCCCAGTTGCGTTTCCTGCGCTTGTGTGTATGTATACATAAATGCAAAGCGCGCCTCTCCGTTTGTGCGTGTGTGTATCTGTGTGTGTGTTTGTACACGAAAATTTTCAGAGTGCCTGCACAGCGAGCTGGGCACACACACACACACACATACACATTCAGAAACAGCCACATTTTCAGTCGTACCGAGGTAGACTTTCTGTCTACCTACTAGTCGAGTATCAGCGTGAGGGGGCAGGGTGGTTGGGGCATTGGCGCCGCCTAGCAGCAACCGAAAACAGCAGCAGCAACAACAACAACAAATACAAATACTACAACAACTGGGTACAGTGCAGCTCTACACATTATGTTTATGTGCGCTTTGCTTGCTGCTCTTGTAGTTGTTGTTGCGGATGCGACGGATACTGGGATTCCGCTTTCTCTACCCTACGAAGCTGTATTTGTCTTGTTTTTGTTGTTGGTGTTGTCATTGCGGTTCTTGTTGCTCTTGATGTCGGCTTTTGTTGTTACTGTTTTAGAGCCACCAAAGTGGGGGAGGGATGGATGGCTTGGATGGCGAATATTCTTGCTTTGACACATTGCACATTGGACTGTGTGTCTGGGTCTGTGTGGGTGTGAGTTTATGTGTGGGTGGCTGGGTGGTTGGGTGCCGAGTTGGTCTGGCTATGGCTATGTGTTTTGCCTACAGCTTTGCTTTTCGGTTCGGTTTCTGTGGTGAAAATATGCTTAACGTTTTGTTAGCGTATCATTAACAACGCGAAGAGAGGGAGAGAGAGAAAAATAGGGAGAGAGAGTACGGAAGACTGACTCTTTATGACTTTTGAAGGCCGCGCCGAAAACAAACCTAACCTCACTTTGTCAGTCTTGAGCAACATTGAAGAAAACTTAAGAGTAGCACATTAGGCAGCAATTTCTACCGCTCTACTTACGTTGATGCTTATCCGCCAGCTGTACAAGCGGGTTGGGCAAGTCACGACGCCGATAAAAGCACATGACCTTTGCCTCCACATTGCCCGTTGGATTTTTATTCAATTCCTCAATGCGGCGTATCAGGAAGGGACTATTCGGCGTTGTCTCAACGTAGACGTAGTCTGCAAAAAAAGAAACAAACAAACAAACATGCATAAAGCTTTAAACTGTACTTGTATTGAGACCAAAGAGGGTTTAAATGGTAAAACTAATTGGCGCTTCTTCATCTGGCAAATCATTCATTAGTGAGTGCGCAAATAAAGTGCATACAAACACACACGCACACTTTTATACTTAACTATGTATCTGGATGTGTAAAACAAGCAGACGGTACAGGTAGACACACGCACACATACCCATGCATATACATACATACACACACACAGAGGCCGCTTAATTACGGCCACAATACAATCAAAAGTATGCGCGTTGCTCAATTAAATACAAATGTGGGCATCCATCCATCGAGCCAAGCAGCAGCAACAACTATAACAACAACAGCAACATGAGTGAGCATAAGCAGCGACCAATGTTGGCAACAACAACAATAACGTAGCACACTGGTCAGCGGCAACATTTTCCTAAGAATAAGCCATATAGCTTGAAACGTTTTAAAAAAATCTATATACATATATGTTTCGTTCAATAAGTTTTGAAGACCGATTTTTTTATTGAATCGGTTATATATATTTTTTTGTAAATAAAAAAATATCAAATACTTCTTAAATATTTAAGTAATATTATCTATCGAGTTCAAGCATTTTGCATTTCGTACCATGAGAACATTTACTTAACCACTGTGCAACGGCAGCAACGACATCGCGTTGCTCGCTGCATTGGAACCTGTCGCAGAAACCGTTGCTTGGGTTTTGACCACGGCAACAACGGCAACGAAACTCGATAGAGAAGAAAATTACAACAACAAAAAAGGGGGAGCGATCGGCAACAGAAATAAAAGGAAAATGTGTCTTTTGCATTTTGTAACGATTCATTGACCAATTCTGTATTATTTATATTTGTTGTTGCAAACTAGTATACGTCGATTTCAGTAAAAATAACAAATTATAGAAAGTGTTGACTGCCAATTTTCGACCTAGACGTGACTGACCCCGGGAATCTGCGCCCACTTCGATTGTATATACATGCATGAGTGTGTGTGTGTGTGTGCGTGCGTGTGCTTGCGTGGCCAAGCAACAGAAAATAAGTAATGGAGGCAAATTCTGGGGCTGTGTACAATTTCCCAAGACGCAAATTAATTAAGAAAAAAGCAATACACTTTTTAATGTATGCACACTGGGTTCCTTCGCATGAACATGCGTTACATACATACATATGTACATAGTCGCCTGCCTTTTATTATTTATTTTGATTGTTTTAATTAGCCATTTGCGGTTCATTTGCATTTGGCACTCGGCAAAGCAGGTGAAGACAACAATAACGTCATCGTGACTGACCAAGTGCGCAAAAGTATATGTATATGTGTGTGTACGAGCGAGCGAGAGCAGCGCGGAAAGTGCGTATGGAAAAGAAGTTGACGAACGAAGAAGCTGCACAAAAAAAACTTCCTTGCTCATTAGCATAAGAAAACACGGCGCTTGCACACGGCTAAAGGCATGATGCTAGATAATCAAGATACACTTTCAATTACGCACATACATACACACACATGGGCACACTCTTTCGACGGACAGATCGCAAAGTTAAGCACACTGTGGCAATTATAAATTCATTATTACTGCACGCTTATCGGACAACAATAGGCAAAACACTTGCAGCTGCGACAATTTCGTTGACATTTCCCTAACCCCCCCACCCGCGACACAAACAGAACCATTGCTTTTGCTGCCAACGCTTGAAAATTGTCTACGTCGTTAAAGCTCGCGAAACAGCCCCACGGCTCACACACTCTGCATGATGAGAAACCGACAGAAAAAAGTTAATAAATGGAAATAAGGCCGCACACACTTTTTAGCCGCTAGCACAAGCAAATTTACTCGACGATTTGCGAGTACAATTCACACATCATTGATAACAAGATGATGCATATGTGGGGGAGGGGAATTTTGTAATATATGATATCGGTTTAGTTTTTAATGCACTTTCATTATTTCCTTGCGCTGGAGTCTCAGACACAAACACACATACACTTGTATTACACACGCATAAAACGGCCAGGCGAAACCGTGAGACGGCGACGAGGCGCCGATAACGAAAGATGATAGAAAAGCGAGTATGGAAAAAAATTTTCTCACCTCCGACTCGATACATATTTGTGGCCATTTTCACTACACTTTTGCACAAAATTTCACATGTAAAATAATCTGCACTTGTTCAGCTCTGTTTTTCAATTGTTTTCTATACAATTAACGCACATTAATCCCCATAAAACTTAATTTGTTGTTATTGCATTCACATAAGACGCGTTTTTGTCGCCATCTTAGAAACAACTCTAAAAAATACACACACACTACGGCACGACGAGTAAAACAGCTGCATCAGGGCTGCATTTACGCGAAGCGTTGCCCACCCGGTTTATTGAACTCGTAACAACAAATTGTAATATTAATATAATAATTTTATTACCCATTTCAGACACTTGTAGATATATTAGAAAATATATTATATTTTTTATAAAGGTACCACATTATTTGGGAATTTTATTTAATTTGAGGCCGTTGCAAGTGTACCAGAAAGCTGCCTGCTACAGCACCAGCTGTCAAATTTGTGACGTGGCCAGAACAAGTGATTTTCCAATAAGCAGTGAGCAGGCGAAAAACTTTGTTAATTATTAATTTATCACTGATTAACAGAGTGAAAAGCGTTGCGAATCTGTAGAGACAGGCTCTGTAACGATGACCACGTACGAGGAGTTCATCCAACAAAACGAGGATCGCGACGGCGTCCGGCTGACGTGGAATGTCTGGCCCTCGTCGCGAATCGATGCCAGTCGGTTGGTTGTGCCACTTGCATGTCTCTACCAACCACTCAAGGAGCGCCCCGACCTGCCGCCCATACAATATGATCCAGTTTTGTGCACACGGAGTAATTGCCGCGCCATACTCAATCCACTCTGCCAGGTGGACTACCGTGCCAAGTTATGGGTGTGCAACTTTTGCTTTCAACGCAACCCCGTAAGTACAATATGAAATGAAAACAAACAAACAAACCAATTAGCTAGAATGTGAACTTTCATTTTGCTGACGCATCTGCTTACGTTGACACAGTTTCCGCCGCAATATGCCGCCATATCGGAGCAGCATCAGCCTGCGGAGCTGATTCCCGGCTTTAGCACCATCGAGTACACCATTGCCAGAGCTCCCACCATGCCGCCTGTGTTTATTTTTTTGGTGGACACCTGTATGGATGAGGAAGAGTTAGATGCTTTGAAGGACTCTCTGCAAATGTCCTTGAGTCTGCTGCCGCCCAATGCACTGGTAGGACTTATCACCTTCGGCAAGATGATTCAGGTGCACGAACTGGGCGCCGAGGGTTGCTCGAAGAGTTACGTGTTCCGCGGAACCAAGGATTTGACGGCCAAGCAAGTGCAGGACATGCTTGGCATTGGACGTGGCGGCGGCCAGCCACCACACCAGCCAGGTCAGCCTATGGCTGGGGCAATGCCCGGTCAGCAGCGACCCAATCCCGCTGCCGGTGGACCACCTGTGCCGCCGGCACATCGCTTTTTGCAGCCAATCAATCAATGCGATACCGCTTTGGGTGATCTGCTCAGTGAATTACAGCGCGATCCTTGGCCAGTGCCGCAGGGCAAGCGCTCCCTGCGCTCCACGGGCGCTGCTCTCTCGATTGCAGTGGGCCTGCTGGAGTGCACCTACCCTAATACGGGTGGTCGAATAATGACATTTGTCGGTGGCCCTTGCTCCCAGGGCCCCGGCCAAGTGGTCGACGATGAACTGAAGCACCCCATACGATCGCATCACGACATCCACAAGGACAACGTCAAGTTCATGAAGAAGGCGATCAAGCATTATGATGCTCTAGCTTTGCGTGCTGCCACCAACGGCCACAGTGTCGATATCTATTCGTGTGCCTTGGATCAGACGGGTTTACTGGAGATGAAGCAGCTGTGCAATTCGACGGGTGGTCATATGGTCATGGGTGATTCATTTAATTCGTCACTGTTCAAGCAAACATTCCAGCGCGTCTTTGCGCGCGACAGTCGCAATGACCTGAAGATGGCCTTCAATGCCACATTGGAGGTGAAGTGCTCGCGTGAGCTAAAAATATCCGGGGGCATTGGCTCGTGTGTGTCGCTGAATGTGAAGAGCCCGTCGGTATCGGATGTGGAGATCGGCATGGGGAATACGGTGCAGTGGAAGCTGTGCACACTCAATCCCAGCTCCACTGTGGCGTATTTCTTTGAGGTGGTCAATCAGCATGCGGCACCCGTGCCCCAAGGTGGGCGGGGTTGTATACAGTTTATTACACAGTATCAGCATCCGAGCGGTCAGCGGCGAATTCGAGTCACCACACTGGCGAGAAAGTGAGCTACCACACAAGTAATCCTCGCTCTAACACTATAATATATATACTCGCTTTGTTCACAGTTGGGCCGATGCCACAGCGAACGTACATCACATCAGCGCTGGTTTCGATCAAGAGGCTGCCGCTGTGCTTATGGCACGCATGGTTGTCTACCGCGCCGAAACTGATGAGGGTCCTGATATTTTACGCTGGGTGGATCGCCAGTTGATTCGCTTGGTAAAATACTCCTTTAAAAGTATTTCGGTCGGGGTTTTGTTGCGTTTTTACCAAAAAATGTAGTTGTTGACTGGCCCCGATTTGAATATTGAAAATATTACTTTTCGTAACTAATAAATTGATGATTTGATTGTTGCAGTGCCAAAAGTTCGGCGAGTACTCCAAAGATGATCCAAACAGTTTCCGCCTGTCGCAGAACTTCAGTCTGTTCCCGCAATTCATGTACCATCTGCGCCGCTCTCAGTTCCTGCAGGTCTTCAACAATTCGCCCGACGAGACCACATTCTATCGACACATGCTAATGCGCGAGGACCTCACCCAGTCCCTGATCATGATACAGCCCATACTTTACAGCTATTCGTTCAATGGGCCACCAGAGCCTGTGCTGCTCGACACCGCCTCGATTCAAGCGGACCGCATACTCTTGATGGATACATTCTTCCAGATACTCATCTATCATGGCGAGACGATTGCCCAATGGCGCGCACTTAAGTACCAGGACATGCCTGAATACGAGAACTTTAAGCAGTTGCTTCAGGCTCCGGTCGATGATGCCCAGGAGATTCTGCAGACACGTTTCCCCATGCCGCGTTACATTGACACGGATCACGGTGGCTCGCAGGCGCGCTTCCTGCTCTCTAAAGTCAATCCTTCGCAGACGCACAACAATATGTATGCCTATGGCCAGGTGAGTCTCCCAGCCAATGCCGGCAATGAATCTCAATCAATTTTTGGTTTTCTTGATAAAAATCGTTTCATTTCGTTTCGTTCATTGTGTTCTGCCCCCCACCTTGTTGCTGTTGTTATTGTTGTATCCTCTGAAGTCGCCGATTGGCCAAGCAACGGTAGTGAAGTTTTTATTCCAAATGTTTTGCTTACGGTTTTGGTTCTATAATATCTCCTTGGTGTTGGCTTCGCTCATTTTCCCCTCACTTATTGCCTGCCTGCCTGCCCTACCCAACTGCTTTCTAACATTTCATCATGCAACTTTCACAGGATGGCGGTGCTCCCGTGCTCACAGACGACGTCTCACTGCAGCTGTTTATGGAACATTTGAAGAAGTTGGCCGTTTCCTCAACCACATGAATTTCGCTGTTCAGGCGCTGGCGTCTCTTCCTAAGGCGGATCCATGCGCTACTACACAGCACATTATTCAGTTGTTTCAAGCTATTTAAAAAGTAGTGGCAGGATGAATTTTGCAATGCAATTAACGTTACACAAAAAAAATATATATATTCCAATTTTGAGCGATGATGATACGATAGATGGGGGAAAAAATACAATAAAATTTACCAAAATATTTTCAACAGCTTACACGCCTTCCTTTTATTTATTTGTTTAACTGAAGCAACTAAAAATGGATTTATAGTAAAATAATTAATTATGTATGCCATACACAAATGCCTTTACAATTTGTTTTTGTTTACTTTATGCGGAATGAACCTGGGCTATTCATAAACATATAGAAGAAAGCACAATGAAAAGTGCTCGTTAAAGCTAGCGTTAAAAGCAAACAACAAAAAACTGTGCTTGGTTAATACTAAATACAAATTCTGCATACATTTGTATGTATGTATTTATAATGCCTGCCTCTGGCTACTGCATCTGCCCTTTCATCCTTATATGTCACACAATCGGCCTAGACTATTTGGCACACCTTTTGACTAAAATATGGTTTGCTCCGGAGCAAGAAAAAAACAACACAGCCAGTAGTTCTCAATTAAGAAACCGTATGGACATCTTTGTGTCCACATCGGTGCGATCCAGCGCCTTGCAAAAGTCTTCAAAGGATATTTTTCCTTGACAGCACAGATCCGCCTCCAAAATGGTGCGCTCGGCAATGCTTATCAGCTGATCCTGGCTTATGTTGGCGCCCACCATCATGTGCAGAATAGACAGCAGCTCGTCTCGACTGATAACGCCATCATCATCTAGGTCGTACATCTTGAAGGCAAACTTCAGCTTCTCCTCGCGACTATTCAGCTTGCTCTGCTTATTGTCGCGCAGCGGCCGGAAGTGAGCGAGCACATTCATGAACTGCCTGAAATTGACACGATCGTCGGTGCTCTCGGCGAAAAAGGAGTGTACAATGCGCTCGCACAGCGGATTGATGGCTAGCTCGGGGATCCGCATCAGATCCTCACGCGAGAGCGTTCCACAATCATTGCGGTCCAGCGAAGTGAAGCGTGAATACAGCCGCTCGATTTGATTGGGCGTAACTACGAAAATTAGAAAAGGTGGCACACCAATTAAATTTAATGTGTTTGCGGTCGCTCTTATCAAAGACTGCTGATAATATATGTATACTGGTTATGCGCGCAAGCCATTATCTGGCCACTTGATATTATTGCTACTATTATTACTAATGCTATTAGTATTGGATACAAATTCCGTTTGCTTATCGCGCGCCGCTGCCAAACCACAATTACACGTTCCGGACACACTAGATAAAGTTCAGTGGAGAACCGAATGAACGGGTATCAAAGGTAGCGCATTTTCTTGATGACGTCATGCAACGTAAGTGCATTATTGTGCCTGGAGATGAAATGCGCCTTATATAATGGAACGTGTATATGCATATTTGCGCATTTATTGACGCTGGCGCCGCAAATTTTCAAAATCTAACAATAGTTTGGAGCTTCAACGTCGAAAGTGGTCGGCGCTCGTCAGCGTCCCCGACAGCGATTAATAATTACAGTAAGCAATTAGCTTAACAACGGAGTTTACCAGCTTTTAGCATACAAGTGCAAATCGTTTACTTGTCTGTGGAATTTTTATGCAAACACAGAAACACGTCTATTTGTTTTGAAATCTAGACCAGCTGCGTGCTCAAGGTTATTATTATTTGTATTGTACTTACAGCCCGTTTCATCCTGTATTTGAGCAATTTCCTCGGAACGTAGGAAAAGCGACGATTTATTGCCCATCACGGCGTATGTTGTTTAAACAAATTATTTTCACAATTAATATGCGTCCCAATTCTGGAGGAGCCGCAGGCCCACAATATGAAATGAAATGTTTGACTGATGCGTCTTAGCAATCGGTTATCGATAATCATACGACTAGTGTGGTAAAATGTCGATTCCAAATCGCAGCTGTTGATGCTACCAGGCTGCCAGGGCCTGCTATATCAGAGAGAAGAAAGTTATAAACAAATTGTTTATGATCATGGATAAATTAAATGTGACCTTAACTGCTGTCAAAAATCTGCGTTCAAACGTACGGCAGTGCTTCGAGCACTTGGCGGATGGCACCGATGGGGAGGGCGTCGAGGAAAGCCGTAATAAATTTGTGCACGAATTTCAAGAAAAATATAATAACATAAATTCGCAGCTGCGGTAAGTGCGATGCTTTATTTTAAAGCGTATTGAGCTAATTTGTATACCCACAGCGAGGTGGAACAATTAATAAATGGTCTACAAGTACCACCGACTGCTTACCATCTGGGTAACACCACCTACCTAGCGCAGGAAACTTCACAGGATCGGCAGGCTTTGTACCCGCAATTGGTCAACAGCTATAAGTGGATTGACAAGGTGCACGATCACAGTTTTCTCGCTTTCAACAACCTCAATCAAAATACGCTGAGGCGATCATACAATTACTGCTCCCAGAAGCGACAACGCTTGCCCTTTTCCTCCTTTAACAACGATCCAGAGTAAGTAACAATGCAAATCTCTGGATTTCCTATATTGTGGATTTACTTTCTTCCTTTTAGTCACATTGAAAAGCTGCTCAGCGAAATCAACTACCCGACGCATACCACATACAAGGTGTTTCGCCCATTTGGATCGAATGCCGTAGCTATTGTAACTATAGCCAATGTCTTGAAAGCCGCAATAGTGTTTAAAGGTGTGCTTATCGAGTGGGTAACGGTGAAGGGCTTCGATGAGCAACTCGATCATGATGACTTGTGGGCTGAATCCCGGTATGAGGTCTTCCGCAAGGTGCAGGAGCACACGCATTCGGCTATGCTGCACTTTTACTCTCCCACGTTACCCGATTTGGCAGTGAAAAGCTACATGACTTGGCTAAATAGTCACTACAAGCTATTCTTGGAGCCATGTAAGCGCTGTGGCAAGTTCATTGCCAATGGACTGCCACCGACGCGACGCGACTTACGCACACTAGAGCCTTTCCACGAGGAGTGTCGCAATTGCTGAGCCTGATTTTAATCAAATAGTGTAGTTTTAAGTGGCTATTATTAAATATAATATGCATAGCTTGTATACTTCATTTATTTCAAAAACAAAAAATTGTATGTGTAATTTGAATGCATGCGCGCGGTTTTTAAAAATCACTACGCGCTACTAAGTTACAACTGTGTAATGCGTTTAATGGCCATTGGAGGCGGCGGTGACAAAATTGAAGTTGATTCCTGTTCGCACGCCATGCTGTAGGCACAATCGCTCGAAGTTGGCACGCAGCTTGGCGCGTAGTTGTTCGCGTTGTTGCTGCACCTGCTCGTGTTGGTATCTAAAGGCCAACACCACCTCCTCGGGAATGTTATAATTTTCATCGTCTTGATCGTGAAACTCGTGCTACGAAGAGATAGAGACGCGTATTAACAATCTTGTGGACTTGCACAAGCATTCTATGAATGATGTCCAATTTTTGTTTTGCGAAACTTTGATAATTACCATCAGTTGCAGCAGTGAGAGCTTATGCTCAGACTGAAACAGTTGCCCAAAGTTCCAATCGCATTCCTCATAGCAGGGCACCACTTCCATGCCGCTTTGCTCCTCATCCAGCGTGTCGTGATTGCACAGACCATCCGAACAAGAGACGACGCTGGAGGTTCGCGAATTGGCGTTCGAAGTGGGGTCACTGCCGTAGCCCGAATCGCGTACATCCTGCTCGCAGGGGCAATCGGGTATGGGTTCCAGACAGTCGTTGCATTTACGTTCCTCATGTTGTGACATGGTTGACAATGGCGCAGTATTGGAGGAAATGCAACTGGCTATATCCAGATGTTCATCGTCGAGTTGCTGCAGTTGCTGCTGCTCCGTCGACTTCGAAAGTAGCTGTTCCAGCTTCTTGGCCTTCTTTGCGGCAGACTTTTGCTTCTTTTTCTTCGATTGCTTCTTCGATTTCGATTTCGTTGTTTGAACTTGTACTTCTTCATCATTTGCTGGCGCTGGTGCTGTCGGTGGAGACTCGATCTCCTCACCTTCCTCCTCATCGGCGCAGACGATGCCGTCATCGATTACATCATTGATTTCCACATCCTCTTCGTCTTCATCATCAGATTCAGCACCAGCATCGGCGTCAGCATCGGTATTGTTCTCGCACATGCGATGCAGATTCTTCTTTTCGCTCTTCTTCTTCTTCTTTTTTAATTTCTTTTGCTCGCGCTTCAGTTCCTTGGCCTTCTCCGCGCGACTAATCTCTTGATACAACAGCTCCAAATTGCTAATGCCTTGCTTCTGCTCCACAAACATATCGAAGCTGCGACAGAGTGCATGCACGCCCACGGCAGCCAGCACTTGGCAGGCGCGCTCCTCCTCCCGCAGGCTCACGTAGATGCGATGCAAACGTTTGTACATGATCATGCCGACGCATGTCAGCACCTCCTCCTGCGCAATCTCAAGCGTTTTGGCATGGCGTTCGCGCAATTTTGAGTAACTGCCATTCACCTCCGGCTCGGCGCGTTTAATAAGTGCATCAAGGAACTCGACTTTATTCGTGCTCACGTGGATGTGCTGGTCGGGCACACACTTGCGTATGTGCGCGTACAGATGTGCCGCGTATCCTTTTTCCTTGGTGGTGACCTCGCCAATGAGTATTTTATAAGCGCGCTCGATCTGTGACGAAAAGGATAAGTTATAAATAATTTAATAAATAAAAAATCGAACATAAAAAACATATGCTGCTTCAAATTCTATGCTCATTATTTGTTAGTTGATCGAGGAATCATATCTTGATGTTTACAAATTAAACAAAAACCATTTATTTATGTTGGATGGCAAACAAAATAAATCAACCATTTCTCCTCTGGATTGTGAAATATGAATACTTAAAAGCAGTAAATTCAATACATTTGCAGCAATTCGATAACACAACTTTAAGATCTGGCTTTAAGGCAATTTGCACCGATATACTTAAATAAATATTTGGTGGTCGCTTTGCTATCCATCTATCTCCGCCAATTCATTAATCGAGTTGTTATTTAATGCTTACCTTTGTGCGACAGCCGGCGCAAAACTTATGTTTCTTCAGGTAGTTGTCAAGCACATCGTGCAACTCCTTGGTCTCGATTATGGTCAACTCGTTGCGACAATTGTTCTTCATGGCCGACCACACCTCTCGCCACGACTCCGAGAAGGGTTTGGCACGGAAGGCTTCTAGTGAGTGTAGAATGCAACGCGTTTTGTTTCGCAGCTTGTTGTCTAGCAGGTTGTTGAGCACATCATGATGGCGATAGAGCAGCGTGCCCAGCGCTTGCGGTGTTTTCAGTTTCTCCTCCGTAATGCCAAGCGTGCAAGTTGGTCGGAGTTCCAGCGGATCCAGCGTCCGATGCCCCGATTCCGTTAATTGATAGAACAAACGTTCCACCCGCCGACGACAACCAACACATTGGACGCACTGATTCAGAACAGATAGAAACTCATCACTGTTAATCTCAAGCGATTGCTGGCGCTCATCCTCCGTCAGCAAATGGAATTTCCGTGAAAATTCTTCCAGCTCGCGACCACGTATTTGGGGGCTGTCAATTACAAGTCCTTTGCTGTTCAGGTCCATTAGCATCTACAACAATATCAGAAAGAAAATCAAATACAATAGCATCTAGGTTTGGGAAAAAAGAGAAATGCATCTAACTAGGAGCATAAACCTGTTTTGCCTTATGTTGTTGCTGTTGTTTAACTTCAAAAACACGACAAATGCAACTCTGCGTCCACCATCGCGTAGCTACGAGAAGGTGCGAAATATGGCGCACATACAGGTGCACAGCGTTAAGAAACGTTGCAACAGAATGACATTTTGCCGACGCGGCAGCAATGAATTCAAATTCAAGGCTCCACCACTAAATAAACAACCTTAACCCAAGTTTAATTAAACGCACAACTACATTTTCTGGGCGCAGCCAGCGAGCGGCCGCGAGACGTTATGGGGCGTGTATATATGTATGCATGTATGTGCATACAAACGCAGATTAACATACATATACATATATGTACATGTGTATGTTATGAAAGTTTGCCCAGTGAGAGTGTGTGGGTGATCTGCTGCCAGCTTAATCATTTTTACGGCTTTTTTCATATTTTACATACGCACATACATACGTATGTATGTAAATATGAAAAGGTATCATGTTGTTGAAAAGCTTAATACGCTGACAAACAAAATTTAAGGCACAACAAGCACATTTTTTTTGCTAATACACTTGCAACTTACCATTAACTTATCGCCCGCTACGAGAGGCAAATTTCTACGACCGACGTAATTTACATCCTCCGCATTAAAGAAGACTTTTGTGAGCCTTGCCATTTTACAAGTCTGCCTTCCTGCACAATCCTTTTATACAATAGAAATGCGTTTTTACTCTACAAATTAACTACAAGAAATGACTTTTAATAGGGAAACACGTATGACGTTCGGAATAAGTTCAATCGAACGAGCGAACTAGTCCCTGATTTTTGTTCGTTTAGCTCATTCAATCGTTTTGTTCACATGAGTCAAAGTCACAGGGTGCTTCCTGAACTTGTTCTTTGTGTTATTTCGGCTAATTACAAAACGTATCTAAAAATAAATCGTTGCATGTTTTGTATTATTTTATTATTAGTATTATTTTTCTAAATAGAAATTTGAATTTGTTTAAGCTGCATTAAAATAAATATAACAAATAATGTTTACGAATAAAAATGTGCTTCAAATGAATGAACTCAAACGAACGGCACTCATATGAACGAGAACATAGAGTTGGTTTTGAGTGAGGAACTCGTCGGCCATTTAAAAGTAATATTGTTTTACTCTAGCTTACAGCACTAGTAAGTCATTATCGTGCTGCCAGAGTTCAGGACTGCGCCTATCGAAAACTGTTCGTTGCACTTATCGCCATGTGTGGCGTTTTTTTTTAGCGCGTCCGGCGTCTAGGTGCGAATTATTATTAGTAAATTTACTTAAGTTACTGATTTTCTGCAGTTGAAGTTAGTAGTCCAGAATTTTGAAAAAACTACAGAATGTCGCATCATTATGTGGTGACAGCGCAAAAGCCCACAGCCGTTGTAGCTTGTTTGACCGGTATGTATTGCACCAGCAACAAATTGGGCCGGGGAAACGAACCCGCTGCAATAAATGATTCTAGATTTATACCGGTGTCTAATTTGATTACATGATACATGTGGATCAGCTTCGGCATTATTTTATTCTCTTGCCAGTCCTCTTAAACCCTTTTTTGTTGCAGGCAATTTCACGTCCCCCACAGACCTTAATTTGATCATTGCGCGCAATAATCAGGTGGAAATTGATTTGGTTACTCCGGAGGGCTTGCGTCCACTCAAAGAGATCAACATAAATGGCGCCATCGCGGTGATGCGCCACTTTCGTCCGCCGGACAGCAATAAAGACTTGCTGTTCATTTTGACACGCCGATACAATGTCATGATATTGGAATGTCGCATGGTGGGGGACTCCATAACTGTCATTACCAAAGCTAACGGCAACGTGTCCGACCCGGTTGGCATACCGTCGGAGGGTGGGGTCATTGCTGCCATTGATCCAAAGGCACGTGTTATTGGCATGTGCTTGTATCAGGGTCTGTTTACCATAATACCCATGGATAAAGATGCTAGCGAGTTAAAGGCAACCAACTTGCGGTGAGTTTCGGGCAAAATTCTAGATTGGTGTTTTTTTTTTTTAATTTTGTGATAAATTTGCAGCATGGATGAGCTAACTGTCTACGATGTAGAGTTTTTGCACGGTTGCCTCAATCCCACAGTCATTGTTATACATATGGACAACGATGGGCGTCATGTGAAGTCGCATGAGATTAACTTGCGAGATAAAGAGTTCATGAAAATTGCTTGGAAACAGGACAATGTGGAGACCGAGGCCACTATGCTCATACCTGTGCCCTCGCCCATAGGCGGCGTTGTCGTTATTGGACGCGAATCCATTGTTTATCATGATGGCAGCAATTATCATGCTGTTGCTCCGCTCACCTTTAGGCAGAGCACCATTAATTGCTATGCTCGCGTTGATAGCAAGGGTCAACGCTATCTCTTGGGCAACATGGATGGACAACTATATATGCTGTTCCTCGGTACGTCCGAAACAAGCAAGGGCACGATGTCCGTTAAGGATATTAAAGTGGAGCAATTGGGCGAGATTTCCATACCCGAATGTATTACCTACCTGGATAATGGATTTCTATACATTGGCTCACGTCATGGTGACTCGCAGCTAGTACGCCTTAGCTCTGATGCTATTGATGGCTCTTATGTAATACCAGTGGAGAATTTTACCAATTTAGCGCCCATTCTGGATATTGCTGTTGTAGATCTGGACCGCCAGGGCCAGGGTCAGATTATTACCTGCTCGGGCAGCTTCAAGGATGGCTCACTGCGCATAATACGCATTGGTATTGGAATACAGGAGCATGCTTGCATTGATTTGCCCGGCATCAAGGGAATGTGGTCCCTCAAGGTGGGCATGGACGAAAGCCCATATGAGAATACTTTGGTGCTGGCATTTGTGGGTCATACACGCATATTGACACTGTCTGGCGAGGAGGTCGAGGAGACGGAAATACCTGGTTTCGCCAGCGATTCCCAAACCTTTTTGTGCGCAAACGTTGAGTATGATCAGGTAAACTTTTGCTTTTAGCACGATCATCAGCCCAATCGGCTTACCAAATTATTGTCCTTCACTTACGAGCATTAATTTTGCAGATAGTTCAAGTAACAGCCGAAAGCGTGCGTCTGGTTAAGAGTTCCACCAAATTGTTGGTTGCTGAATGGCAGCCCGAGGGTGATCGGTCCATTGGCGTTGTCTCATGCAACGGCACACAAATTGTTGTGGCTTCCGCACGCGACATTTTCTATATTGTCATCGAGGATGGTAATCTAGTGGAAAAAAGCCGTAAAACCTTGGCCTACGAGGTCGCCTGTCTGGACATAACGCCGCTAGACGAGCAGGAGAACAAATCCGATCTGGTAGCTGTAGGTCTTTGGACAGATATATCGGCGGTTATTTTGTCGCTCCCCGATTTGGAAGCCATCTACACTGAGAAGCTAAGCGGGGGTATGTTTTTTACTATTTCTAGTATTTCTAAATCCTTTTTAATTGACTCATCCAATAGAAATCATACCGCGCTCTATACTTATGACAACCTTTGAGGGCATCCATTATTTGCTCTGTGCGTTAGGCGATGGTTCTATGTTCTACTTCATTCTGGACAAGACAAGTGGCCAGCTGACAGATAAGAAAAAGGTAACGCTGGGAACACAGCCCACAACGCTGCGCACCTTCCGCTCCTTCGCGACAACCAATGTATTCGCCTGTTCGGATCGTCCGACTGTCATCTACTCCTCCAACCATAAGCTCGTATTCTCCAATGTAAATTTAAAGGAAGTGAACCATATGTGCTCTCTGAATGCGCAAGCTTATCCTGATAGCTTGGCACTAGCCACCAAATCGTCTGTCATTCTGGGCACCATCGATGAAATACAAAAGCTGCATATTCGCACTGTGCCACTTGGAGAGGGTCCGCGTCGCATCGCTTATCAGGAAGCATCACAGACGTTCGCCGTGTCCACCATGCGTATTGATGTTCACGGACGCGGCGGTGCCAAGCCGATGAGGAACAGTGCTTCGACACAAGCCCAGAACATAACTTGTTCGTCCAATATTTTGCCCAAGCCTGGTGGAGGCAACCCAACGGCGGCAAATGCAGAGGTGGGCCAGGAAGTCGATGTGCACAATCTGCTGGTTATCGATCAAAATACCTTCGAGGTGTTGCATGCGCATCAATTTGTGCCACCGGAGACTATATCATCACTGATGTCCGCTAAACTAGGCGATGATCCAAACACATACTACGTGGTGGCCACTTCGCTTGTTTTCCCCGATGAGCCCGAGCCCAAGGTGGGTCGCATCATAATTTTTCACTACCACGACAACAAGCTTACTCAGGTGGCCGAGACGAAGGTCGATGGGACCTGCTATGCGTTAGTCGAGTTCAACGGCAAGGTGTTGGCCGGCATTGGCAGTTTTGTGCGTCTCTACGAGTGGACCAATGAGAAAGAGTTGCGCATGGAGTGCAACATACAGAATATGATAGCTGCGTTATATTTAAAGGCCAAGGGTGACTTTATACTGGTTGGGGATCTGATGCGGTCCATAACTCTGCTACAGCACAAGCAAATGGAGGGCATTTTTGTGGAGATTGCACGCGACTGTGAACCAAAATGGATGCGTGCAGTTGAAATACTGGATGATGATACGTTTCTTGGCTCCGAAACAAATGGCAATCTGTTCGTATGCCAAAAGGATAGGTAAGAAGCTATGCTGCTCTCTGAATGGGCTTTAAAAATGGTTTCTAAGCCAATATAAGCTACTAACTAGAAATTGTTTCATAATATTGATTTGACAAAGATAAATTATTGTTATTTGGTATTTAAACGGTTTCGAAGCCTCTATCGAAACTTATATTTTGTAATATAAATTAACTCATTATTGAATTTCTTGATTCAGTGCCGCCACCACAGACGAGGAGCGCCAACTGCTGCCGGAGCTGGCTCGTTTCCATTTGGGCGACACTGTAAACGTCTTTCGTCATGGCTCGCTGGTCATGCAAAACGTGGGGGAGCGCACAACACCCGTTAATGGGTGCGTCCTCTATGGCACCTGTAATGGCGCCATTGGCATTGTCACCCAAATCCCACAGGACTTTTATGACTTTTTGCATGGCCTGGAGGAGCGTCTTAAGAAGATTATCAAGTCTGTTGGCAAAATAGAGCATACGTATTATAGAAACTTCCAGATCCATACCAAGGTAGAACCCAGCGAAGGCTTCATTGATGGCGATCTGATTGAGAGCTTTTTAGACTTGACTCGCGATAAGATGCGCGATGCTGTGCTCGGTCTGGAGGTGAGTAGTAAACGTTTCCAATCCATGGAGCAGCACTAACATGGCTTCTGTTTTGCTTTCGATTGCAGCTGACGCTGAATGGCGAACGCAAGTGCGCCGATGTAGAGGATGTCATTAAGATTGTTGAGGATTTGACGCGCATGCATTAAGATGCTGCGATTTGATTATAATATGTAAATTAGGTACCATATATCCTGCTAAATCAGCTGCTTACAAACTTGGTTTGGCATGTTAACCGTCACGCTTAACACCCAAACTTGATTTTTCTCATCTAACAGTAGCAACTGTTTTGCATAGCCTGTTTAAAGCCCGAGGTTTAACTATATGAATAGCTGAAATTGTGATGGGATACACGACACAGTTTCAAATAAAGTTTGTAATTTAAAAATGTAAACCCAATCTGTTGATGGTGGATGTGGGATATACTTTATGTGTTATATTTTATTAAAAAGTTATTTTCAAAATGTATTTTGTATGCTCTACAAAAACATTACATTTGTTAATGAAAATGTGATAAGCAATTAGCTTACACTACACCAACGTTTTGGCCAATCCAAAAGCAGTTATAGCGACAAAGAATCTTAAAAGCCATAATATCATAAAAAAAACTACACGAAAATCCAAATCAATGTCCTATTGAACGGCAAAAATTGGAAAGAAATACTGTTTCAAACCAGATTAGCGTCGCTCTGAGAGCAGGGCTTTAATTTGCGAGTCATCATGATTCATCAGTTATAAGAACTATTTACAAACAGCATATTTGAGCTAAGAATATTGTCTGTCTCCTTTAACAGATTTTTTTCCTGCCTATAATTTTGCGCTTATTCCAAAATTCGTCATCTCAAGAAACAACAAATTTATGATTAACGAACTCAAAATCTTCATTAACAAAGAAGTTTTCTATATAAATTATGTGGAGCGGGGTTTGTAAATATATTGAATACGGAAAACCATCGAGCTGTTCAGGTTGAACAGTTTTTTACTGGATCTAGTATTCGAAAAAGGAGTAAGGCAACTTTTGAAACCCAATAACTCAATATATTTGTGGACATAGGAAACTGGAACAGACTTCCAAATTTGCTGGTACCAATAAGAAGCCTTGGTCCAAAGTTTCGGGAGGAGTTATTGAAACATACGTACGTGTATCGCAGTTTGGGATCATAAGATGTGGAAATATTCTTCCCTGTTCTCTTGAAGATTAATTGACCATGATTAACAAGATTATGTTACATATTTGATAACAGTAGAAAAATTCAATTGCTTAGGACTGATTGCAGTGCACAGATTCCTATGAGCTGAAATGGGACCAATAAGAAAAACTTTCAGTTTCCTTATACATATATTTATGTGGTTGAAGTTTAGTTGTAGGATGTAGGCTTAGGATCCTTAAGTTCTTTCGACTGGCCTCTAATGATCCCTTGATTTGCTTAAAATAGTAAAGATAGGATTGAAGTACAATTTGAAATTAACAAGTTTTCTACGACTGTCGATGTACGATGGCAATTGGATTAGTATTATGGGAATATGAGAACTTGTATAACAGTTTAGATTCAAAAAATTGTGTAAGATATACCCCCAGCTAGAGTTACAAAAGGAAGAATAAAAGTGAAGGCAAGAAAGACGGTGAAATATGTTTGCATTTACATTTTTTTTTGATGCCAAATGACTTTAGATATCTTTCGTGTTTATAAATTTGTTCGCCATCATACCGGAGAACTGTCCGATCCAAAATATCCTATCTTTATTATCAAGAGAACGTAGCCAACGAAGTTGCGGCGCATGCGCGACGTGCCTGCCCGTTTTACGCACTTCCAATGCTAGTTACCAACAACACAGCACGTATGTGTATAAATATGTATGTACATATACTACACATGTATACATACAAGTATATGCACAGGGACCACCACCACAGGGGTCGGTGGTGCTGCGCGTGCTCACGTGCGACAGGCGAAAACAAAGCGGTGCGAACGTGAGTGATAATTGGCGACTGACGTTGGCGGTTCATTCATTAATAAAACCTCACACACACACACACACACACACATGTCCAAACAGCCACTGGAAAGGTAGCAGCAGTATGTAAATCTCTTTGCCACTTTCCAGGCAGCAGACGCGTCGCAACAACAATGAATGGATGTTTTTTTTTTTTACATAACTTGCCTACTACTTACATACATATGTGTTAGTGGTGGTGGTGGCGACTGATTTCATGGTGTGCGTGTGCGCACTCGTCGTAGTCGTCGCTGTCGTCATTGTTGTTGTCGCGCCTCCACATTTGTTGTTGCTGTGCTGTCTCCCCCAGTTACTGCAACTCGGTCGGTCGGTCGGTCCATTTGAGTAGTCACTCATTCGTTCGCTGCCTGCTCGCTGGTTCAGCTGCGCTCAAGAGTTCGAGTTGTTGAGTGGTTTCTCGTCCATCCTGGCCGATGTTCAGTTGTGTTCAGTTGTCGGTGCCGTGTCGCTGTTGCTGTTGTTGCCTCCGTTCGTCGTAGTCTTCATCGTCTAATCGCAGCATTGTTTATTTCATAAATGTTGAAAACTATTGGCTCCAAATGCTGTTTGTGCGAGAGTGCAAAAAAAGCCATTTTGTGCAATAAATAAATGGTATGCACTTAAATATTTACAATCCATGTTAACATAAAAATCGCTCGTTCGTAACGTGTAAAAAATTCATTTGTTTAACAATTGCAAATAACTTGGAAGAGAGCAGTCGAGTGCTGGCAAAATGTGTTGTTAACGACAATTAACATTCTTGCGCAATTTGTACAATTTTGTTGTGCAAAATATACATATACGCGAATAGTTGCTCGACGGTTGTTGTTGAGCTTATTGGAATTATCGTTGGCGGCCATTTTGTAGAAATACCAGCGGCAAAACGGATAGCTGCCAAAGGTGAGTGAGCGAGTGAGTGAAAGCGGCTAAGGAATTTGCTGAAATGAATTTGATACGAAAATAAGGTAACAGATTTATAAGCAGACTAAATAACACCATAGTCTGACTGATTTCTGGATGAGCTTAAAGGGTTTTTACTGAAAAGTAGCATTAACATGAAAGTAACATTTTATAGGAAATCTTTTAATTGAAAACTGTAGGAAGGAAAGAGCTGTGAGAAGTCTTTACAATATTCTTTTATTCAATTATTAATCAAGCTTCATTTGAATTACAATCGGCAATGATTTAACCTTTTTGGCTTCAAAACAACAACAACCAGAACAACGAAAACCCTTGGGGATCACGCAACTGAAATTGAATGCGAAAAGTTGTAGGCGATCAAGGAGAAAACATTTGAAAAACATTTGTACATCATTACAAACAAAGAACAAGGCCAGCCCATGCACCGAGCCCGAGGCGAGCTCCCGGCTGTTGCACCAAGAGTGTCGAGCATCGAGGGCACGTCAGTGGAACGCGGCGTTGTTGTAATACGATGCCTCCGAACCCGATTCGAGCGTTGGCGTTGACGGCGGCGACAAAAACAACAACTGCGACAGTTTCATCGACGGTTGTTTTTTGTTTTGCGCCGTAAAAGCTAAAGAATAAGAAATTATTGTTTAGCAACAACAATAAAAGCAAAAAACAAAAAAACGGCATCGTTCTGCCACCACCGAAAAATGTCATAAAGCAGCCCAGCCAACAACAACAATAACAGTCTCAACAAAATGAGACGCGCGACTGCCAAATGCAAATCTTAAAAAACATGAACAACCCAAACAAACAAACCATTGCCCATTTTTTTAATAATAATGATGACGATGATGATGGAAAGGGAAAAGCAGCAAATCGAATTGCAGGCAAGAGCCTCGTACAAAGGCGTTCTGTAGGCTGCTGGACGGCGGCCATCAGCCAAGATTTTCTACAGAAACCGCTGCAGTCCCATAAAAACCCACGTCAACGACACTTGGGCTTAATTATGGGCAGTTTGGACAGAATATGTTTAAAATGGGGCTCTGTACTTGGAACTCTAGGTACCCTGAATTGGTGTCTTCTCTGGGACAAACATTATGTGGAATATGCCTATTGGAAAGTATTTTGCTGAAGAGACTTACCGACCTATGTATATCGATCTGCAAAATTAACATCAGACAAACTTTTCAAATAAAATCTACTCAAGATTTCTTACAAAAACATGAGTATCAGGATTTTTCAGATTTAAATGGATGATTCTTTTCGAATCATACTTATTAATTATTTGGTTGACAATTAACACATCATAGGGATTTATTTACTAAGTTTACTATATGAAAAACTTGTACATTTCAATACAATACAATTCAAATTTGTTCATAGCTGTAAGTTTCGAGCCTTTATACTTTTTTCACGGAATTGTCTTGATTCTGAAATTGACGTTTTTGTGGTGTAATGAATACCTTTTTGTAAGCTGTTGTTTTCCAATTAGTATTTTCTTCTGAAAAGATCTATCACAGCTAGTGCTTGTAAAGAAGGATATGACATAGCTTAGCGAGGCTCGAAAATAGTTTGTCATATATTTTGAGCAGTGAAGTTTGATTAATAATTAGAAAACCTTATTTATTTCTTTTCTCATACAAAAATTGCCGCATACATTGGTAATATATTAAATTCAAACTAACTACAAATCTTTAAAACTGTTGCACTGTTGGATTCTACGAGTATTTATTAATGTGCTGCATTTATAAGTGTGCTTAACTGCTAAAAGTTTCAAGCCCTAATCTCTCATTTAGATGAGCTCAATTATTTGGTAAACATATAACTATTCATATTTGAGGCATAGACTAATGCTACATAACATGAAAGATATGTGTTATATATATTTGTACACCTTTTAAGACTCCTAGAATCAAACATACAGTCATCACTTTTTAATAAACAATCAAACTTATTTTTACAAAAAACAATGTTGATTCAAAAGCTTTATTTCAGTTATTACATAAATAGCACTAAGCCAAATTTTTAGATTTTGGAATCTAGCTATATTGAAATATATTATCCCAGGTTGGTTATTTGTTAATTACTCACAAAATGATGACAAAATATAAACCATCTGTGTGCTATGTATTTGGCACTGGTTGTATTAGCAACTTTAGGTGCTCGTGAGGTTCACCTGTGGCAGGCATATCAATCGCACTTTTTGGGAATTACTTCTCATAGTCATTGTACTCTTAGCCAATTGAAACACCCTGCACGCACCTAAGTATGTACATACGAGACCATATACTATATATTATGTACGATTATTTGCAACGGTGTGTGCGAGTGTGGGTTTTGAGTTTAATGTAGAATATGCAAATTGCGCTTAGCTAATTTGCATTTATGACAAAAAGGAGAAAAATAATAACTAATAATCGCGCATTGTGCTGGCCAGCGAGGACCCAAAACACCGGCACCGCCAGCGACAGCGTTGGAGAAACGAGCATG